ATCATGGAACCGGTGGGAGAAGAGAACCAATTGCTATTACGTTAGCCACTTTCTCGGGCGTTGCCGGTGACTTCTTTTCTCCTTTCAACCAACTCAATCACAAGCCAGGCCACCTTGGTCTTCTCCCGCTTGAGCTCGTTATACCACCATGCGAAATATACGCGGCGATTTAGTGTGGATTCCTTGACTTGGATGATAAGCACTGAGTTACAGCTTTCACGATGGAACGGGCATGGACTGCAAGGGAACCAAGGCCAGACCTCTATGGCGGGAGGCTACCGTAGGCTCTGTCTATCGAAGACAGACTACGACACGCGCGAGGACTACCGACTACGAGCCAGGACTCCTGCCACCGCGCCAGGACCCTGTCACCCCCGACCTGTCCTGCCAGAGTCTGAGCGCCCCGCTCCATATGCTACCCCTCCAAATGCAACCGTCCGCGGTTGCACCACCAAAGACGAATGTGCGGGGATGCGAGGACCTGCACCAGACCACCCTGGTACAATGACTCACACGTAGCCGCACCCTTCAAAAGAGAGCACGATGATTCTCCTATCATGCGCTGTCCTATTTGACACACTGTTTCCTTATGCTTCACTGCCAAGTCTCGGCGATACATATACCCATACAATCGATGCCAGCAACTTTATATCCAGCAGTAACCTTCTGACACTATGGCCCTTAGATTCTAGAACCTCGTGGGACATTCTCCTGAGCTGTGGCTTGACTTTATCTGCATGTACGTGGACTGCAATTCATCCAAACATTCCGGGCACGGACGGGTATGGATGACGTGACTGGTACGTGCATGCGGTGGGATTCAGAACGACAGAGTGATGGACAGCAACAGGAAGCAAAGTACGAATCATTGAGCACGTCCGGAAGCGAGAGCTGGTTCTTTGTCGCCGATTTATGTGGTGATGATGTTCCTGACGGAAACGGCAGCCCGGCGCTTGTAATGGCATAGACCACCGTGCTCAAACGATTTCTCATGCTGAACTCAGCAGCCTGCCTGAGCTGAGTTGTATATATCGATCTCCGGAAATTTAGAGTCTTAGTAGGTGAAATACAGCGACGCCATTCGCTGTGCAAATCAATACGTCCTGAGACCTGGAGAAACAGGTAGAAACGTCAAGCAAGGCAGAGTGAAAGGACATCACGACCTCTCAGTTGATCGTCGATGGCTGTATGAAGGAGCTCAGCACGCAATCAGCGTCCAAGAAAATATCGACGAATTAGTACGACAGCTCAGCTTATCAAGTATATCTGAGGAGGTGGGAGGCCAAAGACGACCAACGCCCTGGGAAACGAGCATCCCTTAGTACACCTCGAATAAATAGAAACAGAAACGAAGTAAACGATTGCGACCTATGCTTCAAGTTGCATGTGGTAGTGCGATTATAATGAACAATACTGACGCCAGCTACGCTCCACTAAGTGAACCATGGCTTCGGATCAATATACAACCGTCGGCCATTTCTGAGCGGAGCGCACGGATAGTGGTCAAGCGACGCACTCAAGTCGTCGGAGGTTGTTGGGGATGCAGGTCAAAAGAGAGCTAACCGTGACGGTGCCTCTCTGTTTGTGCTTCATAGAGGGACCTTATCGATGTCGAGTACTCAATGTTTTTGGAGAACGGTACACGACACACATGTTGCTTGTATTGAGAGTAAAAATAACCGAGAAGTTCAACTAGCTAGGTTTGCAGCACGCCCAGCACGAGTTGGTCACCCAAACAGGTGATGTCCCTTCCCAATTACTGCAGTCCAAAAGAGTTGAAGAGAGAGCGCATGGGCTCTCGCAGGTTTCACCGGCACCCCTAGGGGCTGCGACACTGGCTGCGACACTGGCAGCGGCAAGGATTGTGAAGTAAACAATTTGAATGAGCTTCATGGTATCTGGTATAACTATGCATCAGCATATGATGCGAACGTGTGAGCAAAACCACATACTGACAAAAGTCTGACTGTGCAATGTATGCGACGTTGCTATGAAAGAGTCTTAGAGTAGCTATTGCATGTCAAATCAATAAAATGTGCATAGTGTAGCGCAAGAGGGCTACTCACTGCAACAGGAGGCGTTGAATTGTCTGAGCCCATTTCAACCCAACCACGTTGATTTTATACTTGTTCTCGTGAGCAGTGAGAATATACTCGGAAAAAACATTATACCAAGAAGATATGCAGCCCTGTTAATTAATTCTATCTCGGCCTTGGTAATACGCATGCAAGCCTGAGACAAACATACGGGCCACTTTGAAGCCCATAATGACGAAGACCAACTTCAGTTCGTTTACCACGGTGATCGGCCTATACGGTGTTAACCAGCGCCTTAGTACCTTCAATTGTAATTGTCGAGAAGAAACTCCTGCAACTTATTTTATCCGCCATGTTTGGATCTGAATTATCGACTGCCATCGGACATGAAAACTGCATCAATATGTCCTGTTGAACAACTTTGCAATTTTGATATCGATACCGTGACCATACACGTGCTTCGTCATGGGTGCAGCGTCAAACGTTGTTCCACATCTTCGACTTCTATTATCACCAGCTTTACTCCACGCACATAAGCGAGTAGGCGGTCGACGGACAACGCCTTCCCAGCTAGTGTGTTCAGTGAATCAGTGACAATTTACCAATGATACAATGATGGTGTCTTGATTTTCTGTCATAACGACATGACAAAAATGCCTAGAGAAAGTGTTCTGTGCAAGTACTGTGAGGTTTACAGCTTCAGAGAGCCCGTACTACGATACTCATAGCTTTCATCATGTCCTTGATTCGTACTACAATCTTTTTGATAAGCGGTATATGACGCACATTTTGCTTGTATTGAGACTCTGATTTGAGAGCAAAAATGCCTCAGTTTGACCAACCTCTTGCGATGTAGATACAGCTCAGCCAGCGCATAGGGACCCAAATTATAAGGTACCGTTCCTGTCGAGCAGTTCAGAAGTCATTTCCAATTGAGCAGCACGTAGGGTCTATATGGTAAGGCGCCATCCCTGGCTGGCACGAAGGCCGCGGTTGAGTGGAACAAACGTTCAAGATGTTGAGCAAAAGGTACTGTCGTCACCATAGTGGCACTAGCTATGATACTGGAAGCTGCAAGGAGTACGAGGTAAGCGATTTGAACCATCAGGAAAACCCTCCCAAGGCAAATTAGGGAGAATTCACAAAAATTCGTAACATTAGCACAATCACAGCTATTTATGAAGAAAGTAGCTAAAGATGATAATGTTAGACGAGTTTTTTTCTACAATACATCTAACTCTTCTAAGTCAGATAAACTATTACAAATTAGAGCTAGATATCAATATCATTCATAACATGCATGTAATTATTGCTAAGTTATAGAGTACTACCTAAGGGTCATAAAACCATGCCTATTGAGAAACTCGACACCTGAATAGTGTGATCATTGATGCCGTGAGTGTGCAACAAAATTTTAAAATATCCAAGTCCAGCATTTGTGCATATTTGTTTGTATCATGTGACTTGTAGTTTGAACGAAGAAATATCTTAAGTCCAACATTTGTACATATTTGTTTGAATCATGTGACTTGTAGTTTGAAATGTTTGAGCGAAGTGGCGCCATGTCACTGATCTTCAACTCTCACTCTCGTCTTCGAAGCTTAAGAGGCCTCAAGCTTCATTGCTGGTGTTCATGCACTACATACAATTAAGGTGCGCAATGATTTTTTTTAAATTCTAAACTTGTTTGAAGCAAACCTATTTATTCTAAAAACTATTTATTCTAGGATGTTCACAGTGAGTGAGTCGGTCCGAGTTCGAGTTCGCCAAGTTGTTGCCCGCCGTTCGCAGTGAGTGAGTCTGTCGGTCCGAGTTCGAGTTCGAACCACGCTGATCCAAGCTGTTGTCCGCTGTTTGTAGTGAGTGAGTTTGTCGATCCTCGTTCGAGCTCGAGCCACGCTGATCCATGTCGTTGCCCACCATTCGCAGGAAGTGAGTTTGTCGATCCTCGTTCGAGCTCGAGCCACGCTGATCCATGTCGTCGCCTACCGTTTGCAGGAAGTGAGTCTGTTGATCCTCGTTCGAGCTTGAGCCACGCTGATCCATGTCGTCGCCCACCGTTCGCAGGAAGTGAGTCTGTCGATTCTTGAGCCACGCTGATCCATGTCGTCGCCCACCTTTCGCAGGAAGTGAGTCTGTCTATCCTCGTTCGAGCTCGAGCCACGCTGATCCATGTCGTCACCCACCGTTCACAGGAAGTGAGTCTGTCGATCCTCGTTTGAGCTCAGAAGGACGCACCTGCGAAATTCCACTGTATGATGGCCGACATCTATGAGGCTGCACAGTGAGTTCCACTTAGGTAGTATTGCCTCGATGCTCACTCTGCTTGCAGGAAGTTGCGATACAGCGGCGCCGCTGCCGGTGGCCATGCTGCTGAGCTCGAAGCATTCGAGTTACTTGACCTCGACAATATGGAAGAAGACTGAATCATCCCCCGCTCATTTTCATAGTGTACAATACGGAATCGTGAAGCTGATACATAGTCTCCCAGTTGGTCATAGCGCGCGCTGTTATTTAAATTAGCCTACTGCCCATATACCCATTTCTAATCAAATTTAATTTTGTTCTTGTATCTTATTCTGTCTGATTCGGTTGGAACCCTCGTCTAAGATCAAAAAATCAATTCTAAAAGTCATGCTAATGTGTTTGAATTACTGAAAATAGTTGCTAATTCTTGTGTTTTTATTAGGGGGTAAAAAAACTGACCTAAGCTAGCTAAAACTCGAATTTGTAAAATTTAGATATAATAACGCAGGATTAGTTCGGATTAGTTCTAATGTTACATCTTTAAGTAAATTTGTCTGGGGAGGGTTTTCCTGATGACGAGCTTCATGGCATCTAGTAGATGCGACCGACGAACCACGCTAGGAAAACTACACCGACAGAAAGTTTGATTGTGCGTTGTGCGCAGTGTTGCTATGAAAAAATCTTAGAAGATATTATATGTTGCTCAATGAAATACCCATGATAGTGCGGCGTAAGTGTGCTACTCACTGCAACATGAGGTGTTCGCCTCTGGGGCGTTTAAACCCAACCAGTTTGATTTTATACTTGTTCTGTTTAGTGCTGAGACTATACTCGGAGAAAGTTTTATACCAAGCTGATGTACACTCCGATAATGAAATTCATCCCCTTGGTAATTTCAAGTTGCACACAGTGACGCAAGACGCACCAAGTTGGAAGAAGTCAACTTCAAGTGAAATTAAGCCAGCGGGTTACAGTATGTTGCAGCGACCACAGAAAGGGTAAATTGACGGGTATTTACTATTGGCACAAGATCCAATATTAGTCACCACTGAGCGTTCTTGGAGCCTTGATATCGCCGTTTCTGCAGGGATGTGGTCAAGCAACACCTTTATATTTGACTGTGAGAGCCACGCGGGTCAGAAGTAAATCTTAATATTTTGGCACAGAATATTGACCAAGTACTGGCTCGTCGCAACCGCGTCAATTTCGCCGACAGTATTGTTTTTCCTTCGGACTTACGTATCACGACCTTGGCTCAATGCATGGCTATCGGCCATCTCTGAGCGGAGCGCAGGGATAGTGGTCAAGCATGACATTATGGCTAGAACCTCGCGGGACATTCTCTTGAGCTTTGGCTTGACTTTACCTGATGTACGTGGACTGCAATCCATCCAAACATTCCAGGGATGGACGAGGGCAGATGACGTGGCTGGCAGTACATGTGCGCGGTGGAATTCAGAACGACAGCGATAGATAACAAAACAAAAGCAAAGTACGAATAAGTGCGTCCGGAAACGAGAGCAACGGTTCTTTCTTGTTGATCTATGTAGTGATGACGTTCCTGATGGAAACGGCGGCCCGGCGCTTGTAATGGGTTTAACTTAGGTCCAGGCTCGTCATCTGGCCCAGAGATCCGTGCTGCCTTGGATTTGCTCTCGTGCTTGGTTGGAGATGACATAGACCTACCGTGCTCAAACGATTTCTCATGCTGAACTCAACAGCCGACCAGGCCTGGATTGTACATATCGGTCTCTGGAAATTATGAAGTCTGAATAAGTGAATTACAGCGGCGTTATCTGCTATGCAGATTAATACGTCCTGAAACCTGCGCAGGGAACACCGAGCAAGACGGTGAAAGGCAATTGGGAAAAAATAGTAGGAGATCGAGAGTACCTCTCAGTTGATCGTCGATGGCTGAGTGAACGAGCTCAGCACGCAATCAGCGTTCAAAAAACATCGACTAATCAATGGAACATGGTACGACAACTCAACTTGCCAAGGAGGTCTGAGAAGGGTGCCCTGGAAAACGAGCATGCCTTTGTATACCTCAGATAAATAGAAATATATACGAAGTAAACGATTGTAGCCTATACTTCCAGTTGCCTGTAAAAGTGCAATTATAATGAGCAATACCGACGTCAGCTACGCCCCACTACGCGAACCATGGCTTTGGATCAATGCACGACCGTCGGTCACCTCTGAGCAGAGCGCAGGGATAGTGGATAGTGGTCAAGCGACGCACCCAGGTCGTCGGAGGTTGTTGGGGATGCAGGTCAAAAGAGAGCTAACGGTGCATCTCTGTTTGTGCTTCACAGAGGGATCATATCGATGTTGAGTATTCAATATTTTTGGGGAACGGTACACGACACGCATGTTGCTTGTATTGAGAGCAAAAATGACCGAGAGGTTCAACTAATTTAGGTACAGCACGACCAGCACCCGGGGCCCAAAAGGACAGGCGATGTCCCTGCCCATTGCTTGCAGTCCAAAGATTTTGAAGAGGAGGCGCATGGGGAGTCGCAGGTTATACTATCAAGGGCTCTGGCTCTGTTTACCCCAGTGACACTGGCAGCAACACAGGAAGCGGCAAGGATTGTGAAGTAAACAATTTGAACGAGCTTCATGGTATCTGGTATAACTATGCATCAGCATATGATGCGAACGTGTGAACAAACCACATACTGACAGAAGTCTGGCTGTGCAATGTATGTGACGTTGCTATGAAAGAGTCTTAGAGGAGCTATTGCATGTCAAATCAATAAAATGTGCATAGTGTAGCGCAAGAGGGCTACTCACTGCAACAGGAGGCGTTGAATTGTCTGAAGCCATTTCAACCCAACCACGTTGATTTTATACTTATTCTCGTGAGCAGTGAAGCTATACTCGGAAAAAAATACCGAGAAGATATGCAGCTCTGTTAACTAAATCCATCTCCTTGGTAATACGCAGGCAAGCCTGAGACGTGCCAAGTTGCTGATAGCCAAATCCAAGTTGAACCGAGCCAGCGGGTTGTAGTGATCCAGCAGGAAGGATTGTCAGGACCCAGCAAATTAGTGTGTGATGATGAGATGAAATATTGACCACTGTTGAGCTGAGCGTTCTTAAAGATGGCCATTTGTGAGAGGAGGGTAAGAATGCTGGTCAAGTAACACCTTTAAGTCGTCAGAACTAGTCCGAGTCAGCCACGTATGTACATGAATCAGAAAGGCTATTTTGACACAGCGGGTGTGACGTGCCAAATTACATGACGTTGACGCGGTCGGAGTCCAAACAGACTTTCTTCCTTTCTTCCTTCAGGCTTGTGTGTATGATGACTCGGCTCATTTCTCAATACGCACGTTCTACCACAATAAATATGGGCCAAAGCCCATAATGACGATGACCAACTGGGCGTAGCTATTTTGACGCGGTCGTGACGCGGAGGTGACGCGGCACTGACGAGCCTTGACGCGCCCACTGACGCGCCATTCCTATATTCTACATTCGACTTCCAGATCAAGTTGGATGAGTTCACGACCATTCCTTTGTTATTTTATTTGCCATAGGGCCATGTACAACTAGGTATACATAAGCCAATGACTATTTTCTTTTCCTCCCTCTCTGGACCCTTCGAGCCTGTGGAGCACATCGACGTTTAACGGGCAGACATTTTTCGGCCGGCAGAGAAGGAACTACAGCTTCGGATAGCTCGTCTGCAGACTCCAAAGATGTAGCATCAGAGTTATCACTGAATAAGGGGCCGCGCTGTCAATCACATAAGTTAGATATCTATCGAACGGAGCAGATAATGTCTTCCTCACTTGAAGTTCACTCTCGCTATAGTCTCTTGCAGAAACCCATTCATCAGGAATTCCGAGATACACATTCCATCGCCTGTGATGTTGACCAGCATCCAAACCCCACTGCTGTTTGCCTGCAGGTCCTGCTTCTTCGGAATCCTCAAACATCCTTGCTTCTAGTGCGGTCAGACACTCGAGGTCGACGTCAGCTACGAAGCTATTGGTAGGATAGCTTATCATGAGATCAGCCCAAAGTCTTAATAGGTGAATTACAGCGGCGTTATCTGCTGTGCAGATTAATACGTGCTGAAACCTGCGCAGGGAGCACCGAGCAAGACGGTGAAAGGCATTGGGAAAAAATAGTAGGAGATCGAGAGTACCTTTCAGTTGATCGTCGATGGCTGAGTGAACGAGCTCAGCACGCAATCAGCGTTCAAAAACATCGACGAATTGATGAAACATGGTACGACAACTCAACTTGCCAAGTAGATCTAAGAAGGGTGTCCTGGAAAACGAGCATGCCTTCATAAATAGAAATATATACGGAGTAAACGATTGTGACCTATACTTATGTATGAGCTGCTGCCTCCACCACAGTAGGACTGGCAGCGACACTGAAAGCCGCAAGGATTGTGAGGTAAACGGTTTGAACGAGCTTCATGGTATCTGGTATAAGTATGCATCAGACAGTAGTATTTTGAGAATTTTTGACGCAGTGTGACGCACATGGGACGCGGCAACATGATGCATCGATGAACCTTGTTGGTGCTTTCTATATGTTGGTATTCCATGACTCCGTCACTGAGAAGTTCGAGCGTCAGCCAAGAAAGTTCTGCACATTTTTCTCACCGTGACTATTACTCATGTTGATCAACATCTATAAGCACCTAGCCATTTAGCATCCATGTATCAGCTTGCGGTACCTTCTGGTACCCAATTAAAACGCCATCGTTGATATCGGAACATCCAGTGTATGTTATAGTTCGAACATATGCTGGAATAAATGTGCGGAGTGGAGAGGGAGCACAAGACGCTGTCAAATATTTGTTAAAAGCATGATCGTACTCCTCGGATGCACAGCACGTAGCGCCGGCCGTAGATCTGGGCGCTTCATCTACACAGCAATGAAGCTGTCCCACAGCAAACATCAGGACACCGCATGGGATACACCTTAAAACGACCTGAACGAACGCCTGCCCTCAACTCACAACCAGACACCCATCGAGCGCTGGTGGTAGAGCACTGGGCTGGCATGAACGTTGTTTTCGTGAGTGATGCTCTAGACTCTTCTACCGTTTAGAGCTGACCACTTGCTTACTAGCAAGTTCGGATACCCACTAAGATCCTCTGCGCGTTCTCGAATTTCCCTGCACCTCTATACACTGTCTCGTAAGTGAGAATTGAACCCTGTAAGCACGCTGTCTCGTGAGCCGTGATTCGCGTGGTTCTAACAAGTATCAAATTGAAAGGAAGATAGGCCTGGACTCGCTAGCAAAATTTGCCACTGCCAGATTATCTGATCTCATTCCAAGATCTCGACAGACTTCTCTCGTATACAGTCCACGATCTTCCGTAGTTCGAGATTCTGAGTGCGGAGCATGTCTTCCTCTGCTAGTAAAACACCACGCCATACAATGCGAGGCCATACCGACTGGATAAGCGGTATCGTACACTTGCAGGGCGGACGACACATCGTAACATGTTCGTTGGACGGCTCACTCCGACTATGGAGCTTAGAGAGCGGCGTACAGATAGACGAGGACTGGCGGGATGGGAATGATGCAGTGCGGTCTATAGCATTGTCTCCAAATGGAAAGACAATTGCAAGCGGAAGCGAGGACAGGAAAGTGAGGTTGTGGGACGTCAAAACAAAAAAGGTCATTGCAAAATGGACGGGACACACCAATGTTGTGTGTGCATTGTGCTGGAGTGCAGATGGCGAGCGACTAGCGAGTGGATCCTGGGATGGGACGACAAGAGTCTGGGATATTGACAGCAGCAAAACTATCCTGACAATCGAGACTGGGCATGATTGGGTATATGCGGTGATGTACTCGCCTGACTCTTCAAAACTTGCGACGAGCGGTTATAAGGAGAGCGCTGTGCATATCTGGAATGCGAAGACAGGCGAACGTCTCAAGACACTTGAAACATCTGAAACACACAGCTGGGCTTTCGGCTTGGCATGGACGTCGGATGGAAGCAAGCTTCTCTGCAGTTCATATAGCCCGATTAGAATATTCGACACTGCCACTTGGCAGCAGATTGCCACACTTGAAGACGGTCATAGCGACGTTGTCTTCGCCATCTCCTTATCTCACTGGGACACCCGCCTCCTTGCAAGTGCATCATGGGATAAAACAGCGCGTTTATGGGATCCTCAGACAAAACGCCCAGTCGGACCACCCCTCCAGCACAAATGGGGTTTGCGCTCTGCAGCCCTTTCCCCTGATGGAAAGACGCTAGTCACTGCTTGCGAAAACAAGAACGTGTACGTATGGGACGTTCATGCCATCCTCAACTTGAAAGAAGCTGGCCCTGAAAACCTTACATCCAAAAATAATTCAAGAATACAGCGCATACTCCGCTCTTTGCTCGATGGCAAGTCATTTTTGGAAGTATGTGCCGTGTTTCCAATCCTTCTCTGTAAATTATATAACAGTAATATTTCAGGCTGATGTTACGCAATATCCCGACCAGTTTGGTGGACTCGAACACAACACATCTCAAGGCGGTTCAGACATACAGCACACACTGCGCTCTTCGCTCGATGGCAAGTCATTTTTGGAAGTACGTCCCGTGTTTACAATCCTCATTCATTATAACAGCAACATTCCAGGCTGGTGCTACGCAATATTCTGACCAGTTTGGTGGTGTCGATGAGCTCTCACCGACGTTTTTTGCCGGCATGGAAGCCGATGTTAATGTACGTAATCAGTATTTTTATTGCTTAGTTCTTGTCTAGACCTCTGCTCTCACTGACAGTCCTCTCCAATTGGTACACACCCTCATTCCTCCGTAAATGCACTCCTTTCATCGCTCCTCCACCGCTTTCGACACAAAAGTGGTGAAGCGACTGAACTTTCGGAACCCTCCACGCCTTCGCGGTTAGATCCACATGTGCTCCTAGCTCGCCTTTCCTCATTTTTACCTCGACCTCGGCCCAGAACTGACGAAGAAGCCGAACCTCATACCACAACGCCTTTCAGTTTGCGTCCAGATGCACTTTTCAGTCGGTTGTCCTCACATTTCCGCTCTCAACCCCACACCGACGAGAAAATCGAACCGCAACGCTCAAGCCGTCCTCATGTTGTCGAAGTGGCTGCAATACGGGACAAGCAGGTATACCTCGCCTGAGTGCCTTTATCATCACTGTAGTTTAATCATTTCTGTTCAGTCTTTGGTTGTCGCTCGAGGGCCAAATTTTATGAAAGCAAAACGGGCATATGAGCAAACCCAATCACATGGCCAAGCCCAGGCGTCGTCATCGCACAGTCAGCCTACCGATGCCTCGAGACCCGCGATACCTCCTGTTCCAGGCGCTAGCACTACCACAGCGGGTACAGCAGTCGCACAGTCACTACTTATCCAATGGTGGACCCAGATCGTGCTGTTTCTCTGCTGCGTATCACCATCACACGCTAATAGTCATTGATACAGCTAGCGTTGTAGCTTATGCTTACCTGTCTCACCTTTACTTCTAGTGATTCTGCACTTATATTTCTTTCGTTATGCCTTTCAGCACATCGTCAATCTACTTTCCTCGTCTTGATTCGTTATCTATGCGAGATTTTTGATATTCGACGTTTTCGCCTTCAAACAAACGAGTGGCCTTCTGCACCGAAGGTCGCAAGGTCCCACCGCAGGAAGATTGTGACTTGGGCAAACACCACACACACTGAACGTACGTTGTCAGCACTTTGAATATATTGCACCGTTAGTATGCTCCATACGAAGAGCAGTCCCTTATTTGCCACCCGTGATATTAGGCGTTCATTTAAGCTACAGCACCATAACCTGTAGAGGATTGTTTAGAAGTATTTCAAGAAATATTCACAGTTGGTGTCGCTGCTTTTCGAACAGATGACAGAATTGCTCTTCGAAGCTTCACTCTAGGTTCGTACCTTTGCTTAAATGCCCTTCGAACATCGTTAATATTCTCCCAAAAACAGCGATGTTCCTTTCTCTTTGGGAGCACCTAAAATCGGAGCTGCAGCGCCATCGCCTGGTCTTGTTTTCCTCGACTGAAACGTGAGGAAATCCTGGTAGGCGATGACGCTGCATTTTGAGCAGGTTGCAGAGTTGTTTCGCAGAGCTAAGTTTCACTCTAGGTTCGCACTTTTACTTAGTCAAGCTTGATCCTTTGAATGCTATTGATATTCTGGCAGAAAAATAAAATGGAAGTGTCCGAATTGAATCGCAGCATCATCACCCTCAAATCTATTTTGAAATATGGAGAAATTGTTGCAGGTGGCAGCGCTGCATTTTGAATTTCATTATCGCTCCGTTCCAGGTTCGCGCTCTACCTTGTTGATACCTTGGTTATTGGACACACAAGCGACGCACTCAAGTCGTCGGAAGTTATTGGGGATGCGGGTCGGCCTCAGGATACGGATTATCGTGTTAACCAGCGCCTTGGCACCTTCAATGAAAAGAAACTCCCGCACCTCATTTTATCCGCCACGTCTGGATCTGAATTATTGACTGCTATGGGACATGCAAACCGCATCAATATGTCCACTCCGACAACTTTGCAATTTTAATATCGATACCGTGACCATGGACGTGCTTCGTCACGGCCCTTTGTTGAGCGCGAAGAAGGTTACGTTCGGCTCGACGAAGAAGTTCTCCGCAATAACAGCCTCTCGATCATCGAGATCCTTGTTGCGGCCGAACTGTGTGAGAATGTTTCATCGCATAATGCCCATACTATGCTTGTTGATTGATCGGGATATATCATGTCCTCCTTCCACCTAATATCACCTCTATTTATTTCTCAATTAGCAAGCCAAATCAGTTTATGATTTGTATCACAGGTAAAAATGGTATGAATGATTGCATACCCTGTCGAGTACACTTTTGATCTAATCAAATTGCGCGTCTTTTAACTAACAAGCATTTGAGTTATAGCTGGCCGGTCCGACCCATGGTGCTCTATTTATCCCAGACCGGACAGTACGTAAATACCTCCCTCATACACTCATATCATGTACTCCTTCCACCCAATACTGCCTCTGCTCATTTCTCATTCAGCAGCGTTCTGCATATTGCTATATTAACAACAGCACCAATACAAATGTAAAAGTACTCACCAGTTTGTCGCTAGGTTTTTGGTTGGGCCCCCCGCACGTAAGAACGCAGTCCACATTTTTATCGCAACAGTCGCTAGCCGTCTGGCAACTCTCGCCTTCAGGACTACAGCCTGGGACTAGCCTTGCTGTAACAGACATTATAGATGCTGTCAACGCAATAATAATGGCGGGGAAGACGAAACGCATTGTCTGTTTAGGGTGGTATGATCTGCTGAGGTACTCGAATGATCTCTTTGAGTCTGAGATTGGTGGACGCTGGTGACAGTAGGAAGATGACTCGCTTTTATATCATCAACAAGAAGGTTTCGCAAAATGGTTAAACCTATCCCTTCTGGTCATTTCGTGGGTGTAGCAATTCCGGCGGCCACGAAGTTCTGCCTTTGTCATGATTCACCAGTGACACGGTTGTGATGAGGCAAAGATGCCACGTCAAAGTTATTAGCAGAGTACCCAACTGGCCTACAATATTAATTCCTGATAATATCGCCTACTCTTCCTGTCTCCGCGTGGTTTGATGCAGCCTTGGCATATCATGGAGTGAAAATGACGTGGCATAGCCAAAGCTTTATGCAGTTTTGCTGAGGTATGAGAGGGAATGGATACGACATGAATGAGGCTCGATACAGCGGGGACAAGGTTTGACACGCGAATAATGGTGAACCGTACGTGATAGTATCCAAGCGTCTCAGGCTGGTTGGCCAATGTTCCCTGGATCACCGTTAGTGCTACTCGAGGCAAATACAGAACGCGACATACTGCAAGGTGATATATCCTGCCTGTATAAGTCCATGCATGCATGATTGGTCTGCACTGGTGAACGTGGACACTTAGTTACTAATTGGACTCAAAAGGGCTGCTCAATTCTCAAAGTTCGCGTTCACTTGGGATCCGAGCAAGTTACGACACTTAGTAGAGTCGTTCATAGTGTCGTGGGCAGAAAGGAATTGGAAAGGCAATTGCAAGTGGAAGCGAGGAAGGGAACGGCCACCTTTTCAATTCAATCGCGTTGATTTTATACTTGTTCTTGTTCTATACTCGGAGAAAGGATAAGACATGGAATTGTTGGCACTTGCAATTAGCAGAAGCTCGAAGCCAAAGTAGTGGCTATTTTAATTTTTGAAGCGGCGCCTCGCACAAGTACTGCTGACTCAACGATCCACCTGCCCCCCGTTTCTGCTTATCATGGGCATCCCACCACGAAACATGGTCCATGGACATGGATGACCGCCTAATGGAGGATCAATATCAAATTTTCTACGATCAGCATAATCCTTTTACTCCCCGCACACCCATGGAACTATGCCGGTTAGTTGGTGCTTTCCAAGTGGTTGTGTCAAATATGACTCGCTCACTGGGAAGCTCCAACTCGTCGGGCCTGTGCGACGTCTCCTCACAATATTTGCCTCCATTGACTCTCCCTCTTTCATGCGTGGAAGTTTTGACCTATCGGGTCTGTGCAACTTCTCCTTACAACGTGTCCGTCGACTCTTCTGTATGTGAGTTCCCATCCGAACGCCACACTTCTGTCGTGCCATTCTAATTGGTACCTTGCAGTATGGAGAACCCGTCCTCATCTAGGTATTATGTGTCTCCAAGCGCCTTCTCGAGGCGTGACATTGCAGATTACACAAGTATCATCGAGGAGGTACACATACATCACCTTCGTTCTTCCGCTTTCCGGGAGCTTCTGAGGTGACTTTGATGACTATGTGATGTCGAATGCGCTGAATCTACTCTAAATAATGCTGTGTTCCTGCCTGATGCCACTGTCGGAGTCTGGCACAGAACTGAATATAAACTCACCCCAGAGTCAAGATACTGTCACGTTCACTGTGCGCGTTCGCTGTCCCAAGGCGTTCAGCTAATGAAGATCTGTACTCGCTGCAGGACTTGCATAGTCGTCCGAGAACATTTCCTCAAAGAACGGTCCCATTGCTTATCTAGATATACGAGTTCCACCTTTTTTTTGTGTTTGTGCTGATATTATATAGTCCTAGAACTTTCCCTTGACGATGATACAAGGATCCGCTGAAGACATGGAGACGTCTGAACTTCAAGCTTCAGCCAACAGTGAAACTCGGACATGATCGTTTCCACAAGTAGACTATTTTTACTTCGACTTAGCTTGATCATCATACGAAGTGTCATAGCTACAGTAAATCTGCACGTGAAAATGGCTATGGACGATTTTCGCTGGAGTTGATAGGTGAGGGATCATGTAGGTCATCCGAATACTATATCCATCGACGCTATAGATCAACTTGCGTACCCAACCGAAACGTGCGGAATGGAGAGGAGCACGAGACGCTGTTGAATGTTTGTTAGAAGTATGAACGTAGTCCTTACGTATAGGAGGGTGCACGATGCGTAGCGCCAGTCGCAGACCTGTGTGCTGCATCTACGCAGCAATGAAGCTGTGCCGCAGCAAATACGAGGATGACACATAAGACGCACTTTAAACCGAACGATTGCTCTCAACTCCCGATAAGACCAATTGATCACTGGTAACTGGACACTCAGGCTGGACTGGCATGAACATTGTTTTTCGTGAGTGATGCTCTAGACTCTTCTGCCGTTTGAAACTAACGAGTTGCTTTCCAGTGACTTCAGATACCTACTAGGATCTTTAGCGCATTCTCGAATTTCGTAGCCCTTGCATACGTTGTCTTGTGGGAGAGGATTGAATCTTGTAAGCACGCTGCATCGTGACCCATGGTTTGTGTTCTTCTGATAAGCATCAAATTGAAAGGAGATAGCCCCCCGGACTCACAGCAAACGTTGGCTTTACCGGACAATCTAGTCTTAATCCAAGATCCCAGCAAACTTCTCTCGTATACAATCCACAACTTCCAGTAGTTGAGATTCCGAGCGCGGATCATGTCTTCGTCTACCAGTGAGATGCCAGTTATCAGGCCACGCCGGGTGATGCGAGGTCATACTCACTGGGTAAATGGTGCTGTACACTTGCCTGGCGGACGACACATCATCACATGTTCGTTGGACGGTTCACTCCGACTATGGGACATCGAAAGCGGCACACAGATAGGCGAAGTCTGGCAAGACGATGGAAACGGAGTGCGGTCCATAGCATTGTCTCCAAATGGAAAGAAAATTGCTAGCGGAAGCGAGGACGGGAAAGTGAAGTTATGGGACGTCGAGACGAGAAAGATCATTGCAAAATGGGCAGGACACACCGTTGTTGTGTGTGCATTGTGCTGGAGTGGAGATGGTGGGCAAGTAGCAAGTGGATCCTGGGATGGGACAGCAAGAGTCTGGGATGTCGACAGCGGGAAAAATATCCTGAAAATCAAGACGGGGCATGAATGGGTGCGAGCGGTGATGTACTCGCCTGATTCGTCAAAACTTGCGACGGGTGGAAACAATGTGAAAATTTGGGATGCAAAAACAGGCGAGCTTTTGAACATACTAAAACACTATAATCACGACTGGGTTTACCGGGACTCGCCAAGGATGTCGGACCAACAGGATGATGATATAGTTCGCAGCTTAACATGGACAACGGACGGACAGAAGCTTATCTCCGGTTCATATCGCCTGATTAGGATATTCGACACGGCCACCTGGCAGCAGATCGCCATCCTTGCAGGTCACACTGTAGTGTTGCCGCGAACTGGACCGAATCGAATCGAAGTGGGAGTTCGTTCTAGGTTCGATGGTCGAGGTGAAACGAATCGAAGTGTAACGAATTCGGTCCGAAGCTCCAGCCAATGAGAAGTTTTTGTAAAGTGAAGTAGATATGAAGTGGCTATGTTTCATTCTACGTTATCGTTGTCAACGTTTTGTAATAGATTAGCAAGCTCGTCGAACTTCACCAAAACTATCAATTCCTCTGCAGCGCTTCGTGTCACAGGCCCCGCAATCCGATAGTCATCCTCTTTTGCAATCAAATCCCGAGTGAAACATAGTCTCTCCTATCTGCAGGGGGACTTGGGGATTTGGAGGGCTTCCATTACTTGTGGTGAGAGTCTGCTTCGACGGAGTGTGCATGTTTCTTTACTGGATGAAAATACACGTTCGCACGGCACGGAGGATGCCTGAGCTGGCAGGAGCCGCAGGACATACATAGCAACACAGAAAAGTAGTGGATAGACTTTTCCATGCGCTGAAATTGACTTTAGTGCCTTCGTTATGTGAAGGAAGAGTTGAGCTCACCTCCCAGAACTGAACGAGATCAGTCACGCGCTCTTCAATCGAAGGCTGGTTTTGTATTGTGGGGGTGGGCGTCCTTGAAGTCATGTCCGCATGTGTGACTGATGATGTCGATGCTGAGCGTCGAATTGTGACATTGATGCTTCACAGGCGAGATTGAACTGCGTGAGCTTGAGCCTGAGCTGCATGGGTAGTAGCAGCACATGCTGGTACATGTTGCATGTTGCCGGACTCGTGTTTTGATATCCGAAATGCTGTCATCTGGATGAACTGTCATTAAGAGTCGGAGATCTGGAGACAACTGGCAACCTTACCGCATCAATGATCCATTCTCGTGCTTTTGTGATACCCATCGCCTAATCACACTTGTGGATTGCTCATTGTACAGCATTGCGCTGTGCAGGCACCTGCCCTCCAGCGCTAAAGCAGTACTGCGGTCCGATGAAAATACGTATGATTATGTTCTAGACCAAAAGGTTTGAGGACGGGCAACAGAGGAGCAGAGTACATTTAGGAGATGTGAGATTGCTGGAGAACTACTCTAACGAATCACCAAGTCACAGGCCAGATTTAGCATTTCATTTGGCAGTTCGTTCCTAGTTCGATGCTTATCACAACGAGGTGTAAACGAATCGAGTTGTATCGAACTGCCTCATTTTCGAACCGAATTGAACTCAGCTCGAAGTCACCTCACTTCGACAGCAACACTAGGTCACACCCAGACTCCAAACCATCGGCAGGTGTGAGAGAGTCTTCATACTGTTACCTTAGCCGAAAACCAAATATGTACAACATAATTTCAAACACCGCAACTTTGAGACTCTACACACCAAGCCGACTGGCAAAACTTGTAGTGGCGCGAGGTTTGTATGTATTTGTCCCACCGAAAAAGCCTTCCGAGCGCGCTGACATATCCCAAAAGAAATGGGAGCAATCGAATATTATTGTCAAAAATCTTTAGCGTGACGTGCCTTTAGTGACATGATGGATAATCCCTTTCTGAGACTTAACATCTTCTAAGTCATGTATCTTGATGTCATCGCCAGCTGGCCGGTTCGAAGTACCGAGCTTTGCAGAAATGAAACGCATTGCAGAAATGAAACTGGGTCTTACTCCTTGTACTTGGCAACTCCAGTCCGCTCACAACCAGCTTGAGAACAAAGATGTCTTCACCATCTCACCCACCGGCTCAGGAAAGACTCTTACCTTCTGGATTCCCCTGTTATTCAACAATGGTGGAATAACAGCTTCTTCATTCACGTCGTCTTCTTCGCGCATCATTCCTCCAATGTCGTCACCTCCAAATTCTCCAAGGTCCCTCTCTTCAACATAAATATCCATGTCCTCATTGCCCACCTTCACATTCCCACCCATAGCTCGCCGCTGCTGAAGTGTGCTGTCGAGCAGCGTGAAGAATAGATGCCACAGGTTAGGTGCCACCTCCTGCATTTTTTCTGCGAGCTGATGCATGAATGCACTCTCCAGTTGTTCGACAGTTGCAGACGTGGCTTTGAAACGAAGTCCATGCTTTTCGAGTGACAAATCTGTCACCTCAGTGCGCAGCATGTCCCGCACGATTGTTATTGCCCACTGTGTTACATGTGAGTGCGCATGTTCTTCTCTGTACAGGGCAGCACATATTCTAACTGCCTTCGTTGTTAGCGAGTTTCTTGCGCTCTCGTGTTCTGTGCTTCCGAGAATGTGGTTGATGAAGTCTGCTGGAGTGAGAAAATTTTCTTCCATACATGCAAGCACGTTGTCCAGTCGGTCTGCGAGACTTGTATCCATCACGAGCGCAACAGCACGAAAGCTAGGACTCTGTCTTTTGTTTTATGCATTTTCTGCCATTGTTCTCTGCACTGTTAATATTTAATTATTATTATTTCCGTCACATAATTAAACAATACCATTTGTCTTTTTATAAACAATGTGACATCAGTTAATATTCGATTGCTCCCATTTCTTTTGGGATATGTCAGCGCGCTCGGAAGGCTTTTTCGGTGGGACAAATACATACAAACCTCGCGCCACTACAAGTTTTGCCAGTCGGCTTGGTGTGTAGAGTCTCAAAGTTGCGGTGTTTGAAATTATGTTGTACATATTTGGTTTTCGGCTAAGGTAACAGTATGAAGACTCTCTCACACCTGCCGATGGTTTGGAGTCTGGGTCACACCAACTTTGTCTATGCCATCTCCTTGTGCCAGAACAACCGCCTCCTTGCAAGTGTATCACAAGATAAAACAGCGCGTCTATGGAATCTTGATACCAACCTCCAAGTCGGCTCGCCCCTTCTGCATGAACATAATTTGCATTCCGCAGCCCTTTACCTTGATGGAAAAGTGCTTGTCACTGGTTGTGAAAACACAAACGCGTACGCGTGGGACGTTCACGCTATCCTCAAAGAAGCTGGCCTTGAAGACTTACTGTCCATTGGTATCAAACTTGTGAGTGTCAACGTATCACCTGCTCTCTTACTCTCACTGACAATGTTTGCTGTTAGGCACCAAATGACGGACTCGAACAAAAGGCATCTCAAGATGATTCAGGAGTACAGAATACACCCCGCTCTTCGCTCGATGACAAGTCATTTCTACAAGTACGTGCCGTGTTTGCAATCCTTCTCATTCATTATAACAATAACATTTCAGACTGATGCTACGCGCTGTGCTGACCAGTTTAGTGATGTCGATGAGCTCTCGCCAACGTTTTTTGCTGGCATGGAAGCCGAGGTTGATGTGCGTATTCATCACTTTTATTGTTCTTATCTAGATTTCTGCTCTCAGTCCTCCCCGATGGGTGGTGCACACCCCCATTCCTCTGTAAATGCACTTTTCGCTCGCCTTTCCTCGCTCCTCCACCGCTTTCGACCCCAAAATAATGAAGCAAACGAAATTCTGCAAACCTCAAGGCCTTCGGCGCTCCGGTCACGTGCACTCCTCGCTCGCCTTTCCTCGCTCCTTCACCGCTTTCGATCCGAAGCTGATGCACCAGACGAACTCCAGCAACCCTCCACACCTTCGCGGTCAGACCCGCATGTACTCGTAGCTCACCGTTCCTCATTTTGGCCCCGACCTCAACTCTGCACTGACGAAGAAGCTAAACCTCATCCTACAACGCCTTTCAGTTCGCGTCCAGATGCACTCATTAGCCGGCTGTCCTCATTCTTTCGCTCTCAACCCCACACCGAAGATGAACTCGCACTCTCGCAAGGCACAATGCATTCTCATGCTGTCGAAGTACCTGCCATGCGGGACAGGGAGGTATGTTTTTCTCTGGTGTGTCAATTTACAGTGTCTCATGATTTCTATGCAGGTCTTGTTTGTTGCTGAGCCGCTGCGACCAAATCGTATACCCACCCAGCCTCGTGATACTACAATACCAGATACAAGACCTGCGCATTCGCTACTCCTCCGAATGTTGGCCCATCTCGTGCTCTTTCTCTGCTGCGCATCCCCTCAGCGCGTCGGTGGCGATGTATACCCAGCACAACAGCAGGAAGGCCAAGCGCAGGCTCATGCCACATCGTCGCAAACACAGCACCAGCAAGGTCAATCATACAGTGAATCGCAGACTCGACCTGCTGCTCCCTCCATGTCCGCGACACCTACTGCTCTTTATGCTCATACTACTGTGCCAGGTGCAGCCACTCCACCTTCCATTGCGGACACGCTCCGTTTTTTTTCTGCTATGGATCTCTCCCGCATGCCAGTTAGGCAATAAAGCTGTAGCGTCTGGACACCCTCATTCTTGCACTTGGTGCTTTTGTAACTATTGTTATTGCTTTGTCCGTGCAAAGTGTGTATCTAATTTATCAAGGGCCCATTCAGCAACCGCTCGTTTGTGTCCGTTTAATATGAATTCATGATGTTAATCGATTGCAGTGTACATACGGTTTATCAAGCATTATCTTTCCTACCAGAACAGCTGCTGTGCTGAAGATGAGTCCTCACGATCAAGAACGGCTCATGAAACTCTTTTTTCAGGTCCACTCAGAATCCCAAAAGGTCATACTCTCCTTCATCGATGCCACAACCTCTGACTTGAACGCTCGGTCGAAATTCTAGACTCGTGACCATCTCTAACTCAAGCTTGATGGACCACGAGGGAGACTGCGCACGGTCGATCATTTTCAGATAAGTTCAAACATCCACATTGCTCGAGCAGCACGAAAATTTGTCCGAGCTTAGCGAACCACGAGCAAGACTAGCCACGGTCTCATTTCCAGTCAAGTTCAAACATCCACATTGCTCGAGCAATACAAAAGTTTGTCCAAAGACAACTGTGCTAATCGACTCCGGACTAGGTATTGCACTATTAACCATGTATCAAAGCGAAAGTAGAAGCATGACTCGCCATTGTGACGTGCCACTCGGACTGCCGGCTCAACGTTTAGTTTTCAACCCATATGTGCAGTTCAAAGCTGCCGTAGTCTAAAGCGCGCAGGTGAGTCACGTGGTTGAATCCTGGTTCCACTGTTCATGCTCACGACATTAAGTTTACAGACCCAGTATAAGCAGCAATCATCATCTGCTGTGCATGGTGTTTCATTACATGCGCTGACAGACATGGATGTTGTCAAAGCAACAACAACGGCGAAGAAGAAACGCATTTTCAGTGCGAGGCGATATGTAATTTTCTGAGGGAGATCTCGAATGATATTTCTGAGGATGGGGAAACACTGTAAGACGACAGCTATCTTTGTATGCTGATGGGCACGATCCTAATTGATTTGGCAGAATTGTTATTGCTATCAAATGACCAAATTTTCGGTAGAACCTGCAGGATCAAGCTTAGCGGACCACGAGCAAGACTTGGCAAGGTCTCATTTCCAGCTGAGTTCAAGCATCCACATTGCTCGAGCAGTACGAAAGTTTGTCCAAAGACAATCCTACTAATCGACTCCGAACTATTGCACCATCGCCATCAACCATGGTATCAAAACGAAAGCGAACCATGGCTTACTGCTGCGACGTGCCGCTCGAACTGCTGGCTCAATTTTTCAATTTTCAGAGGTCAAATGTGCCGTATTCTAAGGCGCGCAGGTGAGTTACAATCCTGGTTACACTGCTCATACTCACGTCATCAAAGTTACAAATCCAAACGAAGTCTACGCAACATATATCATCTGGTGCGCAAGGTGTTTCGGCATGTGCACTGACAGACACAGATGCTGTTAAAGCAACAACAACGGCAAGGAAGAAGAAACGCATTTCCAGTAGGAGGTGATATGGAATTTACTGATGGAGATTTCGAATGATATCTCTGAGGATGGGGGAACACTGTAAGACGACAGCTAGCTTTGTATACTGAGGGGCATGATTCTAATTGATTTGGCAGAATCGTTGTTGCTATCAAATGGCAGAAATTTCGGTAGAACCTGCAGGAGCATGTGCAGACGTCGTCACCTGCCCGCATTTGAAATGTAGGAAATCCTGGCAGGTGGCAGCGCTGCGTTTCGAACAGATCGCATAATCGTTTTTCAAAGCTTCACTCTAGGTTCACACCTCACGGACTCTGCTAGATGCTATTGATGCTCTCCCAGAGACGTCAATATTATTCCTTTGGCAGTTCCTAACATCAGAGCCACGTCAACACCACCTGCTCGTAGCTCAATCATATGAAAATGAGTTCCTTGTAGGTGACGGCGCTGCATTTTGAACAGATCATAAAGGTTTTTTCCCAGCTTCACGTTCTAGGTTCATACAGCTTGACTAGGTTGGATGATCGTTTAGGCATTATCGATATTCTCCCAGGGACATCAATATTGGAAGTGTCTAAAATTAATTGGAGTCGTAGCATGACACAAAACAAGACGAAATATCATTTGAAACCAGTTGACTGGCAATCTGGGCAAACTAATATACCTTCAATGGCTCTCTCCTCATCTCGACGTCTTTCAAAGATCGATATCGATGAAGGGACCCACTCAGGTTCGAGCTCTCCCCTTAGTCACTGCTACTGGACGCCAGACCACTAGGTCCGGTTCACTGATGCTAGTCAAACAGATTACATAGTTCAGAGCTAGATGGACCACAACAATCGTACTAGCACTGTTGATCCCACCACGTGCGTGTTACTGCATATCTATTAAGTAGAATTGGCCCTCGTTGGCGATGCCGAACCGAGACTACAGCAGGAAGGGGGGAGCAACCTTCCTACGGTGTCCTTGGGTTTTATTAGCACTCAGTACTGGTACGACTCGTGCGAGTAGCTCAGACGTGAGACAAAAATAGTGCATGCAATTTCAAACTTACGTTCATATATCAATGCACCGAACTTCATGTAATTGTAAGACACTAAGCAATCAACGAGGCGCATATAGACAGGACAGACATCATTGAAGATAGTTGATGCACCGGATCTCCATTGCATTTCAGACTTCCGGCATTGCCTCCTGCTGCTCCATCATATTTGTCCAATATCTGCGCAAATACCTCGGATGCGCCGCTCATATACAAAATTTGGGAGATACCTGCGTGTAGTGCGATGAGGTGAGGGTTAGGTAATGGCAGGTCTTCCGTAGGGGCATCGTGATTCTGGAAGGTGATAGTTTTACCGAGGAGCTCGCGAGGGTGCATCCACGGCCTGCCCCCGACCTCCTTGACCACGTACTCATTTTCTCGCTGGAGCATTGATCAATATGAGGCATTGCGATGATGCCAGACTACAGGCTCACCTCCGTCTGCTCGAGGTATACTTTCAGCTTGTCAAAATGATCGTAGATATTCCGTTCCAGCATCATGCCATTGGAAGGGTCGTCTACAAGCCTTTCCATGTTTTGAATAGTTTCTTCGGACATTCCTGAGTAATGCTGAATGATATTCCACGTTGCAGCAGCGCTATGTGCCTGCATAATCCAACTTGAGGGTCGATATTAATGATAACCTAACACCGACATCCTTACCCGGTCCATGGTGAAAACCCCGACAGCCCGTTTCAGGATGTGCGTTGCTTGTAAGGTTATCCAACCCTGTTCGACACCTGCGGGTATGTGTGCTCCATCCCATATACCTGAAACAGCGCATTTATAACCATCTCGTCGATTAACCTGTTGGAAGTTAACGCCGATAGCTACTTTTTAACTAGTAGAACGTGCATCGGTCCTGAATTTTCTACTCCGTTTCGTACCAGCAAGGCTACCATATGTGTCGTCAACAGTCGATGTGAACCGACCAGAAACCAAATCTGATGGTTGATGGGCCCCGGCTGTGACTATCAAGGGAAAAACTGTGTTAGTGTCCGTGGCAGACATTTCCAAGTTCTAACTTACATGGCCATAGCAGATACATGAACCAAGTCCTCGTGAGGTTGACTTGCTCGTGGATCTTTTGGCATGCGCAAATAGCACAGGCTGTATAACGCTCGGAGCTTTCGCCACCAGTCCCGTGAGCGTTCCTCAACATAGCGTCTAGAATCCTGGATGCATCCACGTCATGCACGCTTGGTGGAGTCGTGATCCATCTATTTTGATTAGTCGCTAGCTGTTCTATTATTTGTCGAGCCTGCTCCACGTAAGTCGCAGTGGATATGACAGCGTTTTGCATGACCAAATGCACGTCCTCATTGAAGCTGATGACGGATTCAGGTTCGCTGATGGTTTCGCTCAAGTCGCTGATGTCACTTGCGTTTCGTGAATGATGCATGTGAGACGTTGGAACAATATTTGTGGTAGGATGCCGGGGTGGTTGTTGTTAGTTATGACTCTGTTACTGATGGGGCGCCGGCTATGATCACGATTGATGATTTTTTTGACTCTTCTTGGGCTGTTTTCGCTTGATACTCCACCTAGGCGGCCCTCGGGTTGAGGGTGATTTGTTTCGAACTAGATCTTCAAAGCTTCAAGGGTTTTTGCACTGCTAGTCAAACAAAACGCGTATTACTAAGTAGTAAGTAGCTATAGTATTAAGTAATAGTACTGATACGTGTCATGTACGCGTGGGATGTTCGCCCTGAAGAGAATGACCTAAGTACTTCTCATTCTCATTGGTACCAATACTGTCAGTGTCGACATATCACTCGCTCTTTCTCACTGATAACGTCTGCTGTTAGACACCAAACGATACACTCGAACAAAAGGCGCCTCGAGATGCTTCAGAAATACAGCACACACCCCGCTCTTCGCTCGATGAAAAGTCATTTTTAAAGGTACGTGTCGTGTCTCCAATCCTTCTAATTCATCATAACAGTAACATTCTGCAGGCTGGTTCTCACGCTGTACTGACCAGTTTGGCGGTGTCGATAAGCTCTTACCAACGTTTTTTGCTGGCATGGAAGCCGGTGTTGATGTTGATGTTGATGTTGATGTGAGTAATCAGTATTTCTATTGCTCAGTTCTTATCTGGACCTCTGCTCTCAGTCCTCCTGAACGGGTAATGCACACCTCCATTCCTCTGCAAATGCACTCATCGCTCGCCTTTCATCGTTCCTCAACCGCTTTCGACCCAACAATGATGAAGCGACCGAACTTCCGCAAATCTAAGGCCTTCGGCATTCCATCTACGTACACTACTCGCTCGTTTCATTCACCACTCTCCACCTGAAAGTGACGTACCAGACAAAATTCAGCAATCCTCCATACCTTCGCGGTTAGATCCACCCGTGTTCCTAGCTCATTTTTGCCTCCACCTCGACTCGGCACTGACGAAGGAAGCCGAAACTCATCCCACAACGCCTTTGATTTCGCGTCCAGATGCACTCATCAGCCGGCCGTGCTTACTCTTCCGCTCTCAACCCCACACCAATGAGGAAATCGAACTCCCAAAATTATATACGCAATTATGCAAACTACACTAATGCACCAATCGGGTACATATCATTTTGCTGGGCTACTGTAATCACAACGACGAACAATCATTCGGAGTTCAAACTCCATCACCACCACTCCAGGCAGTGCTTGCTGTCTTACCGGCTGAACCTGACCCGTCCAAGTATCAATGTTTTGTATATCCTGGTGGCCACCCAATTCTTTAGGCAATTGCAAAAGGCTGTGGTCAGTTAACTCTGGTTGCATGATCGGTATTGTATCGGATGTTAACGGTAACATAGGATGGTCCTCGGCATGTATTTTTTGACGATTGCAATACGCGGCGGAGTACCTGCTGTAAGCTGAGCGAATCAAAACTGATACAATGCAGGCGTTTTGGTCAGCCTGGCCAAACGCTACAATTGCAACACGTGGTAGAGTACCGGCAACCAGCAAGAATCCGAGCGAAGCAAACTGGTAAGATATCGGTGAGGATAGGCCGGGCAGGCACTTTGAGAAAATATTGCAAGATACGATCATTTGTAAAGATGTATTTGAATCCGAGGATAAAGATGTCCGTGGAGTCTGATGGTTCCTTACTGAGCCCCAGTCATCATCAAGGCTATGCATAGCACTGTCCGCAGTGCCAATGAAGTAGCAACCAGGATCACGAACATATGCAGTCACCAATCACAAGGCGCCTCAAGTTTCCGTTTTTGTCCTTTTTTCTGTGTTATATCGATTCAACAGCGCCCGTTCAAGATGATCACAGATGTTCAGAATGTGTGGGAAGCTCGGTCACGCGTGTGTCAACAATCGTACTTAAGTGAGGTTTGCAGTGGTTTGGACCTTTCTGACTTGCAGGCGAGTATAGGCATAACAGTTTGATCTTTGTTTCAGAGATGTCTTATGTCTCAGAGGTTGCGGATTTGCAGATATCCAAGGTACGCAAAAATTGCGACTTGATAAGTTTGATGCTGACCTGACATTTGATTCAGTACACCAATAGTAAGTACTTGTGGGTCGTCCGCGAAGCAGGTGACGATACTGATTAGGTTGTATCCTCAGTTGGTAGTCTTGCAATTCTCGTGAGTACCGAGCACATTCGTCATGTTGCCAGCTCAAATGATGGCTCTTTTCGGTGTCTTAGGTATTTGATTACTGCATCACGTTTCAGGATGAGGTCAAGAATATGATCTGTCTATGATTGTGATTTTAACCACTCCCTACAGGTACGCTGGACCTGGTCCAGGCCATGGGGTTTAATTCGTGTCGTCTTCACTATTTCTCGATATCTCCCTTTCGTAGGCTCTGGATTGACTGCATATGGTGAGTCACCCACTCTGGTGATTCTTATCTTTGCATATAGTTGATGGCTATCTTAGCTGCACTGCGTGTCGGTGGTCCAGTAAGTATACGCAGGAAACAGATCCTAACGATAAGCTGATTGTATTTATGGCACAAAGTGCCCCCCTAGTTTGGCGGAAAATAGTAAGTCATCTCACCCAGTGGTTAATTTTGTCTCAACCTATCAATGCGATCTTCAGTTATTCATATTTTAAGTATCGTTGCTGCGGAAGGTGCGAGTTGCATACATCACCGTCCTTGCAAAGAACAGGGTAGATCATGCTTCTGTGACAGGCCTGCTAGTTATTCGGACCTGGGCATTCTGGCAAAAGAGCAAAAAAATGCTGATTGGATTATTGATTTATAGCACCGTGCGTGTTCCACAGGGTTGGTTTAAGGGTATACTAGATCTTTGACTTTTCGATAGGCCACAGTAATTGGCGCCGTTGCTATGAATGTCCTTCCTAATCACCAGTTGATTTCAACAGGCGAGTTCGTTGATATTTGCCAACACGTGTTGTTTTAATATGACCATCAGATGTATCTATGATACCCGGCCCATGCGGCTTTGAGTCGTCAAGAAACTCTGCACTGGTATATACTATATTGGCACTTTTCGAATGTGGTCAGTGATTATGCAGGCATACCGTTGGGCACCTGACCTACAAGCAAAACTTGGCAGTGATACTAGCCCTTACTGCGTATAAGTGGTTCCGCGACTACCGAGACTCGGAAATTCAGAGCTCGATCGTAACCACCGTCTACGGCGGTAGCATGCTTTATATGCTATGTATCATCGGTACGTGGAAATAATTGGCTCAAAAGTGAACATCGTTGTGTATTTCGTTTCGCGAAGCCATCACAGTGACCAACGTGGTTGTCGATGCAGCATTTCCGGTATGTGTACATGTCTGTCAAACTATAGTCACTTATCTTCTGTTACTTGGCTGCAGGTTGGCTTCACAAATCTGTTTGATACGTATGTCTCCGGTTAAATTGATATCGGCTGCCAACTACGAACTGACTGCATTTAGGCTACAACTTGTCATTCATAGCGTCCTAGCCTCGCGGATTCTATTCCACCTTCGGAGCAGCGACAGTCATGCCCACGAGACAGATATACCATTGATTTCGGCTCCCTGCTACGGACAACCTTCGCAAATACAGACGAAGGAGATCAAAGATGAAACTAATGAAGTTTGAGGCGACTCGGAGCTTAGCGGTTTGTGCTCGGAATTGGACACGATTGTGTTGAGTAGCCCTCTTTGGTTGTGACTACGAATGCGCAGTATATGAACAATTTTATGACGATGCATAGGTAGAAACCAGTCCATGAACAGGCGCTCTTGCGGTATTAATGAGAGGAAAGGTAGAGGTAGACGCCTTGAGATTTCATCTCGGCTCGGTCAAGAACCACACCGTCTATGAGGGAGAGCTCGTAGGGATGATATTAGCGGTAGAGCTGCTGAGGAGAGAAGCAGGCAGGAAGGACTCGATGGCACTAGGCGTGGACAACCAAGCAGCAATTTTAGCGACGCAGGCCTTCAATTCAAAGCCAGGGCATTACCTGATGGATATCCTTCACGACGACCTAAGAATCGTCATTCCAGAATTTGACCGACGGAAACTCACCATACGATGGTCCCCAGGGCACTGCGGCATCCCAGGGAACGAAGCAGCCGATGTACACGCGAAGCGCGCTGCAAGAAAAGAGACGTCAGATATCAATCAACTCCCCACATCACTCAGACTACAAAACTCCCCCATACCACTCCCCCGCAGTAAGGCAGCAGCCAAACAACAATTCGACGCGAAGGTGAAGAATGAAGCCATCACGGTCATGAAGAAGTCTCCGCGGTATGAACGCCTTCGCAAGATAGACCCCTCCGTTCCATCTAAACACTACGCCAACCTAACAGCCAAACTTTCGAGACGTCATAGCTCGCTCATCTTCCAGTTTCGAACCGGCCACGCTCCGCTGAACAAACACCTCAACAGAATCAATAGGTCCACTACCCCAAAATGCCCCAGATGCGACAGAGAAGAAACCACTCACCACTTCCTAATAGCCATGCCCAGCGTACGCGAGACTCAGAATCGCGCTCATAGATGAAGTCGGAACACGCGCACGAGACCTGAAATACCTTCTCAACCACCCAAAATACATCAAACCCACACTCAGATTCATAGCCAAGTCCAAACGCCTAGAGACAATTTTTGGAGACGTAACCCCGCCGACCGATGACGAAGAAGAGGAGGAATAAAGAACGAGAGGAAAAAGACATAGAAAAGAAAAGAACACGAGAGAAAATAGAGATGAGAGATGAGCGCTCCAGACGTAGAACCTTCCCCACCCCATATCGCCTTCAGTTGGCCTTAATGCACCCCAAGAGGGAGCCATTGCATAGCACATACGAATACTGACAAGTTACATATATAGATACAGAACGACGCAGCATGTACTGTCTACTATAGGGCGCGGCCCCAGCGGACAATAAACACTGATCAAAAAAAAAAACAAAAAAAAAAAATGAACAGGCTCTAAACAAACTTATTCATGTACAGCTTGGTAAGCTTCAAGTTATTCACCTCAGCTTGCTTGGCCGTCGCAGGCCGCTAGCCCTGCTTCAACGTTTCCGATCGTCATCAAGCCATTTACATCATGGTTTTTCGATCTTGTTTCGATCACTTGCTCCAAATGTGCATCCAAGCGTGCGCACTGCGATCGAAGAACCCTTTATGCGGTGGAAGCTTCGTGATGGCATGTGTGTATGTTGATGTAAAGGAGGCATTAAACCATGAGGAGTCAAATATGAGCGCTAGCGCTTGAGCACATACGTGTGGAACTTGCAAACTCTAACCCATGTCGCTGGTGCCATGTCGCTCTAGAAACTCGCCGCCTTCAAATTTCGGCATTACTACCTAAAAATGGGTGAAGGATTGGAAGGGCTTTCCTGCAAGTGAGATTTTGAATGGCTGATAGGTTCGAGCTGTAAATCTGATAAGGACGCAGATAGAAATACTTATACCCCTGATGGCAGCTTCAGTCCGCGGGCCCTGACGCTTGTGATGTATCGATACGTACTATAGCTCGACATCGTCAGTGGCTGGCAAATTAAATCATGATCGAGTAGAGCTGACAGTCATGATGTAACATGAACATACGGAAGGAACAATCGTGTTGTCTTTTCGAGTATTTGGTTGACCATAAAGGCCACCTAGCGGTCGCTACTAGCATATCGAGTCGCTCCCTGAATTAAGAGAGGAATGAATCGCAATCAAGCCATCCTATTCTGTGTTGGATACGGCAAGTAAGTAGTGTCTTGTTTGAAGACGTTGATGAGGCAGGCTCTATGAGAAGATCGAATGTTTCGGCACAAGTCGATCAAAAGTGTATAAAGATTAAAGAAACAAGCACATAGGTATTAAATATCAAGAGTTCTACTAGAAAAGTAAAACACCAGAGGTATATCACGATTATGTGAAAAATTTGGAATGGGCGAAAATGCCAAACCATACACTAGCAGACAGAAGACACACCAAGCTGACATGACGCTGCATAAAAAAATCGTCCAAGAATTTGCCGAGAGTCACAACTCCTATAAGAGAGTTAATGTAATTCGCCCCCAGGAGGATGATAGAAAGAGCTGCCAGGTAGAATTCCAGCGAGTCAACACCGAAACTGAAACCAAACCGAAGAAATATGCATACCGCCCAGGATAGATGCCAAAGAGTAGGCAAGACAGAATTGCGACATACGAAACAAGCCGACGTGATACAAGACATCGTAACGCCCCAACCCAAACGGTTTCTTGTCCTGAGTATTATTTGAGTCAATGACAGCTGCACGAATCGAAAAAATTCCTGCCTTTTTACCAATTTCACAAAGCTCTATCATCAAATTTGATCTGAAAAAGCACACCTGGAAAAGTAGTCCTACGACAGAGAATATGGACGACATGTGTAACAGCACAAAACAATACTCGATGGAAGTGGCGTCGAAATCTTGAGCGCCGTGTGGTATATTCCAGATGCACACCATGCTCGCAAGAAAAACCAGTGCTTGCTACGAATGCGAATCACATCAATTTTGTACAAACAATGATGGAATGAACGGTAAACTCACGCCCACATGGAGACCTACCGCCTCGTGGTGCAAGCGATTGTTATACTCCTGCCAGCCCGTTTCCTTTTCCACCTCGCGCCATAATTTCTCGAGATTAGGCTGGTTGAGGATGAGAGTGCAGAAAAACGCAAAGGTCTGCTGAGCGCGGGACCCCAAGGGAGGTTTCCAATCCTCGGGAAGTTCTGAGAGTTGCTTCTCGACACTCCCTGACTTTGTGTTGGACATGATTGGAGGTGGCTGTTGTTGGGTAGAAGTTATCTAAATGGAGAGCGTTCGTGAGAGAAGGTCAATGGGAACAGCGTATACTTACCTCGGAGTTCAAGTTATGCTAACTCACAAATACAAAGTGAGTTGCAAAGGCGAGGAACACGCGAAGAAGACACAGAAAAACGACTTACAAAGCCCCGAAGTGCAGATTATTTGAGGGGGCGCACGGACCTAGTATGTAGAAGCATCGCAGTAGACGATCTCCGAGGAGGCGCAGCACCAGGACCGGGTATGAGCTGTCTATAAGCAAAAAAGGAAATTGAGTGTAGTTATAATGACAAGGATATTACTGTGACATGCACGGTACACAACACTGAGGAGCGCGCAACTTACGATCACCCACCGGTAATACCCGAAAAACCGTCGCGCTTGTTTGATTGCTAGATCGATCGATCGATGTGTCTCTGTGTCACTCGATGTTTCCTACTGAGTCAAGTGATAAGATGAATCGACATGAATGGTACAAAACGTTTGAATTTGTAAAGAAAACGGCTTCAAATCCTAGCTCATAAGGATACTACGTATTCCACTAGGGAATAGTATGAATTGCTATTGAATGCCATAGAAGATAATGTACCAAAATGCCGAACCACACGTACCCAAATCGTCGATAGTACAACAAAGTGAGCTTTGACTGATCCTTCATAAAGGTAGCGTCCAAGAATCTACCAATTGTAACAGTCGCCATAAGAGAGGCAAAAATATGCGTCCTGGGAACAATAATGCAAAGAGCTGGAAGACAAGTCAGTACCGACATGAAATAAAACGAGGGATGCTTACCGCCCGCGAGACACCCAAAAGAGTAGGCAAGAAGAAACCGTGCCATGCGAAACTGGCAGACGTGAAACAGGACATAGCAACGCTCCACCACGAACGGCTGTTGACCCTGAGTAAACAACTTTGGTCAATGATAAAGCTGAATGCTTTGGGGAAAAAAACCTACCTCCTCACAATTATCGCCTGACTCCAATAACGTGGCGGATGACCCAAACAACACCTGGACAAGCAGTCCTATAGAGGACAGTATAAACGACCAAATTAAGGACACGAGATAAAATTCCAGGGAATATCCTTGCAGATATTTAGCAGCCCACGAACTCATCAGGCATGCAAGACTCGCAAACAATACTAGTACTTGCTGCAAAAACGAATATGTCAGTCGTACAAGTCAGAATGGTAATAAATGGTATACTCACGCCTATACGAAGACCCGCTAACTCATCATACATGTGGTTGTTATACGTCTTCCAGCCATTTTCCTTTCTCACCTCCTGCCATACTTCATCGAGATCGGGCTTGTTGAAAGTGAACTTACAGAGGAAGGTGAAAAAATCCTGAAAATAGGGATCTGAGGGAGGTTTCCAGCTATCAGGAATGTCTGGCAGCTGTTTTGCGCTCTCTCCACGAGTTGCGGAAGGCGAGACGGCATCCGCCGTTGTTGTGTCGAACGAGGAAGTAATATCAACTAAGCTATCTGGATTTGTGTTATACATGGTCACAGAGATCTTGTTGAGCTTTAGAAATTGGCCTGTTCAATTTAGAATGATTATGATAGGAAGTCGGCGGGAACAGTGCTTAGGTTGTACCTGCCTAGCGTGTTGAACTAGCAAGGTTGAGGTTCTAATCATGAGACGCGGGAATGGATGTGGGGTGTGCGCAATTCCGAAGGCTACTGAAGAGAAACAGGGGAATTAGGCCTGAAGCTTGAAGCGGGGATCGTTTGAGGTAGTCAAACGAAAGGGGCTATATGCAAAAAAGGAAATTATTGTTAATGAGTGACGTAAGTTACACCGACCACATCAGTAAACTACAAATTTCTCCACAGACCAGGCTATACTGTCATAATGATGCAACAAAACAGGCTAACTAGCATATTTTGATGATGCATCAACTATGATAGCGAGCAGTGGTGCATCACAATGCATCAGCCTCCAACCCTATTGGGAATGTGATGCATCACTGATGCATCATCCTCCCGCACCAAATTGGGCTGCACCCAGCATCCGTTCGCTGGCATTATACCCTGGTACCTTGCTTCCCTTCACATCGGGGTGAACGATATTTAAAAGAGGTTTATATGTTGTACAAAATGTGAAAACAATATTTGATATTTAAACTAACATAAAGATGGGTGCACAACTTCAAATTTTGGTGGTGTTTTGTGTGTCATCCAAAATATCAAATATTCACAACCATATTCCCACAGACAATATGTCAACAAATATAATAAATATAATCAGATTTTCCATGTCTGCTTCAATTTAAAGTTTGATTCTTACATAAAACTTTGGAGAAAACTTGAAGTTTTGCCAAAGCTTGACATTTAAATCGAGTTTTAATGTCATGTCATCTGTAAAACTTCAAGTTTTCTCCAAAGTTTTACATAGAAATTGAACTTTAAGTTGAAGCAGACATGAAAAATCTGACTATATTTCTTATGTTTGTTGACATATTGTCTGTGGAAATATGGTTGTGAATATTTGATATTTTGGATTACACACAAAACACCACCAAAATTTGAAGTCGTGCACCCATCTTTATGTTAGTTTAAATATTAAATATTGTCTTCACATTTTGTACAACATATAAACCTCTTTTAAATATCGTTCACCCCGATGTGCTTGTCTGTACCTTGCTTACCTATGCTGTACCTTGCTTACCTACACTAGATCCAGGCATCCGTCTGGCCATCCGGCTATCTAACTCATTTTTGGGAGGCCTCTTACCTTTCCAGTCTTCACTGAAGCTTGCGCTCAAGTCAAATACGTGCATGACGTCATTTTTCAAAATTTTATCACCAAGTCCAGCTCCATCTCTCCTGACACTTCAGCGCTTCAGCCGTGGCGAGCTGCGATATATTGATGTGTCTGGGCAAAACGGAACTTTCGACATATCTCGCCTTCATACCTGCAGTGGCCGGTTTGAGTCTCGCGGGCTGTAAACGTTTGAAGGGGGTATTGTCATCTTATTGGTCTTGAGGCCGACTTGCAAGTATCTATGGAAGCACGCATAGTGTTTGGATGCAGGAACATTGTACGACAAGAAACATTCAATTAAATCACTAATACTGACATGGATGCTCGCAACAAGATATGTAGATAAGACACTATTTACTGATTATGTATGCCGAGCGCGCCTAGGATGTAATCATATCAGTGCGATGCAACTTGAAGCACATAAAGGACCGACTTACTTCGTTGGCCCGCCAATATCGTTGTCACGTTCTCTTGCATTGAAGGGTTTGCGCACTCGGCGATGCCCATCTGGGAGTGGTTGGATTTCATCTGCCGAGGAAGTGGGCACGGTCAGTTGTGAACGTTGTTGTGTGCGCCTTCCACGATGACGCTGAGATCCAGCTTGGACTGATGAAGTTGGTGCCGCGCTGGCACCATCAGATTCATTGGGTGTTACCATATTTTCAACATCGGCACGAGGAGCCGGAGGGATTACGACTTGAGAATATTGGGCAGATGATGCATCATCAGTGGGAGGAGCCGGAGGGATAACGACTTGAGAATATTGGGCAGATGATGCATCATCAGTGGGAGGAGCCGGAGGGATAACGACTTGCGAATATTGGGCAGATGATGCATCATCAGCGGGAGGAGCCGGAGGGATAACGACTTCGGGATATTGAGTAGATGATGTATCATGGGCGTGAGGAGCCGGAGGGATAGAGACTTGGGGATATTGGATGCAAGCCGGAGGGATAAAGACTTGGGGATATTGGATGCATGGTGTATCATCAGCGCGAGGAGCCGGAGGGATAAAGACTTCAGGATATTGTGTAGATGATGCGTCATCAGTGCGAGGAGCTGGAGGGATAAAGACTTCAGGATATGGGTTGGATTGAAGGGGGGGGGGGCGTCGGGGAGAGCATCCAAGATGCTGATATTGAAATCCGGGTCATTGATGAGAGCAGTAAACACCTCGTGGTCAAACACAGGTAGGTTGGGAGGGTTGTTGAACGAAGCCAAGTGGGAATCACTCGGGAGCTGAGAACCAGATGATGCGTCACCTAAGATTTGCGCACATGGAAGTGATGCATCAGTTGATGCTATGGCGGCGCCAAAATCGTCTTCGATGGATGACTCAGACTGAGGAGTCATCCGGTACATGCCCGCAGTGTTGATTCGATGGGCGCTGTTTGGCAGGAGATCATCCAAGTCCTCTTCTTCCACATCACGACCACCATGCTCACTGCCACTCGTTGTTGCCCACTCCTCGTCTGAACCATCATGCGAGTCTGATGATGAATCTTCTGCCTCCTCAGCGTCTGAGTCTTGAGGCAGTGTCGACTCAAATGCTAGTGAAAAGGTCAGTGTATGCTTTCGAACTGACACATATATTGACGTACCGAGAGCGTCTTTGACGAAGGCTAGAAACGCAGCCTGCATCACATCAAAATTGGCGTAAGTCTGATCAAACTGTGCCCCACTCTCAAGTTCACCAATGTGATAGCTTCATAATATTAGGTAAGCGCACTTCCTCATCAACTTGATCACGCATCACTCACTTGAACACAGACACCTCTCCAGTGCTAGGATCCTTCCCTCCCATAAGGATCGTGAACTTCCACCCACCTGTGGCGTATGCAAGGTACTTAAGGATCCGATCAAGCATAGGACCAAGCTCACGGATAGCCCTGCAGTTTTTAAATGTGCTTGAGAATACAACCATGTGATCAACGACAGAAGTACGTACTTTATCTTGGTTGCGTCGTTAATTTTTGGCATCTTCCCCGACTTCTGGCGTAGACGTGCTTTCGCATGCTTTGCCTTTGCCTTCTGGTAACGCCTTTCAACCTTATTCTTGACGTCCTCGCATTCTTCAGAGTACAAACGGCGCGTGACCTCACGGCGCTTATTCAGCTTTGGCCCGCGGTCAGTAACATTCTGTACTCTGATTTCGGTGTCTGCAGTGTCCTTGACTTTTTCTCCATAGTATTCGTAGGAGTAAATGTCTATTTTTTGTGGTGCGCGGGTCCCCTTAAGTTCCACACCACCAGCTAACACAGTGTCGAACTTCAAAGCTCCTTTAACACCACTCGTGCGGCCCAGGCGAGCAGGGTTTTTCCGCCAACGGTACCATGTAGTTAGTTGCTAATCAAAATGAGTTGGTACGTGTGTTTCGCATACTCACAGATGGTAGTGCTTACCTGTTCACGACTTTCCACAGCGTCTGCCAGATCCTTCACTTGATCTGGCGTAAGGATGTGGTCAGCAGGCAAGTCACCAAAGAGGGCCCTTCGCTCTGGCCATTTCTCGAAAAACGATTTGTTGACTTTTTTCCAGAACTCCTCGTATTTCTTGTCTGCGGCGTGCATGCGAAATTCTCCCAACATGGAGGTGAGAAATTCCTCTTGCTCGTTGCTTGTCCATTTTTTTTTCCGAGGCATCTATTACTGAGATCAGTAGGAGCAGAGGGACAGCATCCTGGCACATACAGCGGTCAGACCTGAGGGATGGGGTGATAATTTCAGTACGTAGTGAGTTAGGGAGGGATGTTTTTCTTCGTCTTCGTCCTTTGAATATCATAGAGCCCATTTCGATGGACCGAATCGCTGGACCGAATCGCTAGACCAAATCACCGCCCTCACTACCAGTCACTCTTTTTTGACGTTTTGAATCTAATTTAATTCAGAGAATCCTTGTTTCTCAGATGCGACATCTACATTACCATCTCCGGGAGACTCGCAAAATGATACTATGTATAGTACAATGATATTTTCAACCTTGATATCTACAATCTCTCTGTACATAGTGTTTGTAAAAATAAAGGCATTGATCTGTATCATCGTGAAATATATAAAACTCACGACCACCAGTGATCACTGGGTGAAAAAAATGCATGGTCCATACCTTCACATGTAATGTTCTGAAAAAGATCAGCCCGACCCATAGCACACTGTAGGAAGACAAGGCGGACCTGAGGGACGCTGTAGGAAGCGCCACCGAAGCAGACTCGGAAGCACTTGATCATCGAAGCGGCAGGGCCTGGACCGAAAGGTAACAGTGCTTCAACCTAGTGAGTGTCGGTGCATACCAGTAGTTAGTTTGTATGATACTTACCTGTAAATACTCTGTGAGCGTCAGTGTTTGAACATTTGAACAGCATCATTCACCTACGGATGAGCCGGCTTGTGAGAGCGCTTGCTTATGTGAGAAGTTAGAGTTAGTGATTGGTACATTGAATTGTAGTCAATACGGTCCTACCATGCTACTACTATGCAGTGATATCTCCTCCAGACGTATCATCGCCCAAGGAATCAGTCGAGGTATGATGTATCCTAGTAGCTCAGTCATGTCTGCTGTATGTTCAGCATCAAAATGTGAGCATAGTTCATTCTGAACCGGACAAACGCAACTTCAAACTCATTGCGGTCCTACCATGATTATGATTAGTAGTACTACTTTACAGGTCAAAGCTATTAAGGTCCGACCTACATGTCCAACCTACTCCGGTGATGATTAATGACTACTCGTATCACAATAAGTCACTGAATAACGACTCGGAAGGGTCAGTTCACTCCAAAAACAACTTGAAACTTCAATATTGAATTGCAGATTAAGGTCCAACCAATAACGCTCCACTTGCGCTGCAGCGATGCTTTAGCAGGTGCATGCCCATTGTCTCACAATGAGTAGATGTGCTGATTATCATCCATGTCATGCACCGCACTTACAGTTTGTTTTATCTACAGCATTTGCGGCGGTGTAGTACTCGGCACCATGGGCCATCGACATTTGAATGGAGGCTCGTAATTAATACAGTCTGACGAACCAATGGAGGCTCATAACTAATACAGTCCGACGAATCGAAGCATCCGAAGCTCATCCTCTTTTTTCTCTCTCCACACCAAACGACACCGTTGCTTCACCATACGCTATGGCCCCTCCAATCAAATATAAAACCGACACGGCTAAGCTTCAGGCCGTAAGGGCCAAGCGTTTGCGTTACTATGCTAAGTAAGTATCGTCTATTTCGTTCAGCCTACGATGCCCTGATTACAGATGCAGGTGCCGTGAGGAGATCCTTGCAAAAAGAAGAGAGAAATACCACCTCAACAAAAATCGTCGAAAGGACGACGACGGCAGCGACAACAAGGGCGTGGGTGACAACTTGGATAAGGGCAATGATAGCAGTGACGAGTGTGCGAGCGATGACGATGAATCAATGTACGTGCTGAATATTATTATTGTCGCTGTGCTTTTAATATAAATATCAGAAGGACATTAGCTGATTGTATTGCCGTGGTGAAGTACGCTAAGGACGACTTCATGCAGCACATCAAATCTCCGCAACAATTCACCTTGGGTGTCTTCGCCGAATACGCGAAGTCTATCCCAGATGCTCCCGGAACTCACGGAGATAGAGAGATTCTCAAGCGCGCGATGTCAAGCATCGAGGACTTCCTTGACAGGGCTAGTCGAGGACAAGACGGTATCCTCCAACTTTGCGGTGTTTGTGACGAGTGGCGTGCCGCAGAACAAGTGTGCAGGAGCATGAGGGACACCATTGCTATGGTGGAAGACATCTATTGTCATGCGCTCAGCGATGGAGATGCTCAGTTAGCCGTAGTCCATTTACTCAAGGGATTCTTGTACCAGAACTACAATGAATGTTGAATAGGCTCAAGAGGCTTGCACACTAATGTCACTTTGAATTGCATATTTTTCATTGAGATTCATGCGTGTTCACTACTATGTAAAAGCTCAGGTATACATTTGTTACGTCAACACCTCCGTTTCGCCGCGGTCAATGGCCTCTTCCATCAGCTGAATGCCTTCGGCTACTGAGCGGACCTTCGAAAAAGAGGCCCTGCTCACACCAATGACATGGGACGAGGTCTGCTGCCTGTTGGCGGATCACAAATCAGTTGCCGTTAATCTAAATAATGCGGATCACTTACCAAGTAGAAAATATGCCAATACAGCGGCCACGAGTCACCCAGTAGAAGGGTCCCGTAGCATCAGCCGCTGGCACATTGTAGGTCACAACAGGAGTCAACGCTGGGATGAGTGGAGCTGATGCCGAAGTAGTCTTAACAGCACTGATAGCAGAAACGGCGGCAACCAGCACGTTCTGGACCGCATCATGGATCTTGGACGTCACATCAGACGCCTCCTGCCCAGTGATATTCATTTGGGCCAAGAGCGCAATGAGACTATCTGTTGAACACTAGTAAGAAGCAGAGTGTGCTTAGGAATATCGTTGCTTACCAGTGCCATTACCCCCAGTATCGTCAGCGATGGGGGCCGCAGGGAGGTCATCTATCCTGCTAGTAAGATCGCCAGTACCGTCAGTGATGGGGGCCGCAGGGAGGTCATCTATCCTGCTAGTAAGAACCAGACCGCGCAAAGAAATATTGTTGCTTACCAGTGCCATTACCATCAACAATGAGCGCCACAGGCACGGCATCTGTTATCGTGCTGGGGGAGATCATCATTGGGTGTAGTAAGTGGTAGGAGAATGATGTTGAAAAGTTGGAACTGACCTCGGGCTTTTTGTACTGAAAGCCATCCATATTGGGTGATGCAAAAACCTTCAGGTAGCCTTCGCCGCTGTAGTCGTAGTTCTTGCATCGCACTGGCAGTGAGTTCGATGAGTTCGAGTTCGATGAGTTGCAAGCTTCTGTCATGCTAACGTGTCACCTTGTGTCACACCTTCTCATGTGCAAGCCCATTGCCGGAGCCCATTGTCCGAGCGATGTTACCTGCTGGAGATTCTTCAAATGCAGGCCCCACCCGAATTGATGGTGTCACCGAGGGTGTTGCCCCAACCAGTCATCAAACTGTCCAACGTGCCCCTTCACGTTTCACTTTTCGACAAGTCAGCAATCGAAAACGACCCAAGCTCAATCACTATGCACCACCTACCTCACAGTTGCGAGAGACGGTCCATACCGCCTTCAGGTTTTCAGGACGTCAAGATGGGAATATGCAGGTGTCTGCTGCCCATCTGATTTGTCGCCCGTCACCTTCGTCCACACACCAGTCTTCCCAATTTGCAGGCCCTGAGGACGGAAGCACTGAGTTTGATTTTGCAGTGTTTGATGAACCTTCAATGGATGCTGGCGAAGACGGAACAATGACTCAAAGTCAGAAAAGCAAGCGCACAGCTGGTGTGAGTTATCTTTATTTCTGTCGCATTATTCCTTACTCACTGTCTTCGTCAGGACAATCCTCTGCTTGTTTGGAAAAAGGAACGTGATACATATCTCCGGGAGATCATTCGGTTGGATGGACGCGGTGAAAATGCAAGGGACTTGTGTGCAGGCTGTTGCGCCAATCCTGCAGAATTCCGATGTCAGGATTGCGACGACATGCAACTGTACTGTGGTACATGCTCACTGGCAAATCATGCCCGGTCTCCCACCCATCGCATACAGGTATGTGATCTCTTACGAGCAAGATGAAATATATTGATTGATTTGCAGCAATGGAATGGTGTATTCTTCGAGAGCTCTTCCTTGAAGATGCTAGGCCTTCGAGTACAACTCGGGCATCCCATCGGTCATCCATGCATCCTCCCGCAGCCGGCATTTAACAACGACTTTGTGCTTATCGACACGAACGGAATACACGAACTAGGACTGGACTTCTGTGGTTGTGAGACATCCGAGACACATGTTAAACAACTCCTTCGTCACGGATGGTTCCCTTCCACGCCAACTAACCCTAGGACAGCGGCAACATTTCGACTTCTGCATTACTACCAAATCTTATCCTTCGAGTCGAAGGCATCAGCCTATGAATTCTACCATTCTCTTGTTCGACTCACGGATAATACAGGGATGATGAAACGCATGCTGGTACGCTTATATCTACCTTTGTTCCTTCAGTCTCTTACTGTCTACCTCAGGATCACTATGATGGATTCATGCGGATGGTGCGTAAGTGGCGGCATCTCACAATGCTGAAACGTTTTGGACGTGGCCACGATCCCAGTGGCGTAGATGGTACATCGCAGGGCAAATGCGTGGTGCTATGTCCAGCATGTCCGCAGCCAGGGAAGAATTTACCTGAGGGTTGGCAAACTGCTTCGAAAGCAAAACGGTGTGTTGTACCACAGATATTGATCCACTAGGCTGATGTCTTTAGGTGGTTGTATGCAGTATTTCTAGCGATCGACGCGAATTTTCGATTGAAAAGACGGAACGTATCGAGCGATCACGCAGACCCAAGTCTTTCGAGTGGCTGGTCTTACTTTGTCGAGGAGAAAGAGTACAAGGCCTTCCTGGCCGAACATCTCACTGAGGTGCAGGAGGTATGTGACCATTTGGTTTAATCAATTGACGTGTACTCACACTATCTTACAGAAAAGTACATGTTCGAGCCACAGCGCTGTCAACATGGCAGATACAAAGCAGGCGCAAGGGCTTGCTGCTACTGGCATCGGTACAGTAGACTGTGCCCGTCATAATTTTAAACGGCCAAATGGAGTCAGCGATCTGCAAAAGGGCGAGAAGTAAGTCACGGTCTCGTTGCGTTTGTATTTACCATGTCTTATCATGCGCTTGACAGGTACATCAATATGGATTATCTCTTTTTCTCGACTTTGCGTGGTACGCAGCTCGAAATGCTCAACGTGTCCTACGATATTGCGTGCCAATGGCACAAAAACCTCTGGGCCTGCATGAAGTCCTTTCCTCGATCCCATGGCTTGGATTATCTCACCAAGTATATACGCTTCTTCGTGCCAAAGTTCCACCTCCCCGCACATGTTGCAAAATGTCAGACCATCTTCTCGTTTAATTTCACGTGTTATGTCGGCCGGACGGATGGTGAAGCCCCAGAGAGGGGCTGGTCGAATATCAACCCTGTAGCATCAAGTACGAAAGCGATGGGTCCTGGTTGTCGTCGTGACACGCTGGACGACCATTTTGGTGATTGGAATTGGAAAAAGACCGTCGGGTTGGGCGCGTCTCTCCTGTACAAGATGAAGGATGCTCTAGCTGAGAAGGCTGCGCATGCGCTCGCATTTGAGGAATTTGACGCTGTCATCACTCCCGAGCATCGCTCTGCGTGGTTAGAAGAAATGCAAGCTTGGGAAGATAATCCAAACGACACATCGATCTCTAATCCGCTTGAGGCCAAAGCCATGGGTGAGTATTTTCTGCTATTATACAGTTACCTTGGACTAATGATTTTGTCTAGCTATAACGCAAGCAGGAGTAAGGCTAAAGCTCGCGGAGCTGGAGGCCGAGGAGCTTCAGCGAGGTATAGACTCCTCTTTGCACCCACAAATCTTGCCTAGTGTGCTTATTGCTTCAGGCATAGACCTGGAAGAGGAACAGTGAGCATTTGCCCTCTGACGGCCACAAACAAGCTGACATACTTTCGAAGGCATCGTCTAGCCAATATCGCCGAGTCGATGGGTCAACATGCTACCGACACGCAGAAAGGCAGTCTCACACAGATGCGGAACTCGCTTCGTCGTAGGATCGATATGTGGCGACGTACACAAGTCCTTTACCTCCCGGCCGTTCAAGGCCTTATTGATCAGGCAGCCGCACGTGAATGCCACGAGAACGCCGAATGTATACACCTCTGGTTACCTTCAGAACTGAAAACCAAGCCGTGCGATCCACGCCTACAAGAGGACGAATGGGAATTGCGCTACGCACAGGCTCATGATGCACTAGAAGAACTGCGGCAGTGTCTACGCATTCACTGCTCCTTACTGACATTCAAAAGGGAATGGGTGCGTGGTCAAGGTGCAAATACTCGTGCTCAGAATGCCCTTGCCCGCATCCACCGAAGGCGTACGGCCTGCGTGAAGCGTTATCGGTCAGCATGGATGGCGCTCAAGAGCCTAGCTACAATCATGAAGAAGACCGGTTGGCAGGGCAGGTTGCAGGAATTGGCCGACACTCACATTAAGCCCCTCGTGGACCCATATGCTACTGGCGAAGGGAGACGTCATGTATCGTGGATCTGGATGATGGATGGTGTTGATCATGGCAATGAAGGTGACGACGATGGTAAGCACTCGTTGTGGTCTATATTTTGCAAACTAACATACTATAAGGTGTACGAATCAAGTGGTGCAAAACCCGTGCGAGGGCACTGCGGTGGTCGGAAGAGGTCGAATTACTCACGGAAGAGATGCGCAGGGTGCTGGAATTTTTTACCTGGCAGCAAGCACGGTGGGAAGAACAGGGAAAGGCATGTGTTGGGGAGTGTGCCGCTGACATTGAAGGGTTGCGAGCTTATGCTGCCCGACAGGCTAACATCCGTCGCGGGCTTGCAGACCATTTTCGGGTGCTGTGGGCACCCTTTCTTTTGCTGGAAGGTCCCATTGACCTGCCACCTCAGTTGGCCGAACATTCGTTACCAGACCTCATGATTCCCGACATTCTCTAACCTACTTCTGTGCTGTACCTGATCGCTGTTCCTAGCTAGTAGTGTACCTGATATTCAATCCATCACCGGCTGTTATTTGACATTCAAAGTGATTTAAGTTGCCGAAGACTCGACTGGAAAATTGACCGAAATACAAATGACCGAGCCGCAAAGTAATTGACCGAGCTATATACTATAGGACTGCTAACTAGCATGTTGTAATGCATCACAAGAAGGCTAAGTAGCATACTTGATGCATCACCTGTGACTTGTAGTTAGCAGACTCGATGCATCATAGCTACAGGGACTGGTGCACAGACATCAACATTTTCGACAGTTCTCACAGTAACCCACAGAGGCACAGCGCTCACAGCAAATTTCTCCCAGGTATCGACACTTTTCTGCAGTTCCCCACAGCTCCCCACAGAGGCACAGCACTCACAGGACATACAGCCTCACAGTGTCTGTCAGTAAGATACTATTATAGTTACTAGTAGTCATGAGCGCTACTAGGCCTAAGTATTACTTCAACTCATAATCCTCAAAGTACTTAGAATTAAAATTTAAAGTCACACAATTTGAAGCATCCACCAAGTCAAGCGCATGAAGCAGAATTTTATATCCATACATCAGGGAATTGGCGAGAACTTGGCTTTTGTAGATATATATGGCAAGTTCGGACCGAAAGTCCACCAGATTATATCCGAAGACAAATGAATATATATGCAAAGCATAATGCCATCCAAAGTGCAATACAGACCTAACTTTGATGAATGAATATATGTCTCACAATGCCTCACAACTATGATGCTTGATAGATAAACCTTTGTAGGAAGTCCGGCATCTCTCTGATCCAATGGTCATCTCATCAGGAAACCGGCGAGAAGAAGGTATAGATGACAGATTCAGATCACATGTCTACCTGAAGATAACACGATAAATAATCATAGCATAATAGCATCAAAGGATAAAAAGGTGGAAGAGGAAAATAATCCTGATGAAGATATATATGTCTCGCAATTGTGATATATAATAGATAAACTGTTGCAGGAAGTCCAGCAGCTCTCCATAATAGTGGTCATCCTTTGCGTAAGATGGACTTCATGATGGCTTCTTACAATGCCAACGAGGTAGCAATCATGAGCTACAAAATACATGTGATGATGATGCTAAATGGTCATCAGTTATAATTGCGATATGCCTAGGGTAGCATATTGCCAAACAACACAAGTGTGATCCTGGATAGATAGAGCTACGAAAGGCTATAAATTGTTTATCGCAGTGAACACAAGTGGTCACTGCTACGTTCTTGACCTACCGCTTGCATCATTTGGTGGTCTGCTACCGTGACAGTGTCTTGATATGGCTTGCACTTTAGTACAAGGTCTATAGAGATGATTCTACTACAACCAGGATAACATATCACTATCCTGCTGTGCAAACATGATGTACTAGACATGGTTACATAGATGGAGATACGACACGAAGTCTGAAAGTTACATTTGGTGCAAGCGGTGTTCTTGTAAGATGAGGTGCTACACAATACTTGTTGGGCGTGCACGAAGCACTATGGAAACTCATTGCCATTTTATTTGCAATACACAGATCCCGCATCAAAACGCGAAAAAACATGACCAGAAAGGCCCCAAGGCTGCTGCACTTATAGGATGTCGCTCAAGGAGAGAATATTGATATAGCATGGAAAGCAATGTCAGATGTAACGAAAGCACAACGCTGGAAGCCCCAACGTGAGAGTATGAGTGCCACGAGGCAAAGTCCAATTTGAAAATGCAGTGATTTGAGAAGCGGTCGGCGAGTCCAAAGCGATGGACGCAATAACCCAATCTGGTCGCCCACATTCTTGCTCGTGATAGGAAGTGAGGGAGGCAGTGGTGGATATGGCGGTGGTGGTTCTTTGGGTTTTGCTTTAAGAGTGGAATAAAATCAGACAACAAATCGGGAGACTGAATAGACAAGACGTACTCGATAGTAGCCCCTGCTGCTCCTCATAGTTTCCCTGAGTAGCTTCTTTGGGATAGTGAGACTCAATGACCCCAATTCGGCAGCAATGCCAGGCTCCCGTAACCTGAGGAAACTATCACCAAGCGTGTCAGAAAACCCACCCATGACAAACGCACTTTCGTCGTCTTCACCAGCAAACAGCGCATCATCATTGAGAATTTCTACTTGTGTCTCTATATGTGGTAAGTAGTGGGGATGTTAGCCAAGAGTAAGAGGAAAGATTGACTAACAGTTTCGCGGTATGCTCCAACAAGCTTTTTCTCGAGGTCAACCAGGCGTAACTCGTGCCAGACGACATTGTCCTTGATGTACCGCTCAAGATCTTGAATTCTTGTGACTCCACTCTCGAAGAGTGTATGCAGGATGATTTCCTATAACACGCTACTAGTGAATTACAAGTTAACAACTGAAAGGGACAAGGTGAGAGGTACCTCTAGCTGTCATACTCTTTGCATACTGGTCGCACATAAATCGTAGTATTCGACCGACATTGAGAAGATTCTCGGATGTTACCCGTACCAACGCATCCAGTGCAGCGCTCGATGTCCCTGGACATGAAGTGAAAGTAAGTACACCAGTCTTTAGCTGCCTATCACATCAAACAAGATGATGAGCAAAGGAGAATATGGAATGAGCCTTGAAATCCTTCGTGATCTAACACCTTCTGATTCATCCATTTTAGACATTCGTCCGTGTTCTTCTCACCGACTTCTAGTTCAACTGGTCCCTTCACTTGTCTAAGGCCAGCATATCTCGCTCAGCCACAGGCCGCTCACTATAACCTCGTCAACCATGCCTTCTTCCCCTATATCTGGCGGCTCATCCCCCATGCCACCTTCTTCTGCGTTAAGGTTGAGCGCAGCAAAATTCGCATGCATACGTTGGACCCGTTTGAGAGTATTAATGCTCGTGTTCATAATACTGAGGAGTGCATTGGGCGTGGGTGTATCTGTCCCTTTTTGCTATGGATTGGGGGCGGAGTTTCCGTCGTTCGCGAGGCTTTGTAAATCGGTGTGGGCTGGGATTGAATAGAGGGTCGATGCAGCAAAAAGTCGGGGAAGGGCTGGAGGTCCATTCGCAAGAAATGAGTCAGATTGAACAGAGGACCACCAGGTTGAGTTCAGGTCGCTTGCCATGGGAATAGGCACAAAGGGAGCAGGGATGAGATATGTGTTTACGAGGATGATAAGATGAACCATTTCTGCATTGAATAAGCGAAGGGTTATTGCAGTCAGTATTTACCGATCAATGTACAGAGGACGTATTAGCAAAGAAACAAAATGGCGAGGCTCACAGCTTGTGTTTTTCCCCCACGCCGACAGAATGTAGAGGCTGGAGTAAAGTAGCAGGGGTGGTGGTGGTGGTGGGAAGAGCAGTGGGTAAGTATACTGCTGCTCGAGTTCAACTTGCGAAATCGGGTAAAATCTGAAATTTTCGTGATGAAGTAATAAGTAAACAACTCAGGTACGCCAAAGTCACTATCACGATGTGCTCGAACACATCGTTTGTATTCTCCCAAAATATGCCCTGCAAGCCAAATACTTTGCACATGTCAAACCTGCGTTGACTGTTCCATAACGATGATATTAAATCCAAGCGATGATCTATTCAAATTACTCGACAGCAGGCTGAGGTGTGAAATAGTCGAGGGAGTAAGAAATATCTGTGAACGACCTGTAACACCTAAAGCCTCCATTGTTCGGCAGGCCACCTAATGCGGCACTGGACGATGATTGAGAAAGGCTGATGTTGGTAACAACATCTTCCATAGATCTCAACACCCTTTTCTTCCCGACCGTGCCCTTTCGAGGAATTTGTTTCTTCGGGTCAAAACCCAGTACGTTCACACACCTGAATGTAGACAACAATAAGTGACCTTAGCAGCAAACAAACGACACTGACATGATGAAGGGCAGGTGCGTCACCTCCTTTGTGAAGGCAACAAACTCGCACGGGTTTTCATACATCGGGCCAAGCACAGACATGATGATTCCATTCATGACCTCATGCGCCTCGTATTTAGGGTCATCCGTTGGGCAATAATCATCCTTTTTGGCTTCTTTGCGACGTAGTTCTTTCAAGATAAGGACCATCGTATTGTATACCTGAGGCTTTTGTGATTGCCTGAAATGAGACGAAGGGAGAAAGGACTTACGAGTGTCATTAGATTACACACAGTATCCTGCGCTAAGCACCCAGTTGATGTGCAGACCTCTTCGGTGAAAAGGTCTGCTACCCTACCATCTTCTTTGCCATGCGCCAACTCTTCAATCGGGACAAACAACGCTGCCCAGATCAGTTCCCTGAAGGCTTGCAGTCCTATAAATAGGGCAATGGTGTTTTGTATCTGGATGGCGAAAGGATTTGAGGTAAAACATTATAGGTGTGAGCATCTAGCCTCTTACATCACGAAGATCTTTTGAGTTGAAAAGCGTAACGAAATAGATGATTTGTTCTTTCCTATGCGAGGGCAAGCTACCACAAAACCCAGTATAGTGGGTCATGGCTCCCTTCAGGACTTTTCGCAATTCACCCTTCGCGTTGTCGAGCATTTTAACTAGCTGTACCGACAAGTCAGGGATGAGTTGGAGCAGGGATGAGGGAGAGCGCACACTGGTGCGGATGACCGACCACCCGATAGTGGTATGATGCAAGACCACTGATCAAACGGTAAGATAACGACAAGCAGCATAAAAAACGCAAGGCACGAACATGGTCGTTCGACAAACTGTGAGTACATCTTGCCATCAATCCGTAAAGAGGTTAGAAAGCTGTTTGTAATGAGGCGTCGTGTTTCCACTACTGAAACCCTGAATGGATTTCCATGGAGTCCAACCCACAGACTGCCCAAGAACAGGCATTTCGTGAGCTTCAAGGCTTGCTCCCAGCTTGTCTTTTGCACCACAACTCGGTATCTTTTTTTGTCGTCCTCGGCCAAATTCCCCCATAGATTAGTAGAGTCTTTCCAGGCTAGCTCTGGATACAAATCCATATCCGAATTGGGGGGGGGCTGGATCACCAACCAGAGTATGAGGTTCCTCAAAAACATCAGGTACTGTCATACCGCTGGCGGAGATGTCAGAGGGTAGTGGCCAGAAAATGTGGTTACCCAAGTCTAGAGGATCTACAAGGGACATATCCATATCAAGGGACTGCATATCGAAGGGCGGCATGTCGTAGGCCTGCATATCGAGGGTCTGCATACCCTGCACATCGCTAGAGGCGTACCGGATTTCAAGAGATTTGGGAGGTGTGAATGGCATGTTAATGGAGATGGGTGCAGGAGGAGCCAGTGGGTGTGTCTCGACTTTGGCAGTCGAAAGGGTAGCATGTGACATCTCGCACGCAGATATTAGGTTCTCTGCAGGAACAGGATGCGCGGGGGGTGGGAACCCATCTGGAAATAATGGCGGGTGGAATTTTACAGAGGCATGCGATAGCTCAGCAAGCTATCAAAGCGCAATAAATACACAGAAATTTAGCACTAAGAAAAATCCTCACCAACCACATAGGTCTTGGCTCACCCAGTTCATTCGGCCTACAATAGGAGGCCTTTACCTCCTTCCGGATGAATTCTCCATCAGCATCCTAGGTCCGTGATCTCAAAAACGAACTTTCCAGCACTGCAAAGCTCTCACCGTTGATTCAAACAATGGGTGAGTACGGGTGATGTCCACACTGTCGGTGATACCCAGGGTCCCTATATTTTTTATTACTGCCAGCCACGGCTTGACCTTCCTGTAGGTTTCATCCACCTATGAAATAGCAACGTGAAATGAACAGTTTCAAAGATGGAGACTTACGTATATCGGGTATATGTCTTTGTGGATAGCCAAATACCCAATGGTCTTGAAGGATTTGCCCGAGAACCCTGAAAACGGGTGCTGAAATCACCAGTTATGAACTGATACAATGGCTGAAAGATGGTGTCAAACCTCCTCGTGCTAGAGGGAGACCATCAGTGGCAGTATTCAGCATAGACAGTTCACATACCGCAAGTTGTACCAGCCGGAGGACCTCCTTGCACTCAGGGACATACATATATGTAGGGTGCATGTCTGACTTTGTGTGGTAGAGGCAGAATAGGTTCAGACGGTGTCGGTCAAGAGTCGCTTGAGGTATCGCAAAAGTAGCCGCAAATGATTATATATTGAGAGGCTAGCTTATAATCATAGCAGTTAGCATGAACCGGCCAAGTTCGAATATTAATGAGGGCCAAGAATTAGTGATGGCCAGGGGTTAGCATGGGCTGGCGAGATTCATATACACGAGTGCCAGGAGTTGATAGTGATGCATTGATGACTCGAGTGAGCGATGGCCAGGAGTTAGCATGGGCTGGCGAGATTCATATACACGAGCGCCAGGAGTTAGCATGGGCTGGCGAGGTTCATAAATTCACACGCGCCAGGAGTTAGCAGCAATGGCCAGAAATTAGCATTGATGGCCAGGACTTATCAGCGATGACCAAGACTTTGAAATAGCCAGGAATCAACGGAAAATGGCCTTTCCAAGGATGCTAGGTAGATTGCTGTGATTTAGTTCTCATAATCGAATATGTGATCTGCATACATTTCTTCCAATGCGTCTATCACCGTCTCCATGCTTTCATTTCGTCCCTGCTCAAACAGTATCAGCTCCTCCGCACCAACATAATCCTCATCCTCTTCGTCCTCTTCGTCAACTGGACATTGATTGACTTCTGTGATATTTTCCACAGGTTCATCTTCGGTCAGGGTAGATGTCTGACTGACAGAGTGTGGTTCCACGTCAAAGACCCCCGCCCTATGGGAATACAAGTGGCCTACGCCAAGGCCGTGATGGAACCGCATGAGGGTATCGCGATCGACGAAACTATTAGAGTTATGGTATCAGTAAAGATAGCAAAAATATATAGTAGCTCACCTGTTGACATAATATTCATGCCAATCGTGTTTATCTCCGGCAAGAGGGGAAATACTATTACTCTGGTTGTGTTGGCATCGAGAGAAGGCTGGGATAATGTGGCACGCTCGAAGGACGTCTCCTGGATCTACGAAACCGAATGCGTTTGGATTTTCCAGAGGTAGAAAACGAACCTGGCCCAAAGTATGGGTGTGCCAAGCATGGCTTTGTACGGTTTCATACCAACGAACAAAAAGAAATTCGATTTGGTGGGCATTGTACACATTCCCTGTACGAACCACATTGACGTGATGAATGCCAAGAACCCTGGCATAACAATAGTTGCCATTGAGAGCATCATCGCAACCACGCTGGAGCAGCATGATATTGCAGTGAGCAGTCTTCGGATTAACGACGTCCTGAGCCCGTCGAACATCATATGTGGTATAATTGAACTTGGCGAGATTATGATGGTAGATTCTGTTCCGTTTGAAGAGAATTGAACTAGATTCTGCGTTAGAACGGGTGGGTTTCTCGCACAAAGATTCAGAAGTCCCAGAAGTCCCTGGGTCAAGGCGATCAATAATATGGTCCTTCAATCGAGGCAGGAAGTCCTATGTCATACGTCAGGATGATGGCTATCCGCAAGAGAGTCAAGTCAACTACCTTTATAGCAGGATCTCTCGCATGACTGCGGAGATAATGACCAATTTCGTCAAAGACCTTCTCACTTTGACCGATGTGATGATGGAGCTGGGGATCGCACGCAGTTTCATTAGATGCTGTATGAGAAGCCTGTTTATACTGCCGTTGCTTGATGCGGCGTAATCTTGCTTGACGACGCTCGATTTGCGTCAGCTGGTGAATGAAGGTCTTTTGATCGGTTCGACGGTACCTGCCCTTCGGTGTACGATGTTCCAACTCCCCCTGATGGCAGTTGAGTTGGAAACCGAGCAGTGAGAGGGTTGATACTTACTGGCTCCGTGCTGTAGGAATCTGTGGTACCGAAGCGATGGATTGAGGCTACATAATCCCCTAGCGCATGAAGCTTGTAGGTCCGAAGGTTGAACAACTTCTTCTTCTTGGGCTGCCTTGGTAAAGGTGCATCCTGTGATTGCTCTGGCGCTGCCTTCTGCTTCCCTTTAAGGCTGGCACCTGCCATAGGCCCCGGAACTGCAGCCCCACTACCTTTCACCCTGCCTTTCTCCGTGCATTTAGCGGCTTCTTTTGCTTGCCGACGAGACCTCGCATTGGTTTCACGATCAAGTTCATGGGTGGCGTATGCAGTGCACATTTTCGCCTTAAAGTGACGAAGATGCTCACCAAGTTCAGTTGTTTGCTGGTCGAGGATGTCTAGGGTCAGGTCGGAGTGCATGCGAAGCTTGGCAAGTCCATGCCAGTGTGCCAGAATGAACAGGAGATCGATAATGATCTTGTTGTGTGGTTCGGGGAGAAGGCCCTCGAAGACTGGGATAGAGCACTTGTAAAAGGTGAGTACACAAGGATCTATGGGAATCATCCCAAGACATACCTGTAAAAGATCCTCAAAATTCCGTGCAGCCATATGTGACATTTCGGAGGTGTTCGCTGAAAATCGTCTGATGGTCGCGGGTCCAAATGGGGGGACCTGCCTATATCTGTCAGGTGAGGGTGAGTATACTGGGCATTCAGCGAATACATATGCTGCACCTTTTATCAAGCTCGTGTATTAAGTCCTTATTCAAGGCGAAAAGGACTCTCAGCAGGTGAAGTAAAAGCATACGCCAAACCCCAAGTTCGACCTCGTGCAAGAGGTCGACGACGAGTGTGGCAAACAAATTGAATCCAAAGGCACTAAGGCCATCGGATAAAACATTCTAATTAATAGTGAGTAAAGGCGGCAGGTAAGACTGATTACATGGATCATGCTCACCGAGGTTGGTACCCAGGAGTCTGGCTTGAGTAGCGACCCGACGGCTGCACTGTCCATGCCAAGGTTCTTCTCATAGATGAGGCTGCGTGCAGTGGTCACCAGATGACTCCTCGATGTATCGGACCGTACCAGCGTCAAACGTTGCTGCCTATCACGGCTCATTCCAAGATTTTGAAGCCGTGTGGTCGGTATGAGACATCGCGGGCAGGGACAGCTTCCCATCTGCCGGATTGTCGCAATAAGAACCCTGCCTTTGATGAGCTTCAACTTCTAAAAGATAACACCCACGACTCACTTCTCAGGATAGTCTGCAGAGTAAGTAAATACTCGTGGGTAAAACCTGCGTTCGACACCATCGCAGCACAGAATCACAATTCCATGCTTGCAGGCCTCTAGAAACTGATCGTCGAGTAAGACATTCCACTGAGCCTGGAATAACTCGTGCTGGCAATGTGTTGTGCAGTCACGGCCAACCCCTTTGCCGTTAGTGTAGGTGCCCGCAAAATCCTTAAACGAATCCGAAAGCTGCAAATGCATGAACTTTAATGCTGAGTGGGATTCGTAAGGACCAACGTACCTTTTGAAAGTAGGCAACATGATTACCTAGATTGCACGATGGTCTACAACGGCGATATTTTGATTCATTCCCGAAGTACATATATACTGGCCATAGCCTCGCGTTGCCAAATGTTGTCAGCTGCGTGGCATCTGACCAAAACATGAGTGCAACGACCACACGCTGTAACTTACATCCAGCCTCTCCAGGAGACTCCTGGAGTTCACGGTGCGCATCCATAAATGCTGGCGAAGTATACAATTCACCGTGAATGTTAACTTCGTGGGGAAGATGTGCGGCGTTCCATTTGAGTTGGTAAGGTTCATAGTGAAAAAACTCATTGTCCTGAGGATTCGAGAGCTTTTCCCGAATGACGGAAATGAGAGGCCTATAGTACAGTTCCGCTGCCACGTAAGTTCGAGCGCCTGGCTGGGCAGTCGTCCGAGAGAAGGGTACTTCGATGGTCACCAGTGCTTTACACCAGCCAGCATTTTCATCCTCCCATTCATCCTCCTCGTCATTACCACTCGCACCCAACTTTGAGTTGATCCTATCCCATGGCGTGCTCCGCACGTCATCAGGGTCAAAATTCGGGTGTCCGACAATACCAACCAGCTCCTTGAAACCCTCCTGCGACTTCTGCATGCCGCCATTCCAGTACCAGTTGCCCAATTCGAAAGAAGATTTATTGGGATAAGGGTAAAATGCACCATCCGCGACCGGGGAATCGGAGGTGAAAGCTGGAACGGAGCTGATATTGTGGAGTGTCACCGCCTCTTCGGGGTCGTGATGTGGGGGGACGGATGAGAAGAACTGGTGTACCAGTCCAAAGACATTGCGAACTGTACGGAAGGGAGGGGCTCGAAGCAATGTATTAGTGCCAGTGGATGTGTCAGTGTGATCTCCTGGTAGGTTGGGATCTGGCACTGGGATGGTATGATCGAACGGAACACTTGGAGGGGCTTGTGGAAGTACGTCTTCATACTGCCTATAACGTTGCGGCATGGGAACGTCAACACGCCTGCCCCTTCTCTGCGCCAGCGATAGGTTCTCATTGTTGTCCAAAGTCATGGCACCAAGATCAGATTTGGATGCCGAGGCAGGTGCATTTTCTTGCGACCAAAGGCCTGCACACGAAACCTCCTTTGCAGGGCACATTGCCGACAGGGTTGAGCCGGTGCTTGAAGGCTCTGCAATAACCTGGCCAGCGGATGGAGATTGGTCACATGAACGGAGGGGCTGCATCTTGCTAAGGCGCGCATACGGTCTGCCACTGCCATCCACTCTGGACCGTTTTGCAGAACCTAACAGGTCTTTTGCTTTGGATAAAGCAGAAAACAGCCGCTTCTTGCCCTTCGCGCACGAACATTGATGTTTGGTGTAGGTGCTCTCCTGCGTGAACTGGCGTGTACAGCTACATCTGAAAGGAGGTAAAGTCAGCGATGAATCGTCCAGGTCCATGAGAAGTTGAAAGGACGACTGCATTTGATTCTGAATTTATTATACTGATTGGCGCTAAAGACGGCTAGCATGATTACGAAAATCGCCATCACAGCGCGATATTCACACAGCCCAAAACTTCTGGCCTGGCGGACACAATGACGGCAGGGAAGACTGGCCAGGCCAGACGCGGTTCAAGGTAGTGGTAGTGGCCTCATATATAATCCCAATAGAACGCACATTTCTGCCGCACTGACTTATCAATGGAAGCCCCGTCCTCGCCCTCCTCTATCATCACTGCCCCTCTGAATCATCATGAAACCTATCAGAGGTTAGGTAAACTTATTGCAGAAGCTATGACTTGCTGTTTTGCCATCCTACATTATGACAGCTTCTCCGAATCCATGATCGAATGGTGTTGGTAAGATGTTGCTTGCATCCTGTGCGAATTCTGGGCCATGACGCTGCTTGCATATAATGCAGGCCAGTCGACCATGATGGAAATAAGATTCCGCCATCCAGTCTAGAAACGCACCGAAATGGATACGAATTTAAATACCCATGCTGCCTCTGTGCTGACGGTGGTGGAAGAGGGGCGTATGTAGAGGCAGCGGTGTATCCTTGGTGGGATATGAGTGCAAGTAGGATTGACTGGACTGCAAGATGTGCATCAGATAGATGCGGATACAAAGGTTAGCACTCTTCATGCTCAAGGAGATCCTAAACTCACGGTCATAATACAGTGAAAATTGATATGCACTTCCAGCTATCGTCTCTAGCCACCTTCCAGTACCCTCAAAGAGGTAGGAGCTTAATTTACTGAAATACTACAGCTTCATTAACTGAACAAAGAACGGCGGGTTGTCTTACCGGTTAAACTCAAGTGGAATCGCAAGGAGCAAACAGAATTGTTGACCAGACTTGACTCTTTTGACGGCAATGGGATCACGGAAAAGGAGTTTAGCGCTTTGTTTAAACGCTGCAAGAAATGCTTGCGAGTAGGAGTCAGGAACCGCCATGTCTGCCATTCAAAAGGGGTGCAGAAGGACCGTCATCGTCATATTATTGCTTGACTTGATGGATGCAAATACTTGTGTGATCGTGAAATGATGCTGGTGTGTTTAATATAACAGGTCCTGGGTCGTACGTGTTTGATTTGTTCCTGACAACTTGAAATCGGACTGTTTACAATAACAACAATCATAGTAAATATTTATTTATTTTATTTTACCTAAGTATTAATAGTGATAGTGCTGCTTCAAGATGGCGAAATGCTGCATGAGGTATGGCCAGTAGCACTTGGAGGCAGCTAGACGCCTTTTGTACCACCAAATCAAATCGTGATGGCCAGATCATTATTTGTTCTCACAGGTAGGAGCATACACTACATGCACGTACTACATAGCTACTTGAAGATTCCCAGGATTCTTCGAGATTCTCACCATCCACTCACCCGTCACTTACTAGTAGTATAAATAAGCCAGTGTTGATTCACGCACCTGCTTGTACACCTTCCCTACTACCAGCAGTCAGGAGCATGCATGATGTCGGCCTGTCTTTCACCAGAGCTGTTTGACTACTCCACTGCCCATGCAAGCACTTTTGAACTATCTAACTTATTGGGCACTCAATTCATCGATGCCTACGTGGGACTCATAGCAAACCAGAAGGTCAGTTGATCATGATAATATGCATATACTGATTTTTATTCTTTCCGTAGCTCCAAACTGAACTATACATTCTGGCCTACTTGCTCAAAGATCGAGTTTATACTGGCGATCTTTGGGAACTGATTGGGGAGCGCAGTATAGAGGCGAAGCAGGAGGAAAGCTTACGCCGACACCAGATCACCTGTGGGGGTGTGAATGAGGGAAGGCATGTGATTGTAGAGCGATTTCTCATGGAAGAGAGGAAGAAACGGTGTCAAATGGAGGTGTCTTTGTACTCCCAGGCTATCGAAAACTTGGAACAACTCCGCATGCATAAGTTTAATTGATCTTCAGATGAGATACGATCTGAATACTCCTTCTGTAGCATATATTGGAGTTCTATCCAAGCACAATATCAGGACCCCCTCAGCAACCTTGAAGCATGCAACTGCACATTTACCCTGCGCACCATTACCCTGCGCACCTTTGGCCTGCTGGATTGCTACACAAGAGATGTATAAAGCTTGGCTAACGAGAAACAGCGCGCACCTCGAACCAGCTGCGGAGCCTTCAATCAGAAATTCCTCACCTTTGGAAGGCTCCACCCCTTCGGTTCTCGGTCTGCCTCCCGCCGCGTGGGACAGACGAACGATGTCCAATAACTTGCACATCAGTAATGTATTTTTCTGTTAAGCCATGCTCAACTGTCTGTCTCTATAGCATATTGGCCCTCCATCACTCCTGCTCAGTACATGGATCACCGCTGACGTCCAAGATACCTTTTTCAAGGCATTCCAAACTGAGCTGGACATGCAGTCAGACCTGATGACGAAATCTCTTGTTGCGAGGCGTAGCAACGCCTATTTACGCAATCTTGGGCTGGATCTACTCATCCTGCAAGCCAAGAGGCATCGCGCCCACGCTGAGATAGAGCTATATACATTAGCTATTGAAAATACACACGCATTTAACTGTGACCATAGTGAGCAAAAACAGGTTGTACCATCCTCCACCACTGATGATATTGCAGGTTCACAAACATCCTGGGATCAAATCATCCCACGACATATACTTCCCAGGAATGTGAGTCATCATGACGAGAACATTGACGATGACGATGGCTGGAAAGTTTGGTAGTGCCAATTGTCTGGATTATTCTTTCTGCGCGAAACTGCATTTATTTATATTTAGCCCTTGTGAGGGCACTGGCCGCCATGACTTATTCTATCTTTGTACCGATTATTGTATCGACCGTGTAAAGTAGTGTGGCTTCAATAGAATGATGTGTCGTGACCGGCTTTGAGGATACTTCAAAAAATTAGGCTGGTATCTCAATTTCTCAATTTGCTATACTCAATCGTAGCAGCGCTGGGAAGCGCTAGTCCCCGATTTCAAGCTTCAATGTTTCAACGTTCAACGTTGCAACTTCGAAGTTCAAGAAATGACGATAGATCAATTGGTAGCAAACAGTTTGTCAATATACAACAAACAACATGTGACGAATCTTGGCATGATGTCATCAACACCTCGACGCGACATTTGACAATGAGTACAATACATACAATACATAGATAATGTCGCACAGATATTGTACCTAAGTCAGAGAAACATACATTGACAGAAAACAGACCAAGCAGACTCCTCAAGTTCTAACAGCAATTAACGTCCTGCAACTGATCATCCGCCAGGCACCGAATCTGTGTGTTTCGCTTTTATTAGCAACATTCATTGTTTTTCAGGAAATATTTGAACATCACACGTGCATTTTTACCAAAGACGCCGGGATACAGACCCTGGTTAGAGTTTTGGAATTGTGGCGCAGATACTTCCAGTACGCTCAGGATATGATCATGTGGCCTTATGACTATGATCGTTTAATAAACATACCATTTATCAAGATGTGTCATGTAGCGCCATTCCGGAAAATGCCGGAGATATACTTTCAGTCCAAATCGGGACAGTGCTCTTAGACGCGAGAAGTCAAAGCAACGAAAGTAAGCATATTCACTATAGATTCAATTTTATATTTACTACTCTACTACTAGCATGAACAATAACGCTAATGATAATGGAGGAGACGGTAATCAAAATGGAGGAGATGGCAATCAAAATGGGAACCGCGATCACCAGGTATGTTGAATATTTTCTGACAATTATTGCTCACCGACTCTCGACAGATTCCTGAACGCGATTTGCAAATCATACCAAGGCCTCGCAATGTGCAGTTCACGCTGACGGAAGGACAACACGTGAGTAACGACTCATTCAAAAAGTAAGATTTTAACATTCTTGAAGGAACTTATGTATGTTACATGGGCCGGCGGCACGACTCCATGTGCGCCAACAACTGTATCACCCCGACTTGCCAATTCAGCCCCATCCTCAGCCTCCGCACTGGTCAGAAGAAATGCGCGCGATGCTGGTGCTCTGGATTGCTAGGGAGCGCCGAATTTTCGAGATGGAGATGCGAGAATTAGAATACCTTCTGGGACTTAGAGGTGCGCGTTAGCGCTGCCAGGTAAGCCGGTTCAAAACATGAAATTCCGAACGGACTTATGAGTATTTTAGACCATACGCATGAAGAGGGAAGTTCTAAGAGACTAGGGATGAGTTAAGCGGCTGCGCACATCGGACGAATGTACAATACACAATGTAACACCTACTCCACTCAACATATTCGGAATTTTGGCTGCTGAAGCAAAAAAAAAACGTCAACGCAATCAACAGATTCCGAGGATTCCAGTGTATCAGTGGACGACACGCGAGAATGGGATCAGAAGCCATTTCCAGTGGACTCGATATCTTGGGCAAGATCCCAGTCGAGCGATATGTCTGGACCAACGAGCCATGTAGCTGCCATCATTGAGTGCGATACAGGTGCACCCATTGATAGTGCTCAAGCTCGAATGAATTTTCATGAGCCTGATTCGCATGCAAAGTACAAATTGTGTCAGTGCAATGATGTGATGGAGATGTAGTATACGATACAGGTGATGTGCACCGTCGACATTGTACTGGATAGAATGCCAGAAGACAAGCAGTAAAGACCTAAAGAGAAAGCACAAGATAAGTATAAAAAGTGAGACGAAATAAAACTAGGAATGAAGAGGTCGCGAGGACCGGGGTCGCATAGAAAATATTTCATAGGCTTTTCAAAGTTTTGCATGCTGAAGAACAAACTTCGATGATTTCTTCGACTTAACTTTGTCGATATCTGCAAGCGTAACAGGCCAGCATTCATAAGTGTGATTGTATCCCAGTCTGGTATATCACAGGTTAGTGGACTATGTTAAAAATAAGGGTATGCTTACCTAGCCTGGCCGTCAATACCCCCTGCTTTGTAAAACTCAGGCCTGTGGAGTAGACTAACGACCACTGCACCCCCAATACCAATATTGTGAACAAGACCAAATTTTCCCCGTTTGTCCGGGATGTCGAATAAGCCAGGTGCTTGCATGCCACTACACATCAATTGCATTAGGAATACGACGAAAAGCAAACAGATTGATTGCCACACTAACAATTACGCAATTGCACTGCCAATGTGATGAGAACAATATCGCCAACTTAATAGAATGCTCACTTGTTATATAAAAATGCATACCCAGATCAGTAGCCCCGAGTGCATGTCCTTTGGCTTCAAGACTGCCGCTCGGGTTTACAACATACTTGCCGCCATACTACAGAATGTTCAGTTACTTCCCAACTGAAAAAGAAAACTCTGACCGTATTGTCACCTCTTTCGACCATCTTATGGGCCTCATCAGGGGCACAAAGTCCAAGGGCAGGATATGTAATGAGCTAAGGGAGGGTCATGCGCCAGACTATGTGAGGAAAGGCGTACTTACTTCGTTTGCGGAAAAACAGTCATGCAGCTCAACCACGCCAACCAAGTCGCGTCCTTCACCATCAGCAAAGCCAGCGTCTTTAAATACATTGTCAGCACATCGCTTCGACATCCCGTAGCCGGCAACCTCCATAGCGCTTTTAGTATCATATGCAGCAGGGTCGTCCGTCTCAAGGCCTTGCGCAACTATTTCAATGGCTTGATTCTCCAATCCATGGGCATGTACAAAGTCTTCTGATGCAATGATACAGCAGGCTGCACCATCCTGATGCATGGTGAGTATTGAGTACTTGAGAACGGGAGGACCGTTACCGATGTAGGACTGCACATGAACTTCATGAGTTGAGCAGTAATCTTAGGTGCTTGTAGGACCTGTTCAACCGTCTATCCGTTATGGAACTGTGAATATGGGTTCTTGACGAAGTGTGCGTGATTCTTTGCGGCTAGAATACATTTTGAACACACATTTTTAATACGAGCGCTGGATAATACCTATCATGGCCAAGTGTTTGAATTGAAGATAAAACCAGAGATAAAAAGAGAGCACGAACCCAATCAGAGAGCAAATATCACCATAGTATCAGCACTGTACAACAAATACTCGGAGAGAGGTTGTCAAATTTCAGCTCTGCAAAGCATAAGATAAACGCGAGGGTTTATAGAAAAAAGCTGCAAGGCTATCACGTTGCCCTCAGGGCATACTTAGAAAACTCCCGTGATCACTGTTATTGCACTGAGTACATGCCATTCTGAGAACGGGCAACTCACCAGTAAAGATCTTGGACGACTCGAGGCTTGAAATTTGAAACGCGGCACTTCTGAAAAGTGCATGATGCAACCAAGACTAGCTTACACATCACGGGTGCCACAAAACTCCGAATTCAAAAGTTATGGCAAACTTTGTTTTTTTTCCTGATGTAAGCCGGCCGTGTTGTAACATCGAAGGAGAGAACAGCAAAATAATATATGTTTGTGGCAGCATCGGTACTCGAAGATATGAGCCAGTCAGTTGAGGGCACATTTACAGCAACATCAGGCTATGCAATCACGTTGCTTGGAGTACAAGTCACTGACAACATGGATGTCCCAGACATAGTATGCCTGACCTGTGTCTGTGAAGTGGATCTACTTGTCTCTTACCTTCGCTTCTGTTATCAAGCGCAGTCATGTCCTGGAACAGACCATCTAAAACACCTTCAACTTTTGAATAGGAAGGTGGCAGCGTTTCCAGTGCTCAAATTCGTGTCACCGGTGATACCGCGCTTTGTGGCATAACTTCGGGCAGCATGTGCTAAAGCATCAAACACATAGAGACTTGACACCTTGACAGTACTAGACAGTGACTTGTGAGTGCGATAAAGTACTTAGGGTCGTGCTGTCAATGTAAAAGCTTCTACATTTACCACTAGCCGCCATGTTCTAGTCTTGAATTTGCACCTTGATCGCACCTTGAGAAGGGTCTGCAGTGACACAGAAGGCAGAGACAGCATCCTTCAGTTTAAATCGATGCCTAACCAGGCGGGGGCGGCGCCGGCCCCTCAGAGGCTTCAAGTTGATCAGACCGCCAGCGACAAGGCGTATAGCTTTAGGGTACTGATCACATATGGTGAGCATATCGAAATTCTTGCAGAAGGGAGCATATGTACCTGGTTAGCATATCTGTATTGGAAACTAACATCTATCTCATTGGCACTCAGGTGCATGAACAGGAACTGAAAGTATGGCAAATTGAGTGTGACAAAATTTTGGGCTTTTACATACCACTTGTTCGTTCTTGCCGACGCCAATGATGAACACCTTTCCACCAAATTGCGTTACCTGGGTACCATGCAGCATAAGTGGAGACTCTTGACGGCATAGACGACTCCAGTGTTTCTTACATGTACTGCAGTATGCACACTGCTCTTCACACTGCTGCACTCAATCGCAACCTCAGGGCCATTAGCAGCAGCTTTGATCTTTTGGGTCGCGTCCTTTGGCGTCAAATCACACTCGATCAGTACCATACACACACCAGGAACAAGCTTCTTTGCAAAGTCGAGGCGGTTCTGGAACAGATCAGATTACAACTTTGGGCTCGGCGCCTGCAGCACGTGCCGAAAGAGGAGAAATGAGACCGATCAGTCCAAATGTCAATCAATTATATATCATAACATGAAATTCCTAATGCGAACACACCAGATCAAAGTGGGGTCACCAAGGCGGAGACCAACACGCTCGATGCCTGCGAGAGCTACAGCCAGAGGCTCGCAAAGAGAACCTTCTTCAAAAAAAAGGGAATCAGGCAAACGGTGTAGCCACTCAGCAGGGTGCAAGTGATAGCGAGTTAGGGTTCCTAGAAGGTAGCTAGTAAGCATCAATAAAAGTTGAATGTTTGGGAATCCTACCATGGAAAGGAGGAGTGGAGAAGAAGACAACATCAGAACCTGTAAGGAGATACCACATTACGGACTGCTTGACAATAGGTTAAACTGGACACGTACAAGTGTTATACCTACAGGAAGGTTTCGAGCAGGGCACGCCGGCCTCGATTGCAACACGGTTAGCCCTTTACGTCATCAGCATGCTGGGATGGGTAGCTTACCTGCACCTTAAATATTGAATATTGAATTCTAAGTGCAAGTGCAACGATACTTCAATTGTCTTATCAGCCGATACATAATCATGTGATCCTTTGGCTATACAGGCTGAAAGTACCATCCTGGGACCTGGCCAAGTGCTGACCCAAAGAGAAATGCTTGCGTCATTTCTCACATCTAAATATTCCACCGGTGTTCCCGCATCCTCTGATCCTATAAACCACAATTTTGTGCAGCAGCACAACTTGAACACTGCGATATGCCTTCTGTATTTACCTTTCGTCCTCAACTTCGAGGTTGTATTCACCTGGGCAGTGCAGTCAGTTAATTTCAAGGGAACGCGCATCCGACATACTTTGAGCGGGAGAGGGAGCATCCCATGCAATCTGGTGGGGAGGGCAGGTGTCAATTTCATTTGGTGCATATTCTTCCAATACTCTTGCTTGATAATTTTCCTCCAACCAACGAAGTCTGTACTTTTGACGCAGCTCTTCCAACCTCAAGCAGTTCTTCTCCGCAAGCTGCAGTCTCTCTTTGAGCTCCACCATGGAGTCCACCTCGCCATTTTCATATTCTCTCACTGCCAGAGGCGGAGCCTCATCATTCCGTACTGAGGGGCCATTGTCATCAAAGTTTGCCTTGCTAGTCTTCGGTGGGCTCTGAGAATTGTTGATAGTGTTGGCACCCTTTACGCTGGCAATTTCCTTGCCGCTTTCATTAGTGTTGTCCACCAATTCTATCCTAGGCAAAGGCATCAGCACATACTGCCACCAGGTAGGCGCATCAGATTTACCGAAGGTTCAAGTTGATAATATGTCTTTGCAGTGTGGTCTGACGCCAGAGCTGTGGCATATTGGGCTGTGCGGATGCGCTGTCTTGTTGTAGTTGCAGAATACTGGATGCAAGTTCAAGGGTGTTATATTCCTGCCGTGCTTTTACTTATGAGATTTCAGGCTAACCATCTTGGCACAAGGTTGATACATCGAGGTACACAATCGACGGGTTGGGCCGGAACCATCCTGGCCATCTCGGCCATTTTTTTTCTGGGCCAAGCGTCCACTTTCCGCCAGTCCCCCTTGGATGTCATAGGTTTGACGTCAGGGCTGCAGTATAGTGGGCATGGCGGATGCTGCTTTCTAGTTGTGAGATGCAACGAGGTGTAAGTTCGAAAGAGCCCTATACCAGCCACGCTTTTGCTTAGCTATTGGTTTTCAGGCTGACCATCTTAGTATAAGGTTGATACATCACGGCACACCGTCAATGGGCTGGGCCAGATTCACCCTGTCCACCTTGGCCAATTCTTCTCTGGGCCATTGCTGCCATTTACGGTGGCCTCTCAGCGCCAGTTTCCCCCAAACATCACGTAGCGCAAGGGATAAAAGCTACATTCAGTACCGGTGAAGCCCGGGTTGTCTATTCTTCCTCCCCAACTATCATGGCTACCCAGGAGGCCACCCCCAGCATTCCGAGCAAACGTGGCTCATCAGCTCTTCAAATGGGGCCTCGAAAAAAGGCGTAAGATGTTCCTATGTTAACCACAGGTTTTGTAGACTCATTTTACCTCTCAGCTCCTCGTCTGATCCGCTTGTCTCCCATGGACGCCACTTTGGTCGAACAGTATTCACACTTTGTAATTATCCTTCCTTGCTCACCAATGGTATCCTGAGATTGGAGCAAATGGAAGACACCCCATTAGAGGATTTCTCTGCTGAGTCAAGGACGTTCATCTCTCCCACTTACTTGTTTGCTGATGCGCTTGGCAGAGAGCGGCGGGAACATCGCGTCTTTGAGCAGCTGTTGGACTCCTATCCCGGCCTTCTGGAGCGACTGAAGGATGGGTCTGAGGAGGAAATCATTCACGTTGGAGAGCTGGTACACTTTTATCTGTCCATGCAGTTCTTACTTATGATTTACAGATTGGTAGGGGAGCGGCGGGTGCCAGAGGCGACAACACAAAAACACTAAAGTCTGCGGTACTCAATTGGGTGACCCCGAAGGGTGAAGCAATACAGCCTCCTTTACATCATAACTCCAAAATCGACCGCGGTTTCAACCATCCACTTACTGGATCTCTCCTCTGTCCTGCTGGGCTGGACTGGAACGACCCTCAGTATGTTTCAGTTTGAGCTAACATCAAAAATCTGATTCCTTTTGCTCTTTGTAAACAGGACGAAGGAGAATTTGTGAAGTGGTGAAATACTGGTCTGTGGGGATCAATGGCCCATTTTCTTGTACACCCACCACATTTATGACCCTGAAGACCCGTGGTGCGGCCTTCTCAGAAGCCACTTACTAGTATGTGTGAGTATGCACTCGTATTCATAGAGTCCATTCACTGTATGGTATTCTATCAGGCCTACAAGCATGTTTTCACCTCTCCGAGTTCAGTTGACAGAGAGCCGAAAGCTACACGATCCGGAAACGCTCGTCTCCACGGGATGAAATCCGTCACCATCGCTTCTATTGCATACATTGCAACTCAGGTTTGTGAAGTATCCTTTTGCAACGGAGAGTTTCTAATGTACAGCTGAAGGTGCGATTCGCTTTGAGCTCATCCTCAGTGTTTTCGCGGACCGACACAACAACAGACTCAGAAATGTTTTATCATAGTTTCCTCGATCTGTTAGAAGACCCTGAGGAATTCAAGGAAGTTGATGAGCTGTTGACCTGGTGGAATCGGTATTTCTATCACCCTTCACTATGTAGTTACAATGCTAATACATTGCTCAGTCAAGTTTTTCCTACCTCCTTTGCTGCCAAGAGGGCTATCAGTGTCAACAGCGCCTTATTCAAGATCCGACAAAAGTGTGTTGCCCTCAAACAGGCTACAAACGTCCCTTTGTAGTCTACATGTATACAATCTTAGTACGATGTTACCCAATGATGACCTGCTGTGGCCTCTGTAAACCATCGAAGCGATCGGATGAGAACGAATATGTAATACTGCTGGAAAATAGTAGCCATTGCCATTGCATGCCGCATCTGTCTTCTTTGCAGTATTCAAGCACGCTCTGCAGGATAAGATCTGAGAAAGCCAAGATTGCATGCTATAGCTATATTTTGGCTGCATGCTGATGGTTACCAATATCAGCGTCCTGGCGCCTTTGGCACAACACAGCCTTTGGTTCGATGAATCTATCTGGCGACGTCATCCTGGGAGAGTTTGCGGAAAGCACATTGGTTCTCTCACGTTACATGGGAGGACTATACCTCAGCAATCAGCTGATGAAGGCACTACACCGTTGTCAAGCCTCCGCACCGTGGGACAAAAGTAACCCCCAACCAAAGCAATCTGGCCTTGGAAGGCTCCAGCATTTAGAGAGAGTATGCGGAGCATAATATGACAATATAAATTCTTATCGAAATTTGGTAGAATGTCAACGCATCACTACTCATTGCCTGAATTGTGTAGTTAGTAGATCTGAGCAACACAGACTAGCATTACAACTACATATCTAACATCAGCGACGAGAGAGATTTTGCTGGGGGTGCAATTACAAGCTGAATCGAGGGAGCTTGGCAATACATTGTAGATGCTCACCACCCATGGGCCGTCGGCAGTGTTGGTCCAACACAGTCCGGCCATCTAAAACTTTGTCTAACACTGAAATTTGTTGAGAGATTATGGAGAAAATAAAAACAATCAAAAGCTACATACCATCACCGGTGAAGGGCAGAGTTGTAGTGTCATTGTTGCTGGTCCTCAAAAAGGCGACGGTGGTCGCTCTCGACGACTTAATCTTGCTTTGCAATGGTGGATGGGTGTTGCAACATGTATCATCTTGGCAATAGGCTGGTAGGTGATTGCAACTAGACTCACAATTGTACACTCGGCGGGTTCTGTCCAACTAAGTCCGGGTATTCAAAGCTTTGTCATGTGGGGTATAATTCTGATAGATATTATGCAGATTTTGGATTAGATAAAGCTTGCTAAGAATTTATCTTTTTCGGGTCGGTTACCTGATGTATTTACTATATTACCAGTACCGCAAAATACAAGCTATTTGATACAATGTAAGATACTCAACATTAGTCCAACTGTATGGTTACATGGCACTGAGATGCGGTGAATGAGTCTACAATACAAGCGTTAGTCGGTAGTGCTGTGTACACGAAGGCGCACTTACCATGGAAACTGGGTGGCGTTGAGCAGTGAGAAAGTCCATGTTTTTTGAATGTGATGCGCATATGACCTAGTCCTACATCCGCCTTGTCAAGCTTCTGCTTAGAAATGGCGGACTTATATTTCGAAAGATTGGTCATGACCTCGTGTTCTCAGACAACACAATCCGCAAGTGTTTTCTCTGCTACAAATACATCGCGTCAGGCCCTTGCAAGGTCCATGATGAGGTTTGCTTCAAGGTTGTCAACATCATCGATGGTCTGTATGCACGTTAACAAGCATTGTAAGACTCGCATATCAGTCACTTACCATTAACCCAATAGCGTCAATGACATCATACAAGTCAGCAATACCACCACTGCCAGGGTCACCCAGAGTTCAGCTTGATTGCCTCTTGTTGGAGTATCGCGGGCACATACGTGATGCTGATGGTACTTCACTGGAAATGTTTAGATGAATTGGTGTGTGGCTTGACTCGGACATGAGTGTTTTGGAAAAACTAATATGGCTTATTGATTCCGGATATCATAGCTTACTTTGAACTCAGAATCTCACACGCACATCAATACTATGTCATCACTCCAACTTCTAGAATGTCCTTTGTGCGGCAAGGGCGGTTTCAAGGACCATGTCGCTGTCGCTCGACATATGAGCCAACCTCGCTCTGGCTGCAATACTTGGCTGCAGAATCTGATATGCTTGGATGAACCGAATAATCCCATGAATATGGACAAGTCAGACGACAGAGTAAATAATTCTGACATGGAGTCCGGTGGTTTTGAAAATTGGGATGAGGTGTTCCAAGGGAGTAGAATGGAGGACCAGGTTCATGACGAGCGAACACCAACTCGCGATTTGGAAGTTATGGACTCATATCCTGACTGTGCACAATCATACAGCAGGGGCTACACGTTCCTGGACTTATTCAATATGGACGAGAACAGCAAACACTGTGTTATGAATCCATATTATCCTTTCAGTGGCCAGAGAGACTGGGAGGTTGGGTCATGGTTGCTTCGCTCAGGGTTAAGCATGGGGAAGATAGATAGTTTCCTTTCACTCGAGATGGTGGGTAGTAATAAATTCTTCGATAATATATAATTTTTGAAAGTGTCTCGTTCAGATAAAGACCCTTCCATTGTCGTTCAGTTCAGCCAAGGAACTATGCAGCAGAGCGGAAATGTTACCCAGTGGTCCACGCTGGATGTCTCAAACAATACCTACAATGCATCCCACGAAATCGCCTGTTGTCTTGTATTGGCGTGATCCCTTAGATTGTGTTTCAAGTCTTCTCAACCACCCTGCCTTTCATGATGAGCTAGACTTTACACCTCGCAGGGTGTATACCACTGCGCAGCGGCTGTGCCGTGTATATTCGGAATGGATGACCAGCGATGACACGTGGAATATGCAGGTACGTATCATTTCATTTGTGCAAGTCATTATACTTATCTGTTTTTGGACAGTCAGCCCTACCAAGAGGTGCAACACTCCTCGGGACCATTTTATCTTCTGACAAGACGAATATATCAACCATGACGGGCGACAGAGTTGCACACCCCCTTCTAGTTAGTCTTGCTAACATACGCATGCCCACGCGACTCAAGTCGTCTTTGAATGCCTTTGTACTCACCGCTCTACTTCCTGTCCCAAAATTCATCCATAAGAACAAACGCATGCGAGGCATACTTGAAGATCGCCTCATTCACGAATGCTTGGATATCGTTCTACGTCCACTCAAGTTGGCCACTCATGAAGGGATCATGCTTTCAGACCCTGTTGGGCACAGTTGCTATTGCTTTACACTGCTCGCGAGCTATATTGTTGACACCCCGGAGGCCATGATGCTGGCCACTGTTGGCAGGAAAACTTCCCCAGTCACTACAGCCATGTACAAACAGTTTGGAGACCCCTTTCGTCATCAGCCTCGCACAGGAGCAACTACACTCTCCCAGCTGGACATTGCATGGAGTAAAGCTGATCACAACGACATTGAGGCATTTTTTCGCGAAGCACAGAAGTTTCGTTTGAATGGCATGAATGCACCATTCTGGCTGGACTGGCTCCTCAGTGATCCATCGCATTTTCTAACTCCCGAATTTCTTCACCTCATTCATCGCAAGTTCTACGACCACGATGCGAAGTGGCTCATTTGCGCAGTCGGGCATACAGAGATTGATTTTCGGTTTTCTGTCTTGCAGGCGATCACCGGGTTCCGTCATTTTCATGGCGGAATTTCAAAGCTTAAACAGGTTACAGGACGCACTCAACACGACATCCAGCGCTCGATCGTTGCAGTCAGCGCAGATGCAGTTTCTAACACTGTGATGACTGCCATACGAGCTCTGATGGACTTTCGGTACCTCGTACAATCACCCGTAATTGACGACACCCTACTCACTCAGATTTCCATGGCCCTTTAAGAATTTCACCGCAACAAAGATGCAATTATCGAGGGTGGATTTCATTGTGGTCAGCATGGCAGAGTCATTGAGAACTGGTATATACCGAAGCTAGAGCTCATGCAGTCGATAGTTCCGAGCATAAGGAACACTGGAGTTCCTCTGCAATGGACTGCCGACACCATGGAGCATGAGCACATAACGGAAATCAAAGATCCTGCTCGCTCAAGCAATAACAACAACTATGATCCCCAAATATGTCGCCATCTTGACCGTGCTGATAAATGCCGCCGCTTTGACCTTGCTATGAGTCTGCTCAACAATATGCCAGACTCAAAGCAGCACGGTTCAGATGTAGATGTCGATGAAAATGTTGATTTCGATGCAGACGACAATCACGATATCCCAATAGACCTTCTGGCAATGATCAAATACCCTGGACATTCACGTCCAATCACGAATTACTTCGGAATCGCCAAGTTCCTCCAGTACAGGGAAATCGGGACGGTCCCTATGCCATTGCGTTTGTTTGTTGTCGAACGCACAGGATTTCACTTCACTTATGACCCCTCCATTAGAAAGATATCTGTTGATGATGCTGCCATCAAGTTTGACCTTGCTGACTTACAACCAGCCATTGCCGATTTTCTTCGTTGTGAGGATACTCATGGGAGAGATCATGTCCATACTATTGGGGGGGCTAGAAGAGCTGGACCCGCTGCTTCACTTCCCTTTGACACGCTACAGGTCTGGTTTAAACTTCAGCTGCAGGACACCGAATTCCATGACATTAGCATCATACGGCCTGTGCAAACCCTCAACTGTGCACCCCCTTCTGATCCCTGGACCTCTGGCCGGTATGATACAGTTATCATTAACAACGATGCGGGATGCTTATGGCCCACAAGTGGTCTTCGTGGTACATTATGCTCTCATGTCATGCTGAATATTTACTTATTGTCAAGTCACAGGTCATACTATCGGTCAAATCAGGCTTATCATGTGTCCTATTGGAAAGAGAGGCACGAATTGGTCATGGAAGGACCATTTTCTGGTATACGTGCATCACTTTGACATTGTTCCTCAAAGCTCCGGCACCAATGATCGTGAGCCAAGTACACAGCTCCACTTGCTCAAACGAGCGAAACGCTCAAATGGTACTTGGGTGGGTGACATCATACCCGTGACGCAGCTTAGATCACCTGTGAACCTTGTCCCTCGCTTCAGTGCAAGTGCGGACAACCATCTCACCCCATATAACAGCATGGAGCATGCTTCACAATTTTGGCTCAACAAGTATTGGGACAAGAACATGTATCTTCCTCTTTCTATGTAGCTTTTGATGTGGGGTTACCTTGTTTCTTACGACTTTCATACTATGCAACGAACAGATTGGTTGAGCGGTCTAACCTTTGGTTATTCTAGTCTGTTTTATTCTTAGATCGCTAGTTCTGAGAATTCTGTCACTATGTGGCGATAAGCTCGAGCGCCCATTGTTTGTCCATTGTTCAAGTACAAAAAATGGCATTCTTTTTCAGGACCATTAACAATGGAATCAAATTATTGTCGTTGGTGTCTATCCCAGAAGTCACCGACGTTCACACTATGAACAAGATCACGTCCGACAAGCTTAATCATCTAGTCACTCACGAGGGTTCACCAGAGGCCTCACAACCGCTTGGACACCTACTTTCTGAAATATTCCAGCCTTTCACAGAACCTCTTCCCGATGTATGCGACCTTAAAATACCTTTCGGAAAAATCATTCATCGCAACAATCGCATCAATGAGAAATTCAGCGAGACATCACCAGATACCCTAGTGCCACTGTACGACACTGAAGTGAAGACTTGGAATTGGGCTCTTCCAGTCGACCCACCTGGAGATGATGATAGCAGCCTTCCGGGTCAGGTCGAGTCGTCAGAGAGCAACAATCCACAGGAAGCAACCCACGAAGAAATTTTTGCAGCATTTCTCAATGCTCTGGTTGGCTGCTTGGCGGCGTCACAGCCCAAACTAGTAGCCATGCGCTTTGCAACTAGCTCATGGAGTGCAGCCAATGCACATAAGGCATTGCCCGGCAGTGACATCAAGCGCAAGCCAGATATCGTTCTATCTGACGACATATCAGCAAAGTGGGGAAACATCAGAGTCTCAGCTGAACTCACGCACAGTCGCTACCGGCCTGCGATGCAACTTGGGAAGGCTGCAGATACCCATGCCTACCTTATGATGAGTGAGCAGCCCTGGAGGCGCTTTGCTCTCATATTATCATTCACAGACAAATATCACCACCTAAGAGTCTTGATGTATGATCACTCTGGTGGTGCTGTGTCCCCTCGCTTCAATATCTACACACAACCTGACATATTCTCGCATATCATCGCGGCTATTACTTTTGGGAGTCTGGAGTGTGTCGGCTATGATCTCACTGTTTCCTTCTCGAGGACTGTTGCAGCACCCCGAAGCAAAGATATCTGCGTCTATCGTCCCATCAAAAATGCTTCTGCCCGACATATTATGACAGATAATGCTGTTGCTGCATCCACCTCCAATTCTCTTTCATTTCCTGAGGATCCTGACAGAGTGTCCAGTGATGCTCTTGAATCGTCAATCTCCAATAACTCTGATGAGTCTTCTAATGACTCTACTCATGACTCAACGCAAGGGAATCCGAGCAGCTCTCCCACACATGACTCGATGGACGAAGGGTGCTTCCCTGCCCCTCCCCCCCCCAGTGCACCCCACTGCAACCCACAGTGCTCCCCTTGTTAGCCTCGCATCCCAAGTCCCCCAGGCTGAGATGACCGAGAGCATCTATTCCATTACCCCTCTCCCTTCCCAATTCCCCTATTCTACTCAATCACCGGAACCCTGCGGCAAGATCCACATAGGGCAGGCAATCTACACCATAAAGAGAATTCTTTTTGCGAGCCGGGGCCTCGTTGGTCGTGGCACCATTTGCTACTTAGTCACCTTAGACGATGAAGACTATATCATCAAAGACCATTGGGTTGTGGGTAAGGACAATCAGGTAGTCCTGAACGAGATCAAGATGCTGGAGTTGATGGATGGTGTCCCTGGCATTCCAAAGCTGGTAGATTATTGGATCGTTGAATGGTCAGATGGCACGCCTGACGTTACCAAAAAATATCGGAAAAAGGAATGCCGGAGCACCCAGGGCACTAGTCACACTCATGTGCATCTTGTCTTGAAGCCATGTGGTCGCCCCCTTCACATGTTCTGAATACTTAAGGAGTTTGTGCGAGCACTAAGAGATATTGTTAAGAGTAAGTACTATCTAGTAATTCATGGGGTGTCTTGAACTGATGCTTTCTAATGTTAGTTCAACAAACTGCGGTGGAGGAACATCAGATTTTGCATTGGGATTGTAGTCTTAACAACGCGATGATCCTAGATGACATTAGTGGCAGCGAAGGCTTTCTTATTGACTGGGAGTTTGCGGTTCACATCGCTGCAGATCATAAATATCCCCTTGGTGGTACAGTAAGTATACTTAGTATTGATTAGACATTCAGTTTATTGATTCATTTGCCAGGGCATAGTCCATTTCATGTCACGCGGGCTTCTTAATCAAGTCTCAGTCATCCAGCAGGAAGCTGAGTTGGAATCTCAGGAGAAAAAAGCGACTCGGGGACGCAAATCAGTCAAAAAACCGAAAACCCTGAAATCGTCCTCTGATTCTAAAGTGCTACCTGTATCATACATCCTTCAAACTTTTTCGGATGACCTGGAGTCCCTTTTTTTTGTGTTCATGTGGGTTTGCATCAAGTTCTGTGGTCCCAACGGCATGGTGCGCAAGGAATGCTCGCCCAATTCGTTACTAAATCAATGGACCAACCTTGACCTGGCGTCATGCACCACCTTCAAGATCACTTTTTTTGCGAATCCGACAGATGGAAAGCGTCTTATAGACAAATTTCACCCTTACTTCAACCCCCTGATCCCCTTCGCAATAGAGTGGCGTAGAGTTCTGGTGGACAACATGATCCACCCCATCACCTTTGACACCATTCTTGGTGTACTCAACTCTCATCTCGACAAGCTTCCTGACGACAAGGAGCTCGTATCTACTGTGAACATGCTCATGAATGATGCTGTCATTCTCACATGTTGTGTCAAGGGCAAACAGATTGCTTCAGAGTCTTTCTCTGTGGCAGCCACAACACCCAAGCGGCAAAAGTCTCGCCATGGTGATACCGAGTCCGACTCCTCAGCATCAGGCAGTGACACATGACCAGACATGGAGCTTGTATGTATGAAAGATCGTTTAATTTGGGCACCCACTCATTACACATATTCAGCTGTCATTCTTCTTTATTGATGTATGGATAGCATGCCACTTGACTTTAGTATTTTTAGAACCTCGCTGATCGTCTACTACTGCCAGTGACTCGGAGATTGGGGCAAGATGTGCTTACAACACTTACTTACCAGCACCTCATTTATTCCTACTAGTATATAGTTCTCTCAAGCTCACAATCGATCTATTACTAGTCTCTGCGCCGGATTACTACTATGTGACGTTCGGACATGATTACATAAGATTTTGACTCATGTGATCGGCAATCTGAGTCTGGCACTTACTAGAGTACTACTACTAACTGACATGTTTTTCTAGTACATTTTCTAGCGGACCGCAGGCTGGACTCGGACATTAAAAATGTGCAGTTCTCCTCCTCCAAAGATGACCCGACAGCTGCACATCAGCTCAGGTCATGGTGTGTTTCTTTAGTACTGTTACTGTTACTAATGATGAAGTTTTTCTCCCTAGTCATGCGAATATTGAGCACGAGACATGATATTAAATCCTTGTGATGACTTAGGTGTGTTTCCTTATTACTATTGGCCTTATGAATGATGAAGTTTTCTCTTGCTAGCCATGTAAATATCGCGCAGTACGCGCATGATATAAAACCCTTGTGAGTCTAATCTAATTTGTTAGAGTCGCCTTCTCCTGTGTTCTTTCTTGCAGTCATGCCTCCTCGCACCGTCACCAGTCCCAAGAAGAAAAGGTCCAAGCGCAAAGGATCTGATGCTTCAAAGGCTGGCTTGCCCAAGAAGACTTGGGCTGCAGACGTTGCTGAAGTACCCGGCGCGGTACCTCTTGTATCCCTTGGCCTCACTGCAGCAGAAGTGAGAGACAATGCACCCTGGCGTTCTGGCCGCCCTAATGCTGGAACTGGAGGTAGGAACACGCAGCTGGAGAAGATCGGATCAGCACTACAATCTAAGCCTTGAACCTATGGACGTAAGGGCATGATGTCTCTTGGCCCCGACATTCCAGTCAATCCTCAAGCCCCAGAACCACGTCGTAAAGGTCGAAAGAAGTCTTCAAAGGTAAGCATCTAATTAATGTTGTTACTTACGTTGATTGGCCTGCAGGAGGTTCCTCCACCGTATAGCTCACATCTAGATACCCATCCAGATGTCCCAGCCATGGATATCGTTCACACAGGGCCCAGCTTTACATTGCAGCAACCTGGTGGAAGGTTTGGATTTGCTACTCCAAGCACTACAGAAATCGCTCATTCCGATACTACCGAGCTCAATCTTCAGGCATCGAACGACCCATATGTCGCCATTAGGACAAAGGTCGTTGAGCAGTGCACTCCTGATGCTATCGCTGAGCAGAGTGCTAGGGACGCAATCGCAGAGCAGTGAGCCAGGGATGCTATCGCTGAATGGCATGCCCAGAATGTTGTCCCTGAAAGTCCGGTATTGCCAAGGTCCGTGTTTTTGGAGCAGAACTTGGATCCAGCCCTACGCCAGGAGGATGACGCTGTTAGGGCTCAGTATCGTTTGAGGCTGCTAGGATCCGAGGAGCACAGTGACTCCAAAGGCAGTAGCAGCAGTGGTGATAATGACGACAGCGACGATGAAGATGCCGATGAAGAGGACGACAAAAAGGACAAAGAGGAGGGCGATAAAAACGACACGGTTAAGGGCTTGCAGGATTTTGGTTGGGGGGAGGTTGGCCGACGCCAGAAAGAACATCCAGGTAAATATTTCATAGCGATTTTTTTCTCTCCACTAATTCAATTTTGTAGGATTTTTAGAAGATGCACTACCTTCGCAACCTGCAGTCGCTCGCGCTCTCACACCTGAATTTGAATTCCAGTACTCGCGCAATGAAGATGACGTGATTGCCCAAATGAGCCTTGATAAAACCTCAGTAAGTTTTCTAGTCTGGCCAAGACCAATTCTCATTTTAAATTGTTTGTTCAGCAGAACAAAAGCTCTAAGGTATGATCCAATCATTCAATTGTATCATGCTTACATTGCTTTTCTTTCAAGGGCCCTCCGGACAGCTCACCAGGACTGCAAGGGCAACGGTCCCAACACATGGAGGTAAGATCAGGGAGATCATCTTAATTGACACTCATGATTGAGCAGACCATTACCTCAAAGCCCGACGACGTATTGCAATGCCACCATAAGAAAAATGGAAAGCCCCGCCTTCCTGAGCCTGAATCCTTCAAACTATTGGATCAAGTGACCGAGTCTAGTGTTCAGCCATCGAAAAACAAAAAATCCAGGTCATCGCATGGTGGGCCAACGCCCGATCAATTATCTTGGTACGGGCCACGCTGGAAACATTTTCTGAAGGATGCCAAAGCAGAATGTTGTGTGCAACACGCCCTGGAGAACCCGTTTCCAACTTTGGTGAAGAATCTACCAGGAACAATAACTGAAGTTCTTGTTGCAGTGTTGGTCGTGTGGGATACAAACGGCAAACAATTTGAAGCTGGCAAGTACTCATTCGTTCTTATTCGTTCTTGAACTCATCTGTCATATTGTGATGCAGGGGTTTGGCCAGAGCAAAAATTCAATATGACTCGGTTGGTAGGTGTATAATTCATTTTGTGCTGATACCTCAATGATGGTCTATACTGAAAGCTGTACGACAATCTTTCAACTTGGCGATCTGACTTGAAGAAGACCGCCATAAGCACTGTACCAGTATCATATTTGCTTGTTCCTCCGCTTTCAGTCCCCGTTCAAGAATGTGCTGCTTGGATCGAACATGCTGCAGCTGAATTAATCAAAGGATCATTTTTCTTACGGTTTGGGGTGGATGAACAGGTAAGTGATCTGGTGCTGATTGCAATTGTACTAATGGAAGATTGCCAGGGGAGAACACGAAACTTTGCTCATCCTGCCCTTCATGAAACCGTCATCTCATTCTTCTACACAGGACCATACCAAATTGTGCGAAGGATGCCGGAGATCTTCCACACGGAATTGCCGCTGTCATGTTTGGCTTTGGTTGCTGCAGCAGTAACTTTCTCTCCTTTACCAATATTGTATGTTAATTTTGCGTTTTTATGATTAGTTCAATTGTGTCCTCGACGGCCTTGCAAAGAATGGACACGGAAAGTCATACCCGAATTTTTCCACAAAGGACTATGGACCTATCTATCGTCGGATGCTGGAATTGCTCAAATGTATCCTCAAGGATGTGTATCATGGGCCTAGGCTGTTAGCTCAACTGCAAGAATGGGCTGCAGCAGGATGGCAAGGATCTTGACTCCGTGAAAATTTTCATACTGATTTTCATTTGTACAGGGCTGCAGCTATGAATCTCGAAGGAGTTGTTGAGGCGAGGCACGACCACCTGCAGATTCTTCTCAACTAACGTTTCATCCTGTTTTATATCAACCGAGCATTTATCATTTTAGCGCACCATATCATTGTATTCCCAATCGTGATCTAGTACCATCTGTCATAGTCATGTGATTCAATATGATTTTTGTGTTAAATTCTGTCCAGTGTAATGTAAGCAGTACAGCAAGCAATGTCTGTACAGCTCCGATTCTCTGGATGCGCTGTGAGTGTCTGTACAAAGATGGACAGCAAAACAAATTGCAATTTAGGTAGAATTTCGTAATTACTGTGTGGTCTGTGGGTGTCTGTACAGAGATCCACAGCGCAAAGTGTTACTGTGATGAACTGACTAATTGGGACCAAGCTGTAGAGCTTGCACACTGTGCAGCACTGTACAGCACTGTACAGCACCAAGTAGTTTACTGATGCATGCTGGGGAAGCACTCCTATCTTAACCATGGCCTACTACACACAAATGCAATCTCCTCTAGACCACGTGTTGTATGCCTGGTTCAGCCCAAAATCATGACATTTAAATAAGACTCGGCTCTGTCATGCTCACCTACCATGAGCTCGATACATGCTGAACCATAATATTGGTCGAGCACCTTGGTATACTGATTGTCCCATTTCTTGAGCAGCACGGCTGGAGACCAGCCTGCATGTTACTGTGCAGCATTTGCGAGTATGTTGATGGAAAGAGGGCAAAAATTGATAAGGTCCTCTGACTACTTTGGCTTCACTATGACTGATGGTGTGGCAACAAATTTCAAAGAACACTCAGCTCATTGAGGATGGCATTCATAAGAGAATTATTTCCCATGCCTGCTGGACCAATCAATCCAATATGCTCGTCATTGGCGACAAGGTTCATCACCACCACAAGATCATCGTGGTCACACAACATGGCCGGCCGCAATGGTGGCTCAGTCAGGTGATACCTAGTTGTATTTAGAGAATATGCACAACCCGACAAAATGGCAACTTACTTTGGAACATTGATATTAGTAGTATTGAGTCCCCAAACGAGCTTGTCCACACTTATTACAATGCGAGTGATCACTTCAAGCTTGATATCAGCGGCAAATTTGAAATGGTGACAGAGAAGAGCCTCTACCAAGATCATTGCTCCAACTGTGAGGCTACTTCACTATTCTTGGAGCTAATCGAGCCAATTGGCATCGTCAGTTACTATTGACAACCTGATGTCATGGATCTTTAAGGTATCAGCAGGCTGATTGTGCGATGAAGTTGGCTATGTAATTGTATTTGCTCATATACTCATTCTTCCTTCTGAATTGTGGCCTCCGAGTAACAGCCAAAGTTTGAACAAAAATTATTGAACCACGACAATTATAATCACACCAAGGAGACATACCTTACTTGTCTCACGCTGCAGCCACTTTGACAACACAAGGACGGCCTGGGCGTTGTGGGAGTTCGAAGTCTTCATTGGTGTGAAGTTGAGAATGGAAGAGCGAGAACAACCAGCCAAAGAGTGGCATCTGGACGCGAACTGAGCCCAAGTTCACAATTACAATTCACAGGAGCACAAATCGGCAAACCGATAATCTGCAGGTGACAGGTCTCACCAATGACATGTCTATATAAACTCAATCCTCGGATTCGGACATCCAGTTAGCTAAGTAGAGTCAGCGTGTATATACCTGGGGGAAAAACTAGCGCACCATACCACTAGCCCTGGAGCTGATAAATGCTGGAACACCATTTCTCCTCTGCTCTAGTATGCTGGGGCCCCGGTCGGGTATTGGACCTTTGTTCACCTGACTCAGGCCCTGAACAGCATCTGCGGTAAACAGGACCCGGCTTTTTGGTCCACTAGTAAATAGAAGCGGTGAGATAAAAAAAAATCTGATCAGTCAATATGAAAGTAAATGTAAATTCATAATTTCTAGGTAACTTGCCAGTAGCATTTCATTCAGAACCATTCTCGAGTCCGTAAGCAATCCTAGACTATCCCAAACTGAAAAGTTGTATTAGTAGATGCAACAGCGGCAATTCATCAGGTCCTGTCTACGTGATTGAGAAGTTGGTCTATGTGTGAGCCTTGGACATGTTTCTCCAGTAATAAATTTCAAGTTGAATATTGATGTGGGACATTGAACTCGGGTTCTACCGTAATTATGTGACTGCCAACATTGACATACTGTCTCAATTCGACTCAACTCGCCTTAGCAGCAACACAAGTCAACTTTAGATCAAAAAGGCTCTTGTTTCTAGATTTTCAGATGCCATTAGATAGCAAAACCAGCAAAGCTCAGCCCTCAGAAATGTTAACCGTGACATGTTTTGGTCAAGATATAATGTAACCACTCACCTGGTGAAACGGTTTGGATCGGGTACCGTGAGCAGCAAGACCCAAACCAAGGATACTTCAGCCTAATATGTTCAAGTTCACCATCCCCTGAGGTAAGAGTAGGTATTTATGGGTAAGCCACTGAGCCCAATCCAATATAAAAACCATACTGTCCTCCTCCTTGGATTCAATCAGTTCCTATCAACATCTTTGTTCATCTTTGCTGTCTGCAACTGATACCAAAGCTCGCAGCTGCAACCATTCCTAACTTTGATAATGCAATTCTTCCTATTCTGAAATAGTTCAGCTCCAGATCTCCAAGTAAATGAGGCACATTGAGTCAAGCCCTCAATCGCCACTCACCAAATAGTATATCTTCCAGTCAGTTAAGGAATAGTTTGTTACTCATTATCTAACACCATTGGACCTTCTTTGCGCCTGGTGATGCTGGTTACCTGGAGAATCACCTGCTCTGTCTCTACTCGCTCATCAACATTACCTTTCTCGACAACTCCCGGTCCAAAAAGTTCCCTCCTGGTCCACGATTTCTAAGCTAGTCTGTCTAGGAAACTTGGCTTTGACAGCCTGTAGCAAATGTTCTTACTTTAATAATACCCTAATTATCTTTGAATCTATACTCAATTAGCATGTCCAATGTATTATGTATACAAGAGAGCACCCACACTCTATCTGCGAGCCCATATCAATACTAGTGTTTTGATCACCGTCGCTGGTTCACTGATACAGTGCAGAGATTTGCAGGTTTTGATCACCCCTTCCTGACAAAGCTTTTGTTTGCTGTAGGTATTGATTTGCATGTATGCAGATTGATTCGTAGTTCTCAATCACAGTGACTCACCTATTACTCACAAGATGGACCACAATAGCAGCGCCCAAACCCCCTGCATCTGACAAGACATCCCCTCCTATTCAATATACAAAAAGCTTTTGTCAGTCTTCACACAGGCATTCAACGCTGAGCTCGCCCATGCTCCCTATCATGAAATCACATTTACACTCGGAGATAATGTGCAATGCATGGGCGAAAGGTTATTCATCCAACATTTAATGCAGTAGTGCTGAAAAAAACAGTGTCTCCCCTTGGAATGCATCTCAAGACTGGTGTCACGAGTTCCAAATACAAATTATTATTCATTCTTAAACTCCAAGTCCTTTAAGTGTCCAGTCACAATGCCTGTACCTAAGAATATGTTTACCGTTGAAGAGGTTCCCATTGTTGCGTCCATTGTAGAATTATCAGAGTCACATGATTTATCGGACAATGCCGAAGATATTGATGTCATGCCTCGCGACACTCTTGGAATGTTCCAGAGTCTTACTGCAGCTACGGCATGTGTTATGACATCATAATTATATATAGAATCATATGATATCTTTAATTATTCTGATTGGTTAGTTAGTTCACACTCAGTTTCAATCTCAGTTTCAATATGTGTATATATGTAGGTAGCTCGACGTAGTCAGTAGTTCTTTAGTTCAAACCTCTTGTATCTCCTAGTGAGCAATCCAAGACATACCTGCTGCCTTATCCTTTGTTGTGATCTTTCTATGTTTGAGTCCTAGTCTCTGCCCTGCGTTAATTCGTTTAAGGGGTTGTGACAACTGGTCCAAACTTACAATATTAGGATATGCAGGAACTGGATGATGGGGTGGGAGAGAGGGGCTACTAGCAAGTCATTACTTGGGGGATTGAGGGAGAGGGTGTGTATTGTTGGCCATGAATATTAATTGAGACTGCGAAGTCTGAAAACCATCGTAATGTAAATGGTTGATTAGTGGTCCAAGGTTTGAGGCAAGTAGTCGTACAAATGCTGTAATGCTGGCTGCATTAACGACCATTGGCATGCGGTGGAGATGCACAGCAGAGAAACAGTATGATCTGAGCCCACCATGAGATGTATGGTGGTTGTGCGAATGCTGTACCTGAAGCAGAAGGTATTGCAGATGTTGAGGCACTGGCAGGTTGATTGGGCAATGATGATGCATGGGCTGGGCCATGCAATTGTGTTTGTTGCTCATCATATGCTCGTTTTGCTTTCATCAAATTTGGCCCCCAAGCAACAACCGAAAACTGAACAGAGTCACTAAACCATGGCAATTGTAAAGGTGCTCAGGAGACACCTACCTGCTTGTCTCATATAGCAGCCACCTCGACAACACAAGGACAGCTTGGGCATTGTGCGAATCCAATTTCTTCATTGGTGTGGGGTTGAGAGCGGAAGAGTGAGGACAGCTGGATGATGAGTGCATCTAGATGTGAACTCGAAGGGGTTGTGGGATGTGGTTCATTTGCTTCGTCTGTGCTGAGTTGAGATTGGGGGAAAGTGAGCCAAGGCGAGCCAGGAGAGCATGTGGATCTAGCAGCGAAGGCGTGGATTGTTGCTGAAGTGCGTCTGGTGCATTATTTTCAGGTGAAGAGCAGTGAATGAATGATGACAGGTGAGCGAGAAGTCCATTTACAGAGGAATGAAGGTGCACACCACCCATTGAGGAAGACTGGATACAGAGGTCTAGATAAGAACTAAACAATAGAAATACTGGCTACGCACCTCAATATCGGCTTCCATGCCATTAAGAATAACTAAGTGTTCGTCAAGACCACCAAACTGGCTGGGACATCAAGTAGCATCAGCCTGAAATGTTACTGTTATAATGAGTGAGGAGGATTTATAACATGGCACATACTTCCAAAAATGACTTGTCAATGAGCGAAGAGCAGGGTGTGTGCTGTATTCCTAAATCAGAATCATTATCTCAAGATGCCTTCTGTTTGAGTCTGTCTTTTGGTGGCTAATAGCCGATATTATCAGTGAGAGAGAACGGGCAATATCTGAACACTCACAATATTGGTACTAGTGGAAAGTAGGTCTTCCATGCCAGCTTCTTTGAGGATGGTGTGAACATCCCATGTGTACGCACTCCTGTTTTCGCAAGCAGTGATGAGCACCTTTCTATCTGGGGAAAAGGGCTGCAGAACTCAAATCCTTTTGGTGCTGGAGGGAAGGTCCAACTGGAAGGTTGGTATCGAGATTCCATAGACGCGCTGTTTTATCCCATGATACACTTGCAAGGAGGCAGGCAGAGGCTGGTCCTCGTGACCTCCAAAGATAGCGATCTGCTTCCGAGTAGCGATTTCAAATATCCTGATTAGGCCATTTGAACCGGAGATGAGCTTCTTCCCACCTGTGACTCCCACGTATAGCCTCTAATTAGATGTGATTATAGATAGGGCTAGCACATCTAAAATGACAGAGTTCCAGTGTTTCCAAGCCTCTTTCAATAACTCTTGCATAAAGAGTGACTTACAGTGGCTCAAAAAAGTGTCTGAATGTTTATGCATTTTCAAGTAATTGGGCAATGGAAAGCCAGGACTCAATGATAACAAAGAGGTGTAGGGACATGTCTGGAATCCCTATATCATGGCTCGAATTTGAGAAATTTATCGTGAGAATCCAACCATATATGGGCAAGATATGGTAATTTCAAAGACATGACATGACTCATTTGGACACTTTTTTGACTTTATATTTAACCAAGACTATTCTACAATTCTAGTACTTGGTGTTACCCCCTTTGGCTTTAATAACTGCTGCAATCCTCCTAGGCATACTTTCTATCAATTTCTGACACTCCTCTTTAGCAATCTTTTTCCACTCTGCTGCAACTCTCTCCCATAGTTCAAATAGCCCCTTTGGAGGATCTTGATAGGCAGCAAGTAGTCTTTTGAGTAATTCCCAGAGATGTTCAATGGGATTTAGATCTGGAGACTGTGCTGGCCATGATAGAACATTGATATCATGGTCTTCAAACCATTTTGTGGCCAGTTTTGAGGTGTGCTTGGGGTCATTATCTTGTTGAAAGATGATGTCTTCTTCATCAATCCCTGACTCCTGCATGCTTTTGAGTAGACACTCCTCTAGAATGGAGATGTACTGCTCTGCATTCATCCTTCCTTCTACCTCACAAAGAATTCCCACACCATTCCATCCCATACAACCCCATACCATCATGTTTCCTCCTCCAAACTTCAGTGTACCCTTGACTTCTCTTTCTTTTAATGGTTCTCCTGCCTTTTTCCACACATATTCCTGGCCATCTGACCCCATTCTATTGATTTTTGTTTCATCTGACCAAATAACCTTCTTCCAGTCTTCCACAGTCCAATGTTGGTGCTTTAAAGTAAAGGCTAGCCTTCTCTTCCTATGAGCTACAGAGAGAAAAGATTTTTTCTTGGTTACAGCCTTGAGATTGGCTGCCTTGAGGGTGTTTCTAACAGTTTGGGTTGAGACAGGAGTGGAGATGATGGAATTGATGAACTTGGTAGCTTGAGTAGCATTTGAAGCCTTGCCAGATAGAATTTGGTGAACAATAGCTCTTTTGTTCTGTGGAGTAAGCTTGGGGGGACATCCCATTTTATGATTTTCCTTCTCTGGCATGTGTTCCTTTATGACTGTAGCAATAGTGGACTTGCCAAGACCAGTTTTGGAGGCAATTTGCCTAGTAGATAAACCAGAGGTGCAGAGAACAAGGATATTATCCTTTTGAGCAGAGGAGACGGGTTTCATGATGATTATGTTGAATGTCATAACCTTATGTGGGTTTATATATTCAAATGATATTAAAATCAGACCATATCAGTATTATGACACCACTTTAATCAAGAATATAATGTATGAATGGTCTGATTTTGTAATTTTAATGAAAAGTCAAAAAGTGTCCGAATGAGTCATGTATTTGAAATTACCATATCTTGCCCATATATGGTTGGATTCTCACATTCGCGCCAGGATATAGGGCTTCTAGACATGTCCCTATATCATTTTGTTATCATTGAATCCTGGCTTGCCATTGCCCAATTACTTGAAAATACATAAACATTCAGACACTTTTTTGAGCCACTGTATAATATCAACAGCTCTAGCCTCTAGTAGGTAACTAAGCGTAGGATGTTGGTGTTAATGTTCCTGGCATCGGCTATTGTGTGCCTGTTGTGTGAACTTTCATGCTCACTGTCATATACGACGAGCTCCTTAAACCATGCATATTGACAGTGTGTTTCAATTCTTAACAGCAAGCATAATAAAAGAAGTGCATTGCAACAGTATGACAGGTAAACTAGACTACTCCTCCACTTCACCATTGTCAACAACCTGGAGCTGTGAGAAGTCATCGGTGACGATGATAATATTCTGCAAACTCCTCGAGGCTTCCTCTGCCACCTCCTCTGCCACCTCCTCTTCATCTAGGTCCTCTTGAGTATCCGCACCTATAGGAGACAATGGGTTGTGTGTGGGTATATGGGCAGCAAATATATTGGCAGGAATATGAGGATCTGGCATGCTGGCACTCTCTCCGATAACGGTGCAAGCACTTAGACCAGGGAGTAGTGTACCAGTGAAGCTGGGGAGCTTTGAGATATCATCGAGCTGCTTCATATGGCAGGAGTTGAACCAGCTACAAATTTTCCGATGTATAGCGATTTGATGGGCAAGGGCAGGGTTAGCAACTGTGAGTCAGTCTTTGCACACCTGTAGGTACTTGTCTTCATCTCGTATATAGGTCACCAGACGGTGAACCTTGATATTTAGACGACAAATCTCCTCACGTGCTCGACACATCTTAAAATAAAGATCCATCCCACTCCGAGCTGCTGGTGATGACCAAGGCAATTGAGAGACATCGGAGCGTGTCTGTCATAGCAGCTTGAAGTCAGCAAGAAAGGCATACTCGACAACCTCCTCCCACTTGAGTATTTGCCGGGGAGGGTACACTGCACTGGCAAGGTTGTTGTACGTGTTGAGGGCAGATCTGATGGTGGCAGAGCGTGTCTGTAAGGCCCTCGCAATGTGTTTTCGTAGTTTGTAACCTAGAACATAGATAGAGTTAGCTGAAACAAGTCAAGCTAAACTCGAACTCACCTGTCCCTGCCCTCTTCATATTTGCAAGTTCAAAGATGCGAGCCACAACCAAACCTTCCAGACGGTCCAGGGCACGTTGATACTTCCTATCAGCTACAAGCCTCCCTGCCCTTTGCCACTCTCCATCTTCTGGAACCCAGCGAGCAATGATACCGAGTCTGCATTCTAATACCTGAACCAACTTCAGGTTTCTCTCATAGTCCTCGAGAATGTGGCACCGCATGCTTTCAACTTTGCGTGTGTTTCCAATGTCTGTGCCATATGATAGAGTATTGTGTGTTCTGAACGTGTTCATTCCTGTTTCAAGAGCAACTCTGTTTTTTGGGGGCTTCAGTAACTACGAAATACATACACCAAAAGTAAAACTTACTTGCTTGCACTGAGATTCACTAATCTCTGCCAGTATTCCATCTGACGTGTCTCTTCTTCGTGTTCTCGTGTTAGACCCTTAAGGTAGATTTTTTCATCTTCAAGCCAACATTCAAAAACGCTCTCATCTTTGACTTTGAGGTCTTGCATAACCTTTGGTAGGACAGCTTCGCCATTGGTGAGGATCTCGAGAGCTTGTTTGTAGTTACCATGCAAGAAATTTGCTAGCCAACCAATAGTTATGTCAGCGAGCACTTATGTATGATAAAGGGACCGACATACAAAGATTGCCATATACCTCGAGCTCATTGTTATGCTCAAAGTATGAATCAATGGCCTGTTGACGATGAAAAACGCTAGTGTACTGTAGAGCCAATGCAAGGGAGTTTGACTTAGAGAACATTCGCTCACAAGTCTCCAGATCCTCAATACCAATACCTTTGATATAAGTCGTTAATGAAAAAAGTTGACATAACCGCCTGTGTGCATGTCCGTGAAATGCGCCAACCAGGCAAGTGTGACGTAACGAGTGTGCAAGGGAACCCAGAGAACTGTTGTCGAGAGTAGTCTGGAACTGACAGCCAATGTCATAGCCACCACCCAAACGGTCACCAAATGCATCCAGCAGCTTGGCAACAATAGCCAAAGGGTATTTTGCACTGTTAGAGTACCTGTTAGAAATATAAAACAAAATGACTATATACTACTCACCACTCCCTGCTCTGCACCATGTCTGTGATAAGTAAACAAAAGCTGTGGCGGCATACAGCAACAAAGACACCAGTTTCATCATAAATACCCCAAGACTTTCGTGTCTTCACATCATCCATATTTTTCCACCGGCCTTCACATGAGTTCTCTGCCAGACTCTGACTGTGTTAGTTGTCTCTACAAAAGATACACATCAATTACTCACATTGGCTCCCATATCACATGGCGTATCCCATGCAAACTGGTCTACAAAGTTATGAGATAGGTAATGGTCGCTAACGAGTACCTGGCCAGTGGGAAGCTCAGACGATACACCAAGAGAGTCATCATCATCATCAAGTGAGTGTCGCAGAACTCGCTTCAATGAGTCGTTCCCATCCATAGCATAGAGAATCTTGAAGTGTAGCTTCTCTTCATCAGTTAGTGTATAAGTGCATGCTGGACACGCATGTTTGAGGCACCAGTCAGGTGAGTCACGTCGGAGTGATTCTGTGATAAGTGAGGCCACAACTGTTCTGATTTGAAGATATGAGTCGAGTGCGATTTAAAATTGACATGAGATGTGCTGGTGGAATTCAACCTGTAGTATGTGTAAGTGTTGAGCATAGAGCACCATAGAACTTAAAATTGTACCCCATGTAAATCACATATCATTTTGACGAAGGCTTGAATTGATAAGTGAGGGCTCCTGAGGTGTGCTACCCGATATAATTCGAGGGCTTCTAATGTTATGCCCATCACTGGTGATATTGGGAAGCAAGGCATAACGCCTTGACAAACCAGCGCAGAAGCAATTGTACAGTCCGTCAATGATATTTTCAGTAAGAATTTCTCAGCAACTTTAACAAATTTGAAATGACGTGACATTGAAACCAGCAAGTAACTCACAGAACACATCAACTACTGTCACAGGCCATTGGCCACCATTCAAGTCGGTCACCTTGGTCTCTTTGCTGTGTAGGCAATCATAAAAATTCTTGAAGCCCTTCTGTGATTTCTCCAGGCTCCATATAAGGTATGATTCACTCATCACTTGTATTTTCTCATTGAAAGCAAGATTCCGCCGCAGAACATGATCACACTATGTGCGATTGTCAACATGTCGAACCCTGTGAGTACCATCTTGATCCTTTCTGATGTGCGTGTCAGTTGCTGATTGTCTGCTAACACGCACTCACAATTTCCAGACCTCACCCAGAACACCTCTTGCCAGGTCTCCAAACTCCCCACCAGCATGGCTAATGGGGAGCATGTCAGTACCATCCTAGATGTCGCCAAGATTGAAATCTTCGGAGTCCTCAGCAATGTTAGGTGGAAAAGTTAGGGGATCTCTGAGAGCTTCTAGAGCTTGACGCTCTTCATTTGTCATTGCTATAAACCAGGTTAGTGTTCTGATTGTTTTTTGAGCACTTGGACCAGGCTTACCTTGTAGGCAAGTCTCCCGCCACTGTTTACAGCTGGCTGCTTGCAGAACCAATGCTCTATGTTTGACCACCTTCGACACACGGTTAGCAGGAAGCCCATCCTTATCTTGCAAGGAGCCTATGTGGCGGATAGACCGCAAAGACAGGTTAGTGTGAACTTGTTGTGTCTGACGTCCTCCTGGATTTTGCATTTTGTTTCTTGCATACAAGTCAGCTATGGGTACATTTTTTGCACATTGAGCTGTGTGTGACTAATCATAAACATTATTAGTGCACATTTCCGTCAATTCTCCCTTGTTCGATTAACCATTTCCTCAAGTTTCTCATGTCAACCATGTCACGTGCTCCCTCACCATCTGTTGTTTCTTGCCATGATGATCATGTCCGGGACTTATGTCAGTTGGTTGAAAGCATAAACGTATCAGGTGGGTCATGGGTCTATATTATCTGACAATCACCCACATGCTCACTCTAAAACAGGTTCATCGTTGGACACGATTAGCTGGAAGCGCAAGACTGTTGAAGAGACTATCACAATCTCAAAAGCATCACACATGAACTCCTCACGTGTCAATCAAACCATCCCAATGTCTGATCTATCTACTAGCTCACACGCACAAGACCATCTGCTGCCTTCAAGCTCATCATCACACACACAATCTTCTATGAATGCCGCACTTCTTCCAATACAGGTACTAAAGCCTAGCGAGATTGCACCTCCACATGCTGGTTTGGAACCTGAAGGGTTCTGGGTGGTTACCGTCGGCCAAGAAGTTGGTATATTCTACCATTGGTAAGTGTTGTTGTCCTCTCTCACTTATGATAATATCGACACTTATATCAGGGCTGATGTGGCTGAACGCACCAACTTTGTTAGTGGTAACGTTCAGAAGTGGTACCCTTCATTCCAGAAGGCACTTGAGGTATATATGGTACAATATAATGAAGGTAGAGTATGAGCAGTACCAACCCCAGGTGGTCCTTTCTGGCTGTCTGCATCTCCAACTTCCCCCTCTCAGTCCACTGACTCGGATGACCTGTGGTCGCAGGTAGATGACTTGTCGGAGACAATGTCACACTATGAACTTTAGATACCTTTGTAGTAGTTCACTATCTCAGCTGTGTATATGTAGTACTTGCTTGTAACTCTTTATCAATGGAATCTTTATACTCGGATCACAAAATGTGCTAGCTACTCTGCGTGATTACAAAATTGATGCTGATGTGCAACGGTGATTGGACGACATTGGACTGCACAGTTGCATTACCTTAATAGTCTGCATGTATCCCACAAGTGTGATTAGTGATTAGCTAGTGATATACAAGAGTCATAGCCCTAAATCAAGGTCCACTGCACTCATCACACATTCAGTATAACAGATGACCTAACCTTGGATGCAGTTGGTGGTTTAGAATTCTATGGAAGTGCAATATGCTAGAGATACAATAACATTCGCTATATGTTCGCCATCAGTTCACTATGTGTTCACTATAATGTAAGTATTTTGATATGTGTTCGCCATCAATAAGACATCGCTTGACATATTATATAGTCAGACTACTTATTTTTACTGTTAGCTACCTTAACTTCAAAGAAATTGACCTCCAAAACAATACAAAGGAGCAAATCATGTAGTAGAATGATATCATGTTTGGGGCTCCCTGCAATATGGGCAGCTGGTATGTACAATGTCTTCCATACATTCGAGAAGTCCCCTGCCCTCACAAGCATGTAAACCACATTCATCAAGAAAAATGGTAGTCTCTAGTCCCCCCTTCTTTTGCGCACCTTTGAGTAGTTTTTCATGTGTCATCCCACACATGTTTAGACTCCTGGGCCCATCCCTTTTGCCACCGGTGACCTGCACCAAACTGGTTCAGTGCATGGATGACTAATGCTCTCCCATGAGCCTAATACCCTAGAAATCACTACGAGACCATTTCCCTCTACTCTAAAGCCAGAATGCAGCTCAGACAAATATTTCATTTCATCTTTTCAACAGAACTCGGATAGGCTGAATATTTTTGTATATTTAATTCTGCGATGAATTTTGCTTAGTCATCCTCAACAATGACTCAGGCTAAATCCCACATATGTCAGGTGACTGTGAAAAATAGTTCTCGCATGGGTTACCCTGGGAAAACTTCCTCAAAACCTTAAATACTTGCCTCGCGTCATTTTCTCATTCAACAAAGTAACATCAGAACGGAACACCAATGATCATGAATATTTCTCTTGCAGTGCACAATCAGCCTGTCACAGGACCCTTCAGTCACATGATGCTAAACCACATGATCTTAAGTCAGGTGACTTTTGATCCAAACAAATGATGACAGAACACTCAGCCCAAGCATGCTGACTAATGCTGACTAATCATGGTCTCATTTGTTGCAATATAGGCAACCCCTGCAAAATGATTTTTTGGTACCACTGACTAAGCTCACCCCCCATAGATGGCGGGAAAACATAGCACAGCCACCCTTTTTTTTTGTATATAAGACCCAAATTTTTGCCCATAAAAAGAGAGCTTTGTAGCCCCACTTTCAGAATAAAATTGTGTGTGAAGTGTGATCATTGTCAACAACAGTGACCAGGGCTGTCAAGTACCTTCAGCAAAGTCATTGTAACCAGTAGTCAGCCAGCAACTTTCAGTAACCAGCAAGCCCCTAAGCTCATCAGCATCAGCATCCAGCAACACCCTTAGCTCATCACCACCAACGACGACCAAGACCTTGAGCTCACTGTGCTCAACGACCGACAGAACTTTTTTTTGATTTTTCTTCTGTCTCTTTTTCTCTTTCTTTTCTTTCTTTCTTTCTTTCTTTCTTTCTTTCTTTCTTTCTTTCTTTCTTTCTTTCTTTCTTTCTTTCTTTCTTTCTTTCTTTCTTTCTTTCTTTCTTTCTTTCTTTCTTTCTCTTTTTCTCTTTCTTTTCTTTCTTTCTTTCTTTCTTTCTTTCTTTCTTTCTTTCTTTCTTTCTTACTTTGTCTTTCTTGTCTGTCTCTTTTTTGTTTTTGTTTTTGTTTTTTTTCATTCTTTCGCTCTTTCTCTCTTTTCTCTCTGTGATCCTCTCTCTTTCTTCTCTTTCAAGTTTCGGTGCTAAGCTTTCATTCATATTTTCAGAAGCTTTTGTGTTGTCTCTTTCGTCCATCTAGACTCCGAGTAGTTTAGTGGGGAGACTTTAGGGATTGACAGTAACGCTTGACCTCACTCATCTGAGTAGCAATACTGAGCCAGGATCTTCCTTGTCTGCTAGACTTTAGTTGTTGAATAGGGGACTTGGTACTGAAACCAAGGACGTCCGTTCCTGATTCTGTTTAATACTCATCGTGAGTTCCTTGGCAGCAGGTTCAACAGTGAGCTAATAGTTCTACTGAGCATTGATTAGTCTTGACCTTTGATTCTACCTGTTTGTGCTGAGGGGGTTGATTGCTGTAGTTCCACACAACTCTTTTTGAGATATGATTGTTACAATGCATTGTTGTTGAAGGAAGGTTTGAAGAGGTGTCTTTTTTTCTTTGTTTCTTTTTGTCATCACCATACCATTGGGTTGACTAGTTTTCTTTCGTCTTTCAATCACTGCCATACCGTTGGAGTGATTTCATTTCAGTTTCATCTTTGTTGGATTGACTGCATTGTTGCTGACCTTACAGAAGTACTGTTGTCTGAAATAGCTTGGGAAGTGTAAACAGCCACCCACGAACAACCACATTATCAGCCATTGGTATTTGTCTGAATCACTGACCGTGGAGATATTTGTTTTTATAGGTGTTTATCTATAGATCATCTATCTAAGAAGACACCGGTTGGCCATGTTCTCAATGTCTTGCAGGGTTGGCGTGTCACAGGAACAGGGTAAGTCATTCTCCATAGTCAGTAGAGATCCATCATCGACCTCAGGAGTGATATCGTGAGAATTGAGACTGTCGAGCATGGGCGAACTGACCATAGGGATGTGTATAGTTGGCTCTGCAGGGGCTTTTTTTTTTGGCTATGAGTGCAGTCAGCAAGAGTAAGAGACGGAATAAACAAAAGGGATATAACCTGGCCCGCTTGCTTAAAGATGTATTTAAGCACAAAATTTCAACTTGAGAATGAGAGTAGGACTGACCTCACCATCCAAACACATGCCTTTGCATTTTGCATGTCTCGAACTCTGAAATAGCAGGGAAGTACAATCTCAGTGTCAGTCAAAGGCAAAAGCTTACCCTGGCTTCTCAAGCCAATGCTTGGTAGCTATGCACTGCCTGCTCAAAGTAACAGCAGGATTAACCTCAAAACATATGTGAATATCATACAACTGTGAGTCTAAAATTGGGACTTACCATAGATTTGAGGGGGAAAAATGGATTGTGAGATTTTCTTTGATCTAATATTAATGTGTCCTTACCTTGGGGATTCCCCCTCATACATTTTGTAGAATGTTCATTCTCAGTGGATGTTTACCCCCGAATCAATGTCATACACCAAACTATCTGAACATCATCGGCATTCAAGTTGGATCAAAGGGTTGTGACAAGGTCATCCCAGCAGAGATTCCCCCATCAAAAAACTTCTTCCCAAAATTACAAAGTTGCCACTGTGCAACCGAGGAAGCTGACAACAACTCCATCCAGATATTCCAGACTTTGGATTCACCCATCCCTCTAATTGGCAACCCAAGAAGTATTGTGAGTTTTTTGATTGTTTATGTCTAGCGATTTGTATTAATGCCGTTTTTTGTAGGGCTTCAATGACGACTGCATCATCCTAATCCATTGGCGTGATTCTCAGGTTCTCGAGGCAAGCACCTTTTTTCTATTCGAGTTGTTCTATTATTGACTCTGATATGCTTTTTTTAGGGTTTCAATGATCTGACTGTGTCATCCTAATCCCATAGGTATGGGTTTCAGGTTCCTGAGGCAAGCACATTGTTTTTTTAATCGCATCCCCTCCTTCTTACCCACACAGACAACTATGAGCTACATTTTCTCTGAAGATGACTTTAATATCAATGGAAATTTCATCGACAGCGGAGGACCTGAATATCTTGCAGGGTCGCTCGATGAAAATGAAGGTGTAATGTTATTTATGTGCATCTCCCACTCTTTATATTGACCTTTGAAAAAACAGGATCGAGCCATACACCCCAACCTTGGCACGGTATTGATTGGCAGGACCCATCACTATACTTGATGCCGCTGACGAGTGATGAGTTAGCATTCCTCAATGATGGCCCAGCCCTTCCACAGCCTCCTACTCCCATCATCGCTCAATTTTCACCTGACACACATGAACCCACACCTTCCTCTCGCATGTCATCACCTGGTGGTGAAGAGTCACTGTCAGAGCCCCTCCATGATGCAAACTTGTCTACCTGGGCAGCACGAAACCCAACTCATCCCATGATCCATTGCTGGACCCCACCGCCTCGGCTATCAGATGCCAAGAAGGCCTCTCAGAAAATCAAGAAAGACCAGAGGACAGAAATTGCAAAGTGTCTACATGATGCTGTCGCCAAACATCTGCAAGAACAGAAAAATGGAGTTGAATTGCTCTCACTCGCTCACAATGTTACTCCGAAGCAGATCAATGACATAATCAGTAATCAGGCCAAGTATCGCACGGAATGCAAGGTCCACCTCAATAATGCCCTAATTCACGCCAAAGCTAAGGAAATGAACAGTGGTACGTGAAATTCATTTGCTTGCTCTTGTTGTCATACTTATATTCTGTTGCAACAAGACCAACATAATAGCTTTCAGTACACATTGGCTGAGCTGCACGAGATGGTTGCTCAGGACCTCCAGATGCAAGATTTGACGAAGGATGAGAAGGCCACTTATATGGCTGCTCTCAGTGAACACCGTGAACAAAAGGTAAGTAGCATGCGAGCAAATAACATGGCTACTGCACGAGACATTTTAGTCACAACAGAAAGGGTGGTCAAGGAGGTGAGCTCTCCGCCTGTCACATGTATTCTACTGAACTTATCTTCACTTCGAAGCTCGACAATTTGCATACTCACACAGGCACCTACGGAACACTGTTTGTCGTTCAGGGTCACATCAATGACACCATTCAAAGCATGATGCATGGTACTGACAATTCTGAAGACTTCTGGGAGGATGTTTATGGGTCTCCAATGGCCGATTTTCTCCGACAATACGAACAATGGGCCTGCACACAGAATCAAAGTAAGTTGTCTGGCTCCTCACAGTGATATTTTATTCTTATTCAGTTGTTTTGAGACCTCAATGAACGCAACTCCCTGGAAACGGTCCACAAGCAAGCTCGAAAACTGATTATCCGAGGACTGGGTATGTCACAGTAGTGTGCATGAGTACTGTCTGACATCTTTACAGTTGCGATGACTGGCAAAAGAGACATCACGATGAACTACAGCAGCTACGAAACAGCAATTACCGAGACTTATGCAGTCAAGCTAGTAGGATGGCCTGAGGGTGTCAAGTTTATTAGTCCTTCGAACATTGGGACAGTCAGTGAAATTCGCAAGCTCTGTGATGTACTCAAGGCACAAACATGTTACTGGGCTGCTCTCACTCCAGCAGAAGTCAAGATTCACAGTGCCAAACTTGATGTGTGCCGTTCCGCGGGGCAAGTTGTTCGGCAGCCATGCAAGAAGCATTCTGATGCTGGAATCGCTCGCAAGCATAAGGCTCCACCTACCACAGGACAGGCAAACAAGGAGAACAGAAGGCTGTCAAAAAAGGTGAAAAAGAATACTAGTGCCCAGCATCGTGAGGTCCCTAAAAGCGTGGAGTTCATTGAGTCATCTGATGAGGATGAGGGCGAGGGCGAGGGCGAGTAGTACACCATGCTGCTCTTTTATGTATATTCTGAGGATCTGTACATATCTGAATAATTAGTAGCTGTCACTGTGTAAAAACGCTCCACCAATGTCTAAAAATGCGCTGTCAATATGCATGGTTTAAGGAGCTCATCGTGTACGACAGTGAGCACAAAGGTTTACATGACAGGTACACAATAGCCGATGCCAGGAACGTTAACACCGATGTCTTACACTTAGTTACCTACTAGAGGCTAGAGCTGTTGATATTATAAGTTACTCTTTATGCAAGAGTTATTGAAGGAGGCTTGGAAACACTGGAACTCTGTCATTTTAGATGTGCTAGCCCTATCTATAATCACGTCTAATTAGAGGCTATACGTGGGAGTCACAGGTGCTTCTTCCCGTCCGATGTCCATGCCAAGATCAAAATTATAGTGTTTGAGTGTTTTGAGAAGCTAGCCAGTCTTTGCATCCCAGATTGTTACAGTGTCCTCCTGGTCTCCACCCACTGCAATTTTTGACGAGTCAGGCGAGTACATCACCGCATACATCCAGTTGTTCCCAGTTTCAATTGTCAGGACAGTAGTGCCGGTGTTGACATCCCAGACTCTTACCGTCCCATCCCAGGATCCACTTGCTACTCGCTCACCATCTGCACTCCAGCATAATGCATACACAGTTCTGGTGTGTCCTGCCCAATTGGCAATGACCTTTGTCGTGTCAACATCAAACAACCTCACATTCCCGTCATCGCCTCTGCTGGCAGTTGTCTTTCCATCTGGGGACAATACCATGGACCACACTGCATCATTCTTGTCCCACCAGTCCCTGCCTATCTGTGTACCACTCTCTAGGTCCCATAGTTGGAGTGAGCCGTCCAATGAACATGTAACTATATATCCACCATGCAGATGCGCAATACCATTTATCCAGTGTGTATGGCCTCGCATCGTCTGGTGTGGCGTATTGCTGGTAGAGGAAGACATGGTCTGCACTTGGAGTCTCAACTACGGCAGATCGTGGACTGCATATACAAGATAAGTCTGTCGGGATCTTTGAATGACTAGACCGGATTGTCTGACAATGGCAATGATTATTGATGCTTGTTAGAATCACAGAAGGCATGGTTCATGAGACATCATGCTTACAGGATTCAATCCTCACTCACAAGATGGATGACATATGCTGGTGCTGCAAAATTCGAGAATGTGTCAGAGTATCTGAAGTTGCTGGTGAGTGAGTCATCAGCTTCGACTGCATAGAGTATCATTCGCAGGAAGCACCATTTGGAGGAGCCCAGTGCACAATCACCAGCAATCAATGAATGTCTGGTTGGGAGTTGAGGAAGCCGGGGGGTCATTCATGCCGTTTTTAAAGCTGTGTATCATCCAGTGATCACTTCACAGCAATGACCCTGCTGTGTAGACGAAACGCTCAGGTCTGGACCGCCTTCCTCAACATAGTCTCACTTCCTGCATGCTTGCTCCTCCGTGATTTTTTTATCATTGTCTTTCCTTCGTTACATTGACTTCGTCCTTCACTCATGCTTGTGTTTCATTAGTCAGACTACTGCTATGCTCTATAGGATTGCAATACCTCGAGTTTTTCTACCACCCTGATTCATGGTGTCAAAGGTCCTTTGCAAATCTGGCTTAACATTGCGATATAGACGTCTTTTGAAACATGTGTTCAAAGCACAAGCACATTCCGCTCGAAATTGACGACGCATAGACGGTAGAACCAGCGACAATGATCATAGGCATTAAGTTGGTATAACTGGCGTCAGAGAGGTGAATCCTATACATATTGTCATCAAGTGTGGATTGGTTACAGTGTTAATGAAGGATAGCTAATATGCTAAAAATTCGAGAAAGATAAGGTAACATGTCGAAAGTGTGAAGAGGAGCATATCAAACCGACAAATCTGAAGGCAGAAGAGGGGGGGGAGAAAGGAAAACATGCGAAAGGTGAGGCTGTTTAGCATATACCGCTCAATGATGTGGTTGCAACTTGAGCTTGAATGTCGAGTCTGGGGTCTTTTCTTTGTGAGAAGGGTCCGAAGTTGTTAGATAATAGGGACCGACCAAGTGCATTCTAAAATTCTAGATCTGAGTCTAGTGTTTTTTTAGTTATGTAACTCTTTTGGGCATGTCCGATAAGTGGTCTACCCTTCAAGCTTCAAGTTGACGTCCAGGGGGTCACTGATGCAATACAGCCTCCCGGTACGGAGCATGCGTCCAGCGATTGCACTATTTGCTTCCTCATTCATTTTCCCTTTCCGCACTCCTCCCTTGGTGCTCTAACAATATTTTATTAGACCTGCCCACCATTCCCTTATAGATTTCGTCGTGTCATAGTAATTACTCCTGATACTTTGTCAGTCAAGTGTATTATAGTTTTTGAATGTATCAATTTATATTTTACTGTTCCCTATCCCCGTGCTCAGAGCCATATAGAGTGGCTCCACCTGCTCGCGTCCGTGGACTCCTGGGCTAATGCTCGATCCAATCCAACCTACAATATGTTTTCCAACACTCGGCCTCACTACCGGAACCGGCACTATTACACCCTTATCATTGATATGACATATTACTCTGGCCAGGGCATGCCGCTTGATGAAATGAAACCTCAGTCAGTTCGTTATGGGGCCATTTACTAGCCAGTAAATGCGCCAGAATATCGTACATCAGGAAAACCCTCCCATATAGACTTAGATAGATTAGATGTTCTTAGACAAATTTTTGCAAGCTGTGAAATTTTATAGTAGCTAGCTCTAAGACCAATAGTATAGTGCAAGCTAATGATAATCATTGGCAACTAGCGCAGTGTTGCAAAACTGTATCGATCTAAGTATGTATTTACATAGAATGATGAACACTCGTCAAGAACATTAGCAGAGGTCCATTCACGAGGAGCTACAGAGCTGAAATGCGGAATCAAATGGGCACTACAATGAATATTGCTGATTGGTATGATGCTGGCCATTCGTTCTCTATTTTTAATGACACGCGAGACCTTGTGCAGGCCGTGATCTTGATCAGGTATGCAGAAGGGAGAGAACCATTCGACATATGCGAGGTGTTTTGGAGGCTGAAATGTGGACGGGAAAAGTTTGGGGATGGCTTTGGGAGGTATCGAGAATATGATACGGACTTGCGCAATTCGATATCCTAAATAGTAACCACTGAGTACCAGTCAACAGCACAATTCAGAGCACTCACCTTTGATGCCAAGTGACCCACCTGTGCCATCATTAACGAAAACAGTATCAAATCGCGGTGCAACACTGTCAGATGTAAATTTTCCTGAACGTCCAGGACGTGCATGGACACTATCGACTGTGACCGGAGGATCCCCATCACCATGAACATTATCCAAGAGCCATTTCACCTTATGAAAGACCGGTAGTCTTTGAAATGGGATGTGTATATCAGCTGCTCGATCTTCGAGCTGCCTGGCCGTAACAGCAGTGTTGACAGGAAGGGTAGCTTTCGCAACATAACATGCGAGACATTCATCAAAGTGCGTGGCACCATATTCGTTTGCGACCTTGTCCAATGTGACTGCCTTGATGGTAGGATGCTTCGTCATCGTTTGAGTATGATGAAATGTCATTTCTGGGGGACAAGGCTGATGATGCGGATGTGCAGTGTTTTCAATGAGTCTCCACTGAATGTATTTCTCGTGACGGAAAATTTTCTCCCTCTGTTCAAGCCAAGTCGTCATTTGACCAAACTTGTTCTTGTGATTCGTAGAGCGATAAGCATCTTTTGCAAGGTCGATGTGAAGGCGTTCAGTGTATTCAGTATTGTAGTTGTCCGTAGTGCCATACATCCGAATCATGTGAGCGTAGTGAGCTGTGAAGTGGAGTTTGGCAAGTTGAAGGAATTCCAAATGCCAAGGTCAATAAAGATGTCCTTGTTGTCGTGGAAAAGGTTAAGTGCCTCGTCAAGTAAAACCAGCGTCTCAGAGCTGTGACATGGGTACTGAGAAAAATATAAAAAATCTAGCAGACCACGAATGGCATGGAGGAGTCGAGCGGAAGACACATTATTAGGTAGACTGATGTCGATGATGATGCCGAGCAAAAAATGGCAGATTTGATTATGTTCTGTACCACTGACACGCGAAAGAGTTGTGATGCCCTTCGTAAATAGTTGAATATGGTGATTTGGGGGGAGGCGTCGACATTGTGCATCAATCTCCATACTGCCGCATGCATCAGAAAGCCAAGCGAGAAGATGCTTGACAAGCCCTTGGTATAGCTGATGCAGAATGTCAGGAGTTATGGAGTCGAATATATTGACATAAGGTAGTCCCTCCCAGAATGGGTGGACAATAGGCTTAATGCCGGCATCTGCACATGCACGCACAAAGGCCAATCCACCTTGGTCAAGAGCGCAGAGGGCATCAAGTACTGCACCAAGATCTTGTGGTTGCCAATTTGCAACACCAGTTGCTAGTCCAAGCTCATCGGAGGGAACGTCGCACTTTGGACATGGAGTTGCCTTGACTGCGGTAGCTAAAACTTGCTCTGGGTAGTCTCCTGCAAAACATGCAAATAAAGGACGGCCTCGATGCATTATTCCATCGCCACTTTGCATATTAATGCCATTGATGCCAGCAGCTGCGAGTGGTGCAAGTATGCATCCCACACAAGCATGATATAAATTGGCAAGCATCCGTCGGCGAGCAGCTTTGTTTGTAACGTGTTCGAGGCAAGTCGTTGGAAGGTATGCGAGGAGGACATGTGCCTGGCATGATGGTTTCCGACGAATATCCTTTGGGATGTTTCTGATAGTCATATAGACGGGGTACACTGTTTTGTTGCGAAACATCGTAACTTGAGTCTTGTCCAATGAAATGATGACGGGAGTAGCACCAGGGCGCTCGCGATCTAAGTGTTTCTAGGAAGAATACAATAATATTAGTACATTGAAGCTCACAAAAGGTAGAAAACACCAACCTGACTATTCCACCACCATTGTCCAGTATGCATCTCATGATATAAACGAATCGTCTCATCTTCGTCGGCATAATGATGTTCAGGTGCAAAGACCAGAACATCAGCAAAATTTGGATCACTGAAAAGAGCCTTGATGCATTCAATGATATCGCGATAGTAGACGTCAAATGCTTCATTAGCAATGACAATCTGATTGTGTTTGAATTTCGGACGGCCTGGAAGTTCATTGTCGATAATCTTGTTCAGTTCCTGTGTATTCTTGAAGGAAAGACCAATCTTTTCGCCAAGCTGGAAGTGCTACAATTAGATTGATCCTAGTATTCAAGTGAAGCGCGGACTTACACCTTCAATAGAAACAAGTTCTGAGAATGCAGTTGAACTTGAACCTCGTAATTTTTCCCATCGAGCCATCTCCCAATCAAGCTTCGAGGCGAATGGGGCATAAATATTATCTGCACTCAAACCATTAAGCTGTGCATGGTAGATTATATTGCTTGGCTGCTTGATGGCTGAGTCGATGGGTTGTCCAGCTCGTTGATCAGGGTAATGGACAACTATAGGTACTTGTTTGTGTTCAAGAAGTCACCGCTGCGCCATATGAAAAGCATCTTGGCTTTGATCTGCAGTAGGTGGGTGCAAGGCATCATTGTGCGTGGGTGCTGGCACTACAGGAGGTTCCCATCCATCATGATCGTTAGTGTCATGATGCTCCGCAGACTGACTTGGCGGTGCTGGTGCTGCAGGAGGCTCCCATTTGTCATGATCATTGATGTCATTATCTGAGTCTTCTTCATCCATAGGTGCTTGACCAACATCCCCCTCGTCATCTGACCCTGGCCATGCAAGCTCATTCTCAGTGTATGTTCCAAAAAAATCACCTTCAAAATGCAGCAGATGATTTGGATCAGGTGCGTCTATATCTACATCATTTTCTGGGTCTGGAGTGAATCGCCGTGAGGAAAGGTAGAGGGTACGACAGGCAGGATTGGAGGTTTTCGCGAGATGCTGACTATAACCAGTGATTGACGCAAGTTTTTTATCACAGGAAGGACATGTTATTTCAGGCATGTTCTGCGTAAATTCAATAAAACAAATGAACACTGAACGCCTGAAAATCACTTACAACTTGTCAGTCAACAGTAAGGACAAATAAAGTGTGCGAGTCTGACAGTCAGAGCTAAAAAGTGGTGTCAGCAGCATGTAAGAGGCTGTGAGGCTCTGCTGAAGTAAGAAATATTGAGTAAAGTGATGACGGTATTCCGCATGCTCAGAGATTGGTAAATCCAAGTCTTGCAGTGATGGAACTGGATATCAGACTCGTTAAGCACATCAGATAAATGACTTTTGTGAAGCACAGTAGCTGAACACGACAAACATAGAGGGTAGTAATGGAGAGGAGCATGCTTCTTGATAGTTCGTAAATGGGGGAATGCCAAAAGTTCCCAGCTGATGGGGCCGTTACTGTTACGACGGTAAGTCGCGTGCGAACTGGGATGATCTCGTAGTGACTGTAACAGTTACTAGGGAAGAACACTAAACATAGAGGGTGGTAATGGAGAGGAAAATGCTTCTTGATAGTTCGTAAACGGAGGACAAATGGGCACGCAAGCACGAACACTCACCCACTGACAATATTGCACCTATTCCAAAACGGGTCAAGTCAGTCAAAAGTAAGTCGCGATTAGTAGTAGCTCACCTGTAGTGATGACCTGCCATGATGGATGCAGGTGGTGGAATGAAAGCAAGGACACCAGAACCTCCCCTGAGAACTGGAAAAAGCAAAAGCTGCAGTAAGTATCAGTGCCCACACAAAAGCCAAACTTGCTCACAGAAAGATTAGAGCGGCCGCCACCTCTCGCATCTGACTCTGAGGACAATGTGGAGGTTAGCCAACCTCAACGGTTAAAGAAGAGGAGTCAGCATTGCGTGTTGCCACGTGACACTTTTACTAATGGTTGAAAATTATAGCTCATGTCAGTGTTGAACCATCAGTATTGATTCGGACACTGCTAGCAAGCAGAGTGTCTCTGATAGAGCTTCCAGCTCTGAAATTGAAATGTCGGATTCAGGATCAGAGCCAGTCGAGAGCATCGCAAAAGCTCTGTTTGGAGAGGTAAGTCACTTCGCACTGCATTCAATAAGCTTAAGTAATCTGCATGAACTTTCAAGGTTCCCACAATTGTCAATACGCAGGCGGCAGACCGCCAGAAAAAGCCTGCAAAGAGTAAGTCTGGCAGACCTCGGAAGACCAGAAATACTTCGTCCCGGTCACCAACGCCTCCACCACCTGTATGGGGCTCACAATACAGGCCTTCGAGTGTGAAAGAAAAGAAATATACTGCCGAAGTAAGAATATATTTTGTTCCTTTGTATTCCGAGTCTACTGAAACCAAAATTCGCTCAATAGATCCCCATGTGGGACTCTCCAATGACGAGGTCATCCTTTGGACCGCAGCCTCTCAAACACAGTAGCAAGAGCAATACACCCTCTCCCATAATACAAGTCAAGGAAGATGAGGAAGACCTTTCCATCCTCGATATCAAACCTGAGCCTGATGTGCCCCCGCATGTTGACACGATGGCTGATCTTGTCTACACGAAGACTGGGTCAGTGCGACTTACAGACCAGAACGTGGAGCTTCGCAAGGTGGTCCAACATGGTATCCTCGAAGTCAAAGCATACATTGTCTTCACTCACGGGTACCTCAAAATTGTGGCCAAGAACTCATATGCGCGGGAAATCTTACTTCAGGCTGTGAAACACCACGAGACAGTGCCAATTGAGAAACGGATGTATGTTGATGATGAGTATTTGTCGGCACTCGCCAATCTAGTAAGTAATCTGTCTTACTTTGATTTAATATTGACACCTGCTATAGATTGATGCTCGTGCTAGCCTCTTCCACACTGAAATCAAGGACGTCGCCTATAAATATACCCCAGGCTACTTTCGACTCGGCCGTAACTGTAAGGCTATCATTTGACTGTCTCCTTGCGGGTCATTCCTACATTTTTCCGCAGACATTTGATGTTAGTTTTTTTGCACAAGAATTTGACATCCCACTGACACCTCGCATCAAGACTGAGGGTCTTCCTTCTCCAAAACGACAGAAGCCATATCAAGGGCAGCCCATAGTCGACACTCTATACGAGACATTCTTCAAAAACTCGAAGTCAGTTGGTTTGCAGTTTGCTCAGCGCTTTCTTGACATTGCGGAGAACAAAACTGGTCAACCAGAAATCCCTATCCCCATGTTGGCCATGGTCAGCACAGCTGTAAATTCGTGTTCGCACTCATCTGTCCATTGACTCACTTCTTTGTTGTTAGATCCACGCTGTTCTCATTGCAAAGAAGAACAAGGCAGGTGAAGATTTTAAGTTCACTGGTAACCAATTCTGTGATATCTATACATACCACGTGGCATTGTTGGAGAGAATCCGAAGGATGGCTCCTGTCAAATTTCATAAAATGATGGCCGATATTTACGAGGAGGTCCAGTAAGTCCACATCCAATTTGGTATACATGTTGCTGACTTACTGTTGCTTACAGGCATTTCTGTCGTGACGCAATTGGAGTCTATGGCACTGATACCGATCTAGCATTCTTGGACCTTGAGGGAATGGATGACGAGTAGAATACCTCACTGACGCTGTGCCATATTTTGCAGGACATAGGACTTAATCTTCGATACCCCACTGCTCGCTATATCTCGCCACTCGCTATATCTCACTACTCGCTATATCTCACCACTCGCTATGTTTTCTCGTGCTTGTTTTGCTCATATGAGTCGTACATTACTGCATCAGCCTGATACCCGATTTTAATGATATTAATTTTTTCATGTACTCAAAGTGTGAAAGTCTTCCTATTAGTGTTTCCTAGGGCACGTAAAGGCTTTCCTAGGTGTCTACTAGGACACGTCAAATTGTTTTAAATGACAGCAAGGTATGGCTAATTAAAAATCAGCAATATAGTCTGGCCATTTAGTCTAGCCCATCTAATATGTCTAATACTGTCTAATATGTGCTAACTGCACGAAAAAAGATCTAATCCAAGCAGCTTTACCTAAGTTTACATGGGAGGGTTTTCCTGATGTATTCTGGTGGTTTGAACGGCACAGGACAGCTCTTGAAATATCTCAGCTTGCTCAATGCTCAGAGAGGACAGTATACAAAATGTCACATCCCTTGACCTAGTAATTAGGGTGTAAAAGCTTTGCCGGTTCCAGTAGCGGGATTATATTGTAAAATTACTTCGAGACGGTGGATGTACATCATGTATATTTGTCTTGGTGTTCGGTCAAACCCGAGTTCACCGCGACATTAAGTTCGTATTAGCAACCCCAGGTGAGCTATGCCAAACAATCCAAAATCCTGACACTGACATTGATGTATAATATGATAATTTCGGGTGTTCATGCGCAGAAACATCGACCCGAAGATACTCCATCCTGTACTAGGTAAGAATGAGTATCATGTGCAAGTAACTGAGACCGTTACAATATAAAACTCATACCTGCCCCCCGCAACTTGATCAGTTTCTATCAACATCTTCATAGCGCCTCCAGGTCAAGCACCATGAGTTTATTGAAGATCCCCTTCATCCTAGCTTCGGCCATTGGAACTCATGTATCGTTCACTTCCCCTTCTCCATCACCATCATCTAAAGAGAGTGTCGTGCCATCATTGTTCGAATTCATCATTAAATGGTGTATAAAACTTCGCTGCCCGGAGTTAATGAAGGTGGGTCAACCATCTTAATACCTGTCATTGTTTGTATTAATCTGTAGAAAATATAACAGATCAATATATGGGCAATATCGCTTGTTGAAGTGGCAAACATATTGGCCACGCGTATGGGTCCCTCGGATATTCCAGAAGGCATCAGTGGTGCTAGAGCTGTGCAGCTTTTGCATGCCCTCCACCCTACACCAATCACCCCCGCTTTCCTCGTCGGCAGTATTGCCATCGCGCTTGGTGGCGCATTAAGGCTCCATTGTATCTCGACGTTAGGAAAACTTTGGAGCTTCAATCTCAGCGTCAGAAAAGAGCACAGGCTTGTGACAAGCAGGCCGTACTCAGTGGTGCGCCACCCAAGCTACGCTGGTCTCCTTCTCCAAAGTGCTGGGACCATTGTCGCGTACGGAAGCCAAGGATCATGGATGAGGCAGTCCAGGATCTTGCAAGTGCCTTTCATCAAAGCATTAACGAGTATCACTTTCATACTTGTCATAATCCACACCTGGATTTCCCTCAGCCGTCCTGCACCGGAGGACCAAATGTTGCACGGCGCTCTGGGAGAAGAATGGGAGACTTGGGCAAAGAAAGTAAGATATCGGCTTGTTCCTGGAATTTATTGATTACACACATGTGGGTACTAGCTATAGGCACTGTGTGTTTGTTGGAAATTAACCTGTTTCAACACAGTCCATTATGATATACGGTTTTCTTTTCGTTTACACACCTTTGCTATCCTCGTTTGCTGCTTTTCCCAAATCTCTTATATTCAGCTTTCCCTAACGGGCCATTATGCTATGACATTTTATAACTTTACTTAGTTCCTTGCTCGCTCTTCATTGCAGTTGAACCTGAGTTGTTATTATGTGACACTGACTGACAAGAGTGAGAATAGCCGGCCGGGGAGTGCATCTGGACATCAACTCAAAGGCATGGTGGAATGATATTTGGTTTCTTTGTCAGTGTTGAGTTGAGGTCAAGATAAAAATGAGCAAAGGCGGACTAGGAGCATGTGGATCTACCCGCAAGGCATGGAGGGTTGCTGAAGTGCATCTGGTGCATTATTCTCACATGAAGAGCAGTGAATGAATGATGACATGCAAGTGAAGAGTGCATGTGGATGGAATGCCGAAGGCCTCGAGGGTTGCGGAAATTTGGTCACTTCACCACTGTCGGATCGAAAGCAGTGGGGAAGACAAAGGCGAGCAATGAGTGCATTTGCAGGGGAATGTGGGTGGGTACCACCCATTGGAGAGGCCTGAGAGCACGCAGGTTTAGATAAGAACTAAAAATTGAAATACTGATTACGCACATCAGCATCAGCTTCCATTTCAGCAAAAAACAGTAGTGAGAGCTCATCGACACCGCCAAACTGGCCAGGACATCGTGTAGCATCAACCTGAAATGCTACTGTTATAATGAATGCAAACACAGTGCACACTTCCAAAAATGACTTGTCACTGAGCGAAGAGCGGTGCGTGTGCTGTATTCTTGAGATCTCTCCTATTAATCTGTCTTTTGGTACCTAACAGTAGACATCATCAATAAGGGAAAGCAGGTGATATGTTGTCACTGACAGGATTGAAACCGACAGGAAATAAGTCCTCAAGGCCAGCTTTGTTAGGGATAACATGAACATCCCATGTGTACGCATCTTCATTTGCGTAGCCAGTCACTGGCATCTTTCCATCGGAAAAAAGAGCTACAGAGCGCAAAACCTCTTTGTGCTTGGAGGCGTGGTCCGACTGGGAGTCTGGGAGGTTGATGACGAGATTCCATAGACGCGCTGTTTTATCGAATGAAGCACTTGCTACTGGGTGGTTGTTCTAATACAAGTAGATGGCAGTGACGGCATGTGTAACTTTCAATTTGTTCAAAGCTTCAAGCTTCAAGCTTTCAACCCCAGTGAAAATCGACAAGAATGAGGTAGATATGTCGGAAATACATATTTTGGGTTGCCATTCCTTAAAATAGATTGAAAGGCTTCAATTTGCCGGCAGCATTACGATTGACTTGCAAGAACACCCGAAATTGCCATAAGCCGGTTGGCAGTGACCCATTTGGTCTTGTGTCTGCCTTCCAAGGCAGTGCTAAAATTTTAAGTGACATGCCTTGCAAGGCATCGAAAGACAGTTTCAAGCGCTAAAGTGTCTTCCAATAATTTATTTTTATTTCAAGAGAATTTCGACATGCAGCGCTAGTTTCAATTCGACCGGTAAAATTCAAACTATAGAAATCACATTGAAACTCTCAGAATTGAATTGCGGGTGGTTCAAAATACAGAATGGTTTTTACTAATAGACTAGTTGTTTATGGTATGGTAGACATAGCAGGAGAGCGGATAGGAAGATATAATGATGATGGAGTGCACCAGCGCCAGAAATGATTGAGGGCAGCTGGGAGTAACAGCAACAGCAACGAGAGGGTGTAGATCTGAATCGGGAGTGTCAGAGGCAGAATATTAATTCAAACGAAAAAATACCTGTTTTGTTATTGCTGTTGTTGCTGGAGCTGGAGCTGAATCAGATTCCTAATACCGCTCACAGACTGGTGGTGATGGCAATGAGAGCGGGTGGACAATGGTGAGGTCAGAGGCGACGGGATAAATTTAAAAAAAAATTAACAGTACCTTTAAGACAGTAGACTGTGCTGCTGCTTAGACTGTTGTTTGTTGGTGGATGGTCCAGTCTAGAGGCACATTGATGATTCAGAGCTGCAGCGACGTTGACGTTGAGCGAAATCGTAGTGATTATAATGATTGTCGATGGACTTAGAGAAATTGTGGTAGTTGGATTTCAAGAGACGAGGTAAACTTGGCATGACTGGAAATGTAGCTGCTTATTCAGCTGTTTGGTTGTATGTACTTCTAACCTAATTTAGTAGTGATTCTGACTGACGTCGTATCATAGTAAAGAAGATATTTGAGCGTGCAGAAAAAGATTGAGATAAACAGCGTGTGATCAGAATGAATCATTTCTTGCGGCCAGACCTACAGACCTCAGCACCTGTTTCGTCCTGGACCGCCTTGGCTTTAGTATGCCTTGGCTTTGGTTTGGGCTTTGGAGGGATAGCACCAACCGCAATAGCCTCGTCTGCCAACGCAAGATCTTGCATTGCCGAAGAAATGGAGTGAGTTTGTGCCCCAATGATAGGAGTAGGCGAGTGCAAGATGACGGGAGCTGTCGCAGAGACAGGTGGCAGTGTGTCAGGGGTGGTGACAGGAGTAGATGCTGGTAGTGCGACCGAGGCAGATGGGCATGCGACCAAGGCAGATGGCGGGTGCGCAGCAGAGGCAGATGGTGGGTACGCAGCAGAGGAAGATTGCGCAATATCCTGAGGTGCAATGATGGCAGTATCAAATGGAAAAGCAGGCCCTTCACCTCCCTCTTCCATAGCGCGCTCGAGTTCCTCTTCCCAGCTGTTGTAGGAGGTGCCGGTATCTGCCACATCCAGAGCGGCATGTGAGGATGAGGTTTCAGGAAAGAGGGCGTTGTTGAAAAAGTTTGTGATGTCTCGCGCCCAGGCACCTCCAGTCATTAGACGTTGGCGATAATAGTTGTGATATTGTTGGTACAGTATGTTGCTTTTTTCGCCTTTCGCATACAGATCCTTGTCACCTGAAAGAACAAATATTGCCTATCAGTGGAATATTAATCAGCACACACTCAGAGATACGACATTAAATGAATACTTACAACAACAGCAGCAGCAGCAATCATACCTGGAGTCGTATTCCATAATTGCCAAAGTTTGCCCTTGGTCTTTGGGGCTGGAGCGTAGGTGGCGGAGAGGGAGGATTTCCCGAAAAGTGCTACCTTTAAGACCTAAGTGTAATTGTAGAAGCGATCAGGACTTCGTTAATGTACATAGAATAACACACGCACCCGAACAAGCTTAGCCGTTTTGAGGAACTCGTCTTTGTTGGGACGCTCTGGATGAAGAAAGAGTACCGGCGCAAACTTTGTGTATTCGCCGTGGGGATTTACAAGCAAAGTTCAGCACTCTGGCTGGGTATCGCAAGGGTAGCCTCGGACAAAAAATTCAGATTTCAATCCGAAAATAGCACCTGCGCAAGACTTGACGTCTGAAACCATCTCTGAGCGAATGCCACTGACACCCTTTGCAAACTGTCAGAATTGAAATTAGTTGCAAGTTAATTGAAGTAAGCTGAGACATTCCCTACATGCGGTGCAAAGTTCTTGTAGCCCATCAACTCATGATCAATTTCTGGGATGAACTTGAATAACTCAGCCTTTACGCCGTCCTCTATTGACTGTGGCGACAGCCAACGCTCGCTACCAAAGAGTTCAATGTTAGGAGGCACATGCAGAGGAAAAATCCCGGCGTTAATCCATAGACAGTGCGTCATAGAATATTTACGCCCGTGAGCCCGTATAGTGTCTTCTTTGGCAGAGAGTGCAAGATCCTTAGCAGTCAAGTTTTTCCCCCGTCGTCCTTTGGCTGTAGTAGCTTCGAGAAGGGCGTTTCGTTTCAATAGTTCTCGACATTTGCCACGCATATTCAGCAGCAGATTCTGTGCCATTTCAAGCGCCTGTATGTATGTGAGTAGCGGGAAACGACACCGGTCACAACCACAAGACACACCTGTCGGACTTCCTGAATAGTTGCACCATCTCTAGCAGGCGCAATAGCAGCGCGTATCTCCACGAGATCTTCATCCGAGTCAGTGGAGTCAGAATCGGTCGAGTCCTCATTGGCGTGTGAATTGCTTTCGAAGTCTGAATCATCTTCAGCAAATTGGTTTCGCTGTGGTTGAGGCATGGTTCAAAGGGCGATGAGGTGCAACTTGGCCTGAGACTATCAATTTTTCCATAAGATGTTTATATACAGTATAATATACAAACACGTACTGAGGCTCGTGGTCCATTGAATGTAATGTAAACGCACACCCTATTACTTACCTCCATGAGTCTAGACCAGACACGTCTTATCGCTGGCAGGAGGAAGCACGACGTAATCGATACTTAGGTGAGGGTGTTGAAGATTTGATGGGTGCCTGGCGGATTCAGAGATTATTACTACATCACGACTGCAGTTGTAGATACGGGATCACACACCTTGACACTGCATCAAATGAGCAACAAATAGGAAGAGTTGTACGTCATTGTTCGTGTGACTTTGGAGGCAAGGATAGCGGATACGAACAAGTGGTGACCCGGGGATCCCTGGGCAGTGGAATTCCGGGAAAACAAGAATCTGGGCGCTGGAGAAGGATGAGCGCCGTTTCGTGCGGTGTAAGGTGTATTAATGAAAGAGGGAGTTTGACAAGGATTGGGGATGGCATGAGGGAGTTTGACCTTGTGAGTTAGATGAGGATTGGGGGTGGGGGCGCAGGAAAGTGTGGGCCTCCATTACCCTAGAAGGACCTCAAAAGTTTCGCACGGAGGAACATGTCCGTGTCAACGAGATCGACAAGAAAGAAATCACGATCATGATCATGATCTGGCACAAGTAAGGCGCCGCGAACGATAGACTGCAGAGAAATAAATTCCGAGGAGGCTAGAGGTCGTGTGCGAAGGCGAGTCAGCCCCAGATCACGATCCACACCACCTCTGGAACCAGTGGGAGCATCCATGGGTAGGACTAATGCGAGTTCGAAAGTGTGATTGCTGACCGTGAACTTGAACATGAACAATAGCCGAACAAAGATGCACTTGTCGATCCCATCCTTGTCTAGAGTGCGGATCAAGGCACAATCACGACGTTCGCACCCATGGAAGTTCAGATTACATCGGAGGTAGTCAGTAGTCAGTTTCCAGTCGACAATAGACTCATAGTTTACTTTGAGGTAGCGATGTTCTTGGAGCTATGATAAACCATAATTAGCAGATATTCAGAACGATGCGGGTGAATGAACGAACCTTGTCGTTAGCTGTAGGCCGCAACCATGTAACACCATCGGCCAAAGGAATATCGTTTGATGCAACGAAAGTGTTGAGAAACTTGGTGAATTTCTTTCGGAAATCCTGGAAGGCACGGTTAGATGTGTTGCCTTCCTCCACTGCAGCGAGAGTGACAGGAACTTGAGGAGCGCCAATATGAAGATGGCCTGCGAATGGTTGATCGTCTAGTGTATCCTCGTCTTCAAGTTGTCCCTGTGACATTGTGCGTTTGTGCCGATCTTCATCGAGGTAGGAAATACGACTGCAGATTAGTTCGGAGACCAGACTGATGTGATCAAGCTTGAGGACCTGTGTGTTGGTGTTGGTGTTGCGGGCAGTTTTAATTAAGGGACAATTGTGCACCTGATTGGCAACATCCTTGCGGTTTGTTTGGCGTAAATATGCTCGCTTCAATGGTCCATGTTGTTTCTCGTTCGGTCGAGTACTGAAGTTGCGGACCGCTCCTTTCGCACGAATGTCGGGGAAAGCATGTGTCAGAGCATGCACCTTAGGGAAATTCCAGTTCTTCGTCAAATCTTCGCCCTGGATGTCGATATATGCCTGAAAATATGTTAGATACAACTAAAAGTCAAAGGAAAATGGTATATACATACATGTAAGCATGTCCCGAATACTCGAAGCTCTGCTTCGCCAGCAGTGAGTGTTGCTTCGGTATGCACATCGAGCGCTATGTACATAGTCAGTCGCAGGTAGCTACCTATACACTGCATTAGGGCATAGCCAACAGGATCTTCACTGCGCTTCAACACATTTTGTGCTGAGTACAGCATTTGCTAGAGTCCAGAGAATGTTAGTAGGTATATTGATATACAATGTCGAATAGTGTACCTTCGCAATATCTCTGAGTTTGTTGCCATCGCTAAATGATATTGTCATGACGGACTTGAAATGATTCAAGTCACGCCATCTTGGAAACGCTTCGAACCTGCAGAGTCTTGTAAGCGATATTAATGTAGAAGGTAATATGAAATATACTTACTGTTTATCGATTTTCGCCTCGGCCTCACGACCAAGTGCCTTTGCACAGACTTTGAGCTCCCCGAAAAGGTGGTTGCCCCAGTTACCAATGTCATTGACATGTAAGGGATCGAATGAGAGCGTCTCATGAGGATCGGAGTTGTTGACTTCCCAGAGCGCATTCTAATGGTAGTCAATTGAGTGAGCTTATGAACGAAATCAAAACACAAACCGCAATGGGGCGTAAACCATGCACCTTCAGGACTTCTGCCCCAGCAATGCGGTCCCTCAAATACAGCTCTAAAAAAGCTTTTGCGTCTTCGACAGTTCGAGTAGGATATGTTGCGTTGAGGTCAGAAAGTTTCGTCGAGGGAATACAACAGACAGGGCAGGGACAATTTGAATGTAGCCCGCGAATTAATGCCATCACGCATCTGTAAAATGTTAGTTAGCATGATGTAATACAAGCCTCAAGAATACACACTGTTCTTCATAATCTGCGGACAGAAGTAGGATTAGTGGGTATAGCCATCGCATGATGGCGTCAAAGCATCTGTGCGCAAAGCCTGTTTTGGAGTACAGGATGATGGATTCCAACAACTTGATGAACGCCTTATGCCAGACAACGCGTTTCATGTTCGTGTAATTGAGTTTTCCATCTTCATTGGAATCTGTAGGAACCTGTTGAATTAGAACTTGTTATGCGGACCTACTAATATTATGATTGATACTCGAACACTCACAATCGGCAGCCAGCCCACCACACGACCTCCTCCAATTCCGTCACTGTTTCTTATGTGAACGGGAAGATTTGCGCAACGAGCTATCACTGGGTATGCCTTCACGTGCCCAGATGAAGTGAGATGTGTTTTGTCGGCGTAGAGGATGAAGGCGAATGGAACACCGTTGTTCGGCAACGATGACTATGATAGATCGAGTACAGATATAACACATATATTAGCAGCATACTACAAAACATGAATACATAATAGTGCATACTTGAATTCGCCACCACCGATCTGCGGTCCAAGGCTCGTGAATAAACCGTTTAAAGTCAGTACCATCGTGCTTGTACAAACGTTGCGCGTCCCAAACGAAGTGCGGTGCCAACAGGGGATCTTGCAACAAGTCCATAGCCCAATCCCACAGCGGCCGTGTATGTACGTCGAATTCGATTTCCTCCTTCTTGTAAGGGACGGAGATGACGTGCTTCTCGAACTGTACGAATTATACCTGAATACTCAGTAAGCAGAGTGAATGAAATTTAAAACATCTCACAGTCGTCATTTGAGTGGCTGCTCGATCCCAGGCCTTCGACACTTCAGTGTGAGATCTGAACATAAACTTCGCTTGTCCCTCAGCAATCTGCCATATCAACTGCAGCATTTTGTCGGTTTGATCCTTATTGAGTGCCGCTTGGTGGGCAAGTTCTGCGAATTCGAAATCTGCGCGGCATGTAAAGGGTTGCCAAGGTGTGTTGTCGACGATGGGCGTGGAACTGGCCTCTGCCTCAACAGGGTGTCCAAAGGTGGAAAAGGTCTCAATGGCAGGGGCACGTCCACTGTTTAGGTGATATTCAGTTTTGAATGTATCACAAGCGATAGGGACTGCAGTTGCTACCGCAGACCTGCTTGTCAACATGCTTGTGTCTGAGCCCGATCCTAATAATAAAACATTATATGTAAGTTAGAAACAAAACGTGCAAGAGTGATACACATACGTAGACAGGAATCCCCCCCAATGCTCATAACACCATCCTCCACGTCACCAAACGCGTTGTCGTCGGCACCTTCGACATTTTCTATGTCATAATTGGCATGCTGATCATCCACTGGCTGTGAAGGTCCAGTAGTGTCAGCCACAGCTACCTTGTGTCCATTTCGGAGGTGTCGTTTATCCTTTCGATGTTCTGATCAACATATGTCAATATAAAATCTGACGCATCGTAACGTTTGAAGTCCAACGAACTAAGTAAATGAATTGGAACGATGGCGTACCTTTCCTTTGGGCCTCAACTACCTGAGCTGCAATATCAGCAAACTCCTTGTCGCGCCGTTTCTTCTCCCGCTTGCGTGAACAGCTCCCCTCGTGTGACTTGATGCTACGAGCAGAAAATGATCTCTGACAGAGCTTACATCGGACCTGTGCAGAGGATTGAGTTGTTGACTGTACATAGGCCCGTCCTTGTGTAGATGACATCTAAAATACAGAAATAACAAGAGATTGATTGATGATTGATGATCGAAGGCGAATCAGTGATTGCAAGTGTGATGCAGCAGTCTAAGGGCAATATGATATTATGATATGTCACCAAGAACGTTGATGCGGCTGATTATTAATATAAACTGTATAGTCCTTCTAAGCCAATTCCAAGCCCCTTGGACCTTTGTCAGCCTGTTGAAACGCAGCACGGCATCTTGCGAGGCACCAAAAGAAGTCGGTGCCTTTGCCAGACACTCGAAATAGACTCAGTCCGACTTGAAACTCGGATGCAATGAGGTTGGAAGGCATCACAATTCAGTCCAAATATAGCAGCCTTCCAAGCCCCCTTTAGAAATTTCCGACATAGGTAGCAATAGACGTCTAAGTACAGAATGAGATAGATAGAAATCTAAGAAATTCGAGATGGTAAAACTCTAATTTTGTGCAAAATGCAAAGAACCTTTGCAAAGGTAAAAAAGCAAGCATGTCAAACTTTGTTTGCACACTTTGTAACGAACTTTTGACAAACTTTGCATATGCATGCAATATTGCACATGTACATGCATATTGTAGGTGCATAACTTCTTGCATTTGCACATATGTTAACTTTATCATATCCGAGTGACCGAGTCGGTGCAGTTGAACCACATGCATCTTCTCCTCCGCCCACCATGTCATTCATCCCCGCCACGACCCCTGCTCAACACAATCACTCCCTTGTGTTTCTAGCACAACTCGACAACCACGAGCCTGAGATTTCTCTACTTTGCTTGAACTAATCTCGTCCCCTGCGCTTCCCAATAGCATAGCGCCCCGAAAACCTCTTTGTCTTCGTCAAACTAATATACAGCAGCCTTCTGATCTCTGTACTGCGGGTGTGTTCTACAAATTCATTAATATTCTTCAACTACTTATCTTCATCAAGCGCATCGTTGGCACTACACCCGACCGCGAGCCAACCCCTCCACCACGAATGGACAAAGGCAAAGAGAAGGAAGTTGTTGCTGTCGAGGTGAGTCTCTCATTGTAGTACATGTTGTGCCTGGCACTAATTTCACGTGTCTGATCTTACAGGTTAAAAACCCTCTGTAAGTCATCAATTCTATTGATGCGCTACACTGATGCGATCAATTCATTTAGCTCTAATCTTGTCCTCAAACCTCAGCCCAGACCCATTTCACAGAAACCCCCCTCCACCTTCTATTGTTTCCTCAAGTTTAGGATCCAACCCTGCTGTAGTGCCGCCCTCCACCAACATCACACCAATCTCCAGGCCAGAGATCTCATCGAGTTCTGATTCAGCTTCCCTTGCTGTAAAAATGGAACTCGTTGGAGTGACCCATGCCGAACAAACGAAACCCATGATCGACTTGAAGCCTGATGCCATCAAGAAGCAACAGCCAAGTACCAAGCCGATGCGCGTGAGCCCCAAGATCACGGCGCGGTGAGTTCTATATATTATTTTCATAGCAAGATTAACTCTATCATTCTAGGAATCTTTGCGCCCTCAAGTGGCAATCAAATGGCATTCAAAAGGAACCAGCGAGCGTCTTTGCGACTTACTGGAATGGGTTGTCTACTGCCGACAAAGAGGTGCATCATTTTTTTTCTTATGTTAACATCTATTTAATTCTGTCTACAATTGTTCTAGTTATACAAGCGCAAAGTATCTGTTCAGGTGAGTTCTGTTGCCTGCATTCTATCACATGTACTGACCAAGTGTCCTATAGGTGGCTTCCTCGGGACTGGTTCAAGTGGACGACAACCACGATGACTAGAGGGCATATGGCGGGATGGTGGGATGGCGGGATGGTGGGATGGCGGGATGGCGGACGAGGTGCACAGCGATACCCTACTCACCTAATGATAGCGATACCTATAGATAATGTCATTTGCTCTCATTAGATTTGTTTTTGGATCAAATCAAGTGATATTTCGTATGTAAATGTGTATCGGTAGGTCTAAACAGATTGAGAATCGTATCTAAATGTCTAAATTGTTTCTCGATGTCATTCTTTTTCTGTCTCGAAAAGTCTCATTTGTCTAAATACATTGAAATACATCGATAGATTTCATGGGCCTTTATTTTTTAGATATCTATATATGTATATCTACCCGATTCTTGTCGATTTTCACTGGGTTTCAACGATGGCCGCTAACTTCTAAGTAAACTCGTAATCAACTTTAGGCTGGTCACGAGCCTAGCTGCTAAGTGGCAGTGTCGAATATCCTAATCAGGCGAGATGGCCTGGAAGTAGTGTACGGTCAATTTGGAACTGTCCGAAATTCACAGGGTAAATTTACAGTGCGCCCAAAGGCCTTCAAATTCACCACTGTGAATTACCGTAAATTAACATGTCTGTAAATTAACGCTATTTTACAGGTGAATCAGGTCAAATGTACTGTGAATTACAGTGAATTAGGTGAGTTATTCAACTTTCCACTCGTCCCAAGCAGAAGGGTCAGGGACGGACGGAGACAAGGTTTTTGCGGCCTTCTTTGTTGGTGCAGAACCCGACTGGTGCACACAAATCAATACTGCTGGATGCCGCAAGCACGAACAAATCTTTCTTCACTGTCCTAAACTCTGAAAGAGCAGCTGGACCATCCAACCAATCTGCGTCATTGTCAAACTCTGCTGAGTCCGAGTCCGAGTCCAAGTCCGAGTCCAAGTCCACTGTCCTTGCTTCAGGTGGAGGAGGCATTCGACCAGCAGGAGGCAAATCTTCAGCGGACCGCTTGCCAAGGATAGTGGATTCCATATCATGCCACTTGACGAGAGGTTTGTATGGTGTTTTTAGTTTCTGTGTAGTCAGTATGAGACTGAGAACTTAACATGCGAAAAAATGTTACTCACATTAGAATCAAAGGAATGGTTTCGGGGAGATTTTGAAGATAAAGAGATAGTAACTGTAGCTTATTTCTCGTTTCACAATTCATGGTTGCGAATGTTATGCCCTAGCCCTAGTGCAGATACTTTGCGAGATTCACAGATTCACCACCACGGAGACGCCCATCGGATTGGCAAATTCCAAATTCACCCAAATTTACACCCCCAAAATGCCCTTCGAGATTCACATGCTGATTAACACTAATTTACAGGTGTAAATTTACGCCTGTAAATTTACACCCCTCTATTTGACCGTACACTACCTGGAAGAGTCAAGCTTCAAGGTTCAGTACAGGAGAAACCATCGCCCGTGGCTCAGCACTCAGGTAAGAATGGTGGAAACATGAGCTGATATATATATCCAGCTTATACCCGTGACTTAGGATGGTGCAGGGGAGCTCAAACGGCGCCCTTGCCATTGCCTTCTACGTCCCGAAACTAACACGCCTACCAAAGGTAGCACATTCTTACACTCCTTTGCACTGGTTCTTATCAAAGTCTCAATCTAACACACGGGTCAAAATTGCGGCCTAAGGAAAGTTGCCGTGTTTGAGTGAGTGGCACTGTACAGCGGGGGCAGAAGAACATCAGGGAAAGCCTTCCCCCCGAAATCGAGGTAATTTCCAGTAAATCCCTGGTTTTCCTTTGATTTTCAGCGAAATCATGTTTTACTGTTTTATTTAAGTCCGGTCATAGTTTCAACGAATTAGTTCGAATTCACTCGTCGGTCATTGTCAAAATACACGAAAATCAACATTATATTGGATCAGAATGGCCTGTCAGTATGTACGAACAACTATCAAAATGTACAAAGTGAGATCAGTAATACATGGGTATCCGCGGGTGCACATGGCACAACAACCTTAGTTCAATCCTCGGACATTGCACTGAGATCGAGGTAGTCGAAGTTGCTCAGCGCACCAGATGGCAGCAACACATTGTCCGACACACTAACATAGTATGTTAATGGCAGGCATTCAATCAGAGGATGATGAAACGCACCAGACAGCCTTGTAAAGCCGTGCCATCAGCGCATGATACTTCTTTTTACCGCCTTCAAAGATCCGAGTGAGGGTTGCTTCATGGGCTTTGTAAATGCTAATGTAGACAGTAGCATTGAATGATTTGACTTGAGAGCTTGACGGTGGATTGCCGCTCCTCCAGTCCATCAGTATGGCATAGATCTGCAACAACCGTCACATTTAGTAAGTATTCATCTAGAAAATACAAATAAAAAACATACAACAGTTGCAATCAAGGCAACCATAGCTATGGGGAGCTCCAGCTCATCATTGCCATCTAAGACCGACACAAAATCTTCATGTGATTGAACTCCGATCGAGTTCTCGCCGTCGAACAATGACTGATGTAGCGTATCGATCATGGCCTCGTCGCAGAAAGGTTGATCACCAAGGACTTTACCCTGGGCAGTGACATCAATATCGACAATGAAACATGACACTAACCACTCACATTTTGGTTAGTCGGAAAAATATACTTGTGACTTTTCAGGAGCTCTTCGACCTCATTGGAACAACCTCTCCGAAGTGCGAATCGAGACACAACGATTTGATGAGCGAGCTTTTTGATACCAGTGCGGAAAGCACTAAGCCGTCCCTCAGGCTTCAAGCAAGAGCATCAGCGTCGAGTTCATACCAAAAACAAACACGAACAATACTAGCAAGAGCAACTGCAAAGTCAGTGTCATGTTTAAGCCTCTTCAATATAGCCCTTTCTTTATGCTTGTAGGCAGCATTACTGACTGCTTGCATAGCCTTGGTTCATTTCTCGGTGATAGTAGGGAATGCATTCTCGAAGATAGCAGATTTCTTGAGTTCAAAGACAGCCGTCTTCAAAACCATCTGTACGCGTGTGTTCTGAGCCTTGAGGTTGATGGAGCTGTCTGCTTCGTAAACTAGATTAGTGAACTCAGGCCATTTGAAAGGCGCATAAGTGTTGGATGTGTCACGTGGTTCCAGTCCGGGGGTTGTGACAGCGATGGAATCATCTAAGTCATGTGACGGCTGTGCAAACTGTGGTCTCTACAAAGCAAAAATCAGAAATAATCGTGAATCGGGCCAGTGAAAGGGATTGTTAGGTCACCTCAATCTGTTGTCGTCCTTCGAGCTTGCTCCTTTTCTTCTTCTCGTCAGGCTCGCATTTGACCTTGACTGAGTCAGCTGTGACCGTGACGAGTTGGCCCACCGGATCATCATCATCCCATGTTGATGCAGCGGCTGAACTATCACTGTAACGTGAAGCAAGGCGGGGTGGAACAAAACGCGGAATCTGACATTGTACCAATTTGTAAGTGACTATCAGCTAGTAAATTTGAAATCTCATGCACCTCTTTCATTAGTACCTCATGAAGATTCTCCGGGGTTTTAGACAGTAAGTCTGAGATATCACTGTCGTCTTCAACTTCCACATTGACATCTGACTTATTGGATTCAGAGTCGCTGATACCATATTCACTCGCAGAGTCGTCGGTGTCAACTGACACACCATTGTGACTCGTGAGAGTGGAAGCTACACCTATTTTAAGTTGAGTATCACTTCGACTCGGTTTTAAAGAGGCCACACATACTGCTTCTCTCATGACCACCACCTTCAACTGCTTTCTGTGTCTTTTCGACTGCTTTCAGTGTCTTCCTTACTGACTTTGTTGCAGGCGCAGACAGAAGCTCAGTCACCGTTGGTGCACGCTTGCGATTATTGCTGGTTGTATCATTCCAGACTGACATAGGTATATAGCATAATTTTTTTTGCACAATATGGGTTTAGGCGCTCACCTTTGCGCTCCAGTGCTTTTTTCTTTGAAGACCGTTGCAGCTCTTTGCGAGAATGTGAGTTTTTTTGGGTCTGATTATGACAGCCTCTGTACTCACTGCTATCTGCGATGTCATCAGCTATGTCTGGGGTTATGACCTCAGCGCCGGAAGACACTTGTCTCGCCGCTACTTTCTCTTTCTTTTTAGCATTCCGCTTCTGAGCAGCTATCTCAGATGGATGGGGAGGCATTTTAAAAGGTGAATGAGTGTTTTCTCTTTTCAAAGAGTGTACTGCTACGAAATTGAATGATACAGGACGCTGAGGGTAAAAAGAATGTAGTGGTCAAGTTGGTGGGCAGTGTTAAAGAAAAAAGTTCATAGTCCGCTGAACTTTGCATGGGCAGGGTTGCAGGGTTGCGCTGGGGCAGGGTTGACAAAGTTCGTAGTCTGCTGAACTTTGCTTGAAGCTTTGTTTGTGGCTGTAGGTTGTCTTTGTTACGGCCCTTGTTTTTTTACCACCAGAATGATCTCAGTGGCCTTTCTCGTGTCAGTGGAACAGAACACAACCAAATCTGCCGCTTTTTGCTCGGTATCATTGATATCCGATTGCCTGGAAATCTTGACAGTGGTCGCCTTATTCGTGCTGTTCGTGCCATCCTCGACTTCCTTTACCTCGCTCAGTACCCTTGCCACACCAATCAAACTCTCGCGCTTCTCACTGAAGCCCTGACTCGCTTTCATGACAACAAAAGCATCTTTGTCGATCTCGGCATTCGAGCGAATTTCAACCTTCCAAAACTCCATTTCTTCCGTCATTATGTGCATATGATCAAACTATATGGCACGACTGACAACTACAACACCGAGTACACCGAACGCTTACATATTGATCTCGCAAAGGATGCTTACAGAGCTACTAACCATAAAGACGAATATACGCAAATGACACTCTGGCTTGAAAGACGCGAGAAGATGTTATGGCACAATAATTTCGTCCAATGGCGCCTTGCTGGTGATCCTCCTCCACAAGACAGGTTACCGCCCGACATGGACTATCGTCGCTCGATCAAGATGACGAAACACCCAACTATTAGACATGTTCCATTGGATAGTGTAGTTCGCGACTATGGCGCCACTTTTTTCACTGAAGCATTAGCTTGTTATGTCGTTCGCACAAATCAACCTGGCCTTTCTCCAGCGCAACTTGAACAAGAAGCTTCCCATGTCATCCTTCCCTTCCAGACTGTTGCCGCATTCCATAGGGTCAAGTTCCACGCAATCAATGCTCACGGACATCGTGATTCAACCGTTACCATGGATTCAGTGCACTGTCAGCCACCACGAAAGGACAAAAGAAGGCAGATAGTTCCTGCGCGCTTCGACACGGTTTTAGTTAACAAAGATGGTGGTGGGACGACAGGTGTTGATGGTGCATGTTTTTTGTACTAATCCCTTGTAACATCATGCTAATATTTGATCATCAATATCAGGGTATCGTGTTGCACAAGTGCGCATCATCTTCATGCTGACAAGCCAGGCTACAGCTGCCTTATTTCGCACACCTGGAATTTTGCCTACCCACTTTGCATATGTGGAATGGTTCACGCCATTCGGGCAGCCTGAAGCAAACCATGGTTTGTATAAAATTTCCCGCCTCATTCGTAATGGAGAGCGTCTGGCAAGCATCATTGACATTTCTGATATTCGCAGGAGTGTACATCTTATTCCAAAATTCGGCCCTGTAGCACCTCGTGAATGGACCAGTAGTACCGTTCTGGAGCTTTGTTCTACCTTCTTCGTAAACTCGTTCAGCGACAGGCATGCTTATTTAACTATTATCTGACTAGTACTAGAATCGACTACATTCATCTGAAATACAATGATTTCTGTGAAAATACTACATTTCCTGGAATTCAACCGTTTTAAGCTCGAGTTTGAATATTTCGGTGAATTTCCTGGCAGAGGCTTTCCCTGATGAACTACACATCCATCACCTGTTCCCCTCGATTCCTGTCCGCCACAGGTTACTACAGTAACGTACATTCATGTACTGGAAAGGTACGAGTGGACTCAATTAGATGATCAAGTCAGTGGCGATGGTGACCTCGTGAACGTCTTCGGTCAGCAGCTCGACACCACCATCCTACCGTCGCCTTTTTATTCGCGGTTTTATGAGATGTGGAGGACAACGGACTATGTCGACGATGACAATGAATTGGACAAGGAGCGTAGTATGAAGAAGGTAGGGGGTCCTGCATGAGTTTCATTTCAAGTTCTCTTCTCTCTGATGTACCTGTCCTGACGTTCTATGAGTTTCATCCTATCAGCTAATAGTGTCGCATCCGAAAGCGGACTACGAACCCATGCCATTTCTTGATGGAAAAGAACGCATCCCTAGATCTTTCAGGTGCAAGAAATATTTTTTGCATCGTCTAAAGATCTGACCGCTACAACAACTGTTTGTAGTCGTAAAACGTTGAACGGCGCATATGTCCACTGATCAGTCGGGGCAAAATCGGCGACCATCCATGGCTTCCTCAGGCTGTTCATCAATGGTTTAAATGCTTCAGCCACAAGATTGATGGTGCTCGTACAAGCTCTGCTTGTCATTTAACGTTCAACGTTCAATGATGACGATCAACCTTTCTGTACGACGATTGGATACTGAATGGGCACATGATGATGGAGTCCGGCGACCATTCCCTATAGGAATGACACCAGATTCTTATGACCGTGATCGTGACATCAACACACCCCCGAAAAATTGTTATTCGGCGCGCCGACCTAAACTTCGAGAAGAAGGCACTGCGCGTTCTATGATAGAATGATGCAACCAACATGTGACAACAAGCAACGTTGATCATGTCGTAAACGTATGTTGGAGGCTCTGTGAGATACGGGAATCGAAACTACCGGAATGCCTTAGAATGGGCTGTATCACTGGTTTGGGGCCGCTGATATCGATACGACCTTCACAAGTCAGAACAAACTTTCAGAAAGCACAGCAACAGCAACTGCTGGCCATGGGGCAGGTTCTGGATTAATCGCGATGATGTAAAACGGAGTGGCTAGCATTCGACCAACACACAGACGCATCATGATAGCGAAGTATCATCGACAATAATGAGCTCATGTGGGTCTGATAAATAACCACATCCTTGTGTAGAGAAGACTTCTTTTCACGCAATGGACTCGAAGAACGCCGGAAGAATGGATGCGTCAGTCAGCAGACCCTTGTAAATGAGAAATGCGAAGCAAGGTGCTGAGAAACCCAGTGCCCTGCATGAAACTCGTGTGGAGATCAGGCTGGACGAAGTGGGCTATGCTCCGAAAGCACTGCTAAATGTGTGAACGAGAAGATCCGGTAGGTCTGAGGTCAGGGATCGATGGTTGGTGATGAATGAATGATGGCATGCGGCCGGGTACGCTTAATTCAAGTTGTTGGGGTGGCCGTGGAGAACGTGTGATCACTGATGCGTATCATCGAAGATGCCGGACTAGCGGGACCAACGGAAGGGTCTCCAAGGACCGTTTTAGAGGTCTGTAGTGGACCTTCGGAAGCATTTCGGCGGCATTGCACAGCGCCTTTGGTAAAGTTATAACCACACTCAACGAACGTTTTGTTCACTCATCCAACACAGTCACAGTTCCGACAACATCCACAGTATAATGTCCACCCATCCTTCTCCAGACCCATTTCAACGTAGGTTTTTATCTTTTGTTCTTACCTTTAAAAACCTGACGTTCGTTGGTAGCCATGACTATGTCGCCATCTTCTAGTGTGCAACACTCGCCCCCTGTTGATCTCAGACGTATGGCGTCCAACTCGACGCTGCTTACTCCCCAGAAAGATTCAATTAGGGAACATAGACTCTCAACTCATACTTCTCAGCACTTGAATACAACAAGGATGGGCTCTCGCTCACCTTCTTCAATTCCTTCATCGCCGACATCTGCGTAAGCCACTCCACTTTCATCAAATACTCACCTATATTTATCGCAACTACAGTCATTCATCGTCATCCGCAATTTTTGAGCGTGATATTGAGCCCATGCACCCTCCTTCCCCCCCTTCTCACCCTAATCCCCATCGCATTGCGCGTGCAAAAGGCACTGAACAGCTCGAGCACAGTGTACCTTCTGTGCTCGATAGTGCTGCTTCAATTCTCGCAGCCTCCTCTCCCATGGAGGAAGATCACATTTCTGTCCTCAGTCCTTCGCGAGATCGTGATCGCCTCACTACCAGCGGTTTCGCTAGCCCAATCGGTAGCTTGAGAAGCAGAAGCCCAAGTCCATCAGGAAGGACGAGCTTGTTGCTGAGCATCCCATCTCAGCAGGGGCCCATTACTCCCCTTAATATTACGCCGGGTGTGGGAGCGGGCAGTCCGCAGCGGTTGAGCATCCAGACGAGCCCACTCGCTTTCCCCTCAAAACAGGGTACAAGTGGCAAGGCGTCTGCCGCACCTTCTATCAGCACGCCTGCATCTGTATATTACTCCACGCTCTCATCAGTTGAACCATCACCCACGACCACAACTGCGGAGCATCCTTCCTCTGCACTCCCCCCTATCGCCATATCAACACTCTCGCCTTCATCAACGTACACATCTTCACCTTACATACGTCCCATCACCATCTCCCACCCTCCGTCTCCAACGCACGGACCCACTAAGCGTCTCTCGTTCATGAGTTACGCCGATCTGCTCGCATCAACACCGGCATCAATGGTTCCGTTGTCATCATTCACTACCTGCGCAACTCCTGAACCGCCACCTCATATTCCTGGTGTGGAAGGTTACGCCCTCAACCAACATGATGCTGCGAGTCTTAGTGGTCGTGAGCGTGACAGCATCGCCATGCTCGATGATATCGGTGGTGAATGGCAGCGCGAGGGTCTTGGACGAGGCCTCGAAGAGAGATTAGAGGCCTTGATGATCGTCCCTAGTAAAGCATAAATCTAAATCTCGAGGCGCGGAAGTCAAACAGTCCCGCGTTTTTGACTCGAGCCCGACATGAAACTAATGATATCTTACGATTTCACGCTGTACTAATCTGTCGTTCGTTCTATGCATATCTTTCGCTATTCCTATTCTTATTCCCGCCCTCGATACCGGCTACCTACTACTTGTTTTCCACGACATCAAGTCAACAAAAATATCTATGTATGATCGTCTTATTTTGTTACTTATGATATGATCGATTTTTTCGCGTTTAGGTACTAGGGGATACTTTACTCTTGTGAAGATTTCCCTTGAAGTTGATGTTTAGTTTCGGGTATTCGTATACTAATACGATACAATAGTTGAGATAGTTGTTGTCAATTTTAGTGTGGTTTAGATGGCATGCCTTTGATCAAGCCAAGCAAGCATAATATTATGCACAAGGACACGCCTTTGGTCGTCTCGTCTTGAGAGAATATGTGGTGGGAAAAGGAAGACAATGGTTGGTCGCTGCCATGAGAGTGTTCTCCATTGAATGCGATCCATCAAAGCCACGAACTGGGAGTCATCGATGCTGCGGCCGCTGCGGATTGGCTGGAGATGCGAATATTTGGTCATGACTTCACTCATGGGTGTCGGCCGCCAGAGTGCTGTTTCTAGATCTCATGCTCCGAGGACTCCCGCAGAAAATCTCCCTCAGCAACACAGCAATCGAGCAAGCGCAGCGTCCGCACCGCATGACGTCGTGGATTGGCAATAGCCACCGAGCCCACTTTACAGCTATTTTCATATCGAGACAAGAATCTCGAAAATACACTGCTTTCGTTTATTATTGGAGCGAGGCGATCCATTGTGCTAGTAGCTACTAAATTTTGTAAGTCGTACGTTGATTGTGGGGCTGAGCAGGGCGGTGTAAATGTAGTGACGAGACCAGGGAAGTAGATCCCCATTGCCCAACTCAGCAGTCTATCCAAGTAAGCAAGTGGATAGTCAACGCAAGCCTAAGGTTTGAACTTACCAGTCGAACAATAATCGCGGTTTGGTGGTTTACTTGCACTCCGACTCGGGACACGCGCACGTCCATCCCGAGCGAATGTCCAATTCCGTAAGGGAAAAAGGCTGCGCAGATTCCAAAGCGCAGAATGCTGCCATTTGAGCCTTTGAAGAGTCTGAGGTCGAGGAGACCTTCCACAAGAATCTGATCACAGAGCAGCTGGATGATGTCTCAGTGGACAACAAGTTTGAGAGTGTTCACCGATTTCTATCCATGAGTGTTACATGACGGCGCAAAAGATGTACATAAAGCTCACATGCTGCATTTCCAACACAACAGAGTATGTTCGCTGGCCTCTGTCAGAAAAGTTGCCATCGTTGCCAACAGGCATCGTGCGCGTAACTTGAAAAGTTTAGACCTGCCTGGAATTTAGTCGCTGCAACAGTGTCCGCAGAGTTTGTATAATGCATGTGAAGGTTGAGTGACCTGCAGAGACCCGAAGATAAGCTATTATGTTACCCGCTCTACCTGTCAAATTTGAGTTCTCAAGGAGCGTCAGTCGAACGCTGAGCGCTCATAGCGGCAGGCAATGACGTTCACAACACCCCAGTTGATCTGGATGATTTTGATTCCCTATCATATCTCGTTGGGATAGAATTATTGTTGTCTTGATTAAATCATGGAACAATCGATTGGGGAGGGTAAAAGTACAATAGCAGAAGATCACAAAATATGTTCCGCATCAGTCCTGAGCGATTCTGAACTCCATTAGCATTGTCTCTACAAGATCATAGGTCTGGGTGAGCACTAGACCTGCACTGGCCCTGCAAATTATAACAAATCAAACATCGTCAATGTATTCAGGCATGGAAAGAACTTGCCCAATGGCCTTGTATTCCTTCAAGGTTCGCTCCTTGCCATTGAAAAGAAACCACATGATCATGTCCATTTTGTGTGTTAGGTGACTACCGAAGTTCAGTAACGTAGGTTCGGGCGCCTTATGATCCTGAATGTATGATCAGACTTTAACCAGCAAGCTGAACTCTAAACTTACCTTGCTGGACTCGTTAGCCTCTACATCAGGCTCTTCGAATGCGCGCGAGAGTACGCACTCATCTATCACACGATATTAATTCTGGAGTAAACCTCACTTCAAAATGCAGCGGACTCACGAATCAACACTCGGCTGTTTGGTCCCATTGCTTTGCGAACATTACGGAGAATCACCCTTGACTCCTCGTCCGGCCAGTTATGAATGATGCTCCTTAACTTCATCAATTATTGAGCAGTCTATGCTGAATGGGAACAAACTTAGCACGTACGTAGTAAACATCCTTTCCGACGACAGGTAACTCCTCCAGGAAATTCAGTGGCACGAACTCTATACGCCCATCGAGCAGCACCTCAGGAGCGTTCTTCTCCCATGTCTGATCAAATATAAATTTAACTTGTCTGCTGTGGATGTCCGGACTCACATTTATTGCCAGCTTTAGAGTTTCTGGGAGCTCCTGATTGGTTATTCTGAGACGAGGGAACATTTTCGCCAGAGGAATGGACATTGCTCCGATTCCAGATCCAACATCCACCACAGAGGATACATTGTCCCAAGGGTAATCTTATGGCCCGCTTCAGTCATGCCGACGGTTAAAAAACGGTGGTCACTCACAATGCAGCACCGTAGAAAAGCTCAGGATCTCAGAATAGCCCATCATGCTTTTTTGAAACACCTGTGTATGAGATTCTATGAGCCTCCAATCAGTTATGAGCGGATAGATCTGCACGTACATCGCGTGCCTCATCCTGTACAATATGGTAAGGTAAGGCATGAAAGGCCAGTACGATGACTCAAACTCACGTCCATCACCCAGAAGCTGTCCTTTTTACTTTCATTTCTGAGAGTAAATATCCGAGGGGCTTTGTCGACCTTGTCCGACCTTGCAAATTCTTGGTCGACCATAGTCTCATAGAGAACCGCACCATATTGTGGGAGTTCTCGCTGAATTTTTATATAACACCCGACGTTGTTTGTTGCCTTGAGCATGAGGGAGAGTCGTGTGTTTGCGAATATGTCTTGCTTAACTGCGGAACACGAAAGGCCTCAGAGAGAATTGTCAACGGACAGTATGATGCAAATTACCTTCCTTGAAGCAACCCCTGAGGGTCAAAACGCGCAACACACGTGCGATCTTGGTCTTATCTAGGTTGACTGCGTCAGCCAACACATCCAGGCTAAGACCTTCCGGGTGTTTGTCCAAGACGTCTGCAATACGTGATTGTATAACGACGTCTATGCATGCCGAATTGTGATTATTAACAAGCTAGGATGGTCAGTAAAAGGCATACAGGGCGATCTATAAATCGGCACGTACATTATATACCGTGTTTTGGGGGGGAGCCAGTATTGTGTTCAATTGCTCGCATGCACCTTCGAGCAGCCTGATTGCCTTTCTGAGGGCAAGTGTATCTGTCGCAAAGTCGAGGGGGTGGAAGGTGCCTGCATCGACACTAGGGACTCCATGTTCAGTGTTCTTGTATTCTGCCATTGCTTTGCGTGCGGAGGAGTTGATGATGTCCAAGAGGGCTTCAACCTTGAGTTCATTTGGCTCCGTCATATTTGGGAGTGTGCGTGATTCCTTATTAGCCGTTCAGGCCTCAGGTTTTATATTCCTCGGCCATATATCATCTAGCTGTTTTGCCACGGCGAAGACATTCAACAATGGACATGTGGAAGCGAAGCTAAACCTAGTCTGAGATCTGACCACCCACAAACCCTGACTCGCTTCCAACTCGGATGATACTGGTTGCTACTCGTGTAACGGTATCAGACGCTAAGAGCCGGCACATCTAACCCTGAATGTCATCCGAGCAAGTAGATAAGCCGAAGGTTAACGTTCAGGTACTATCGGCTACCACAACTTCGGACTTCGGACAGTCACATCCGCCGAAGACAAGCTCCGCTCGGCATCCATGGCCAGCACAGGCAGCGTTTCCAAACACTGGTTGGTTGTCGTAACCGATAGTTGAGGTTAGTTAGTGATACGGTAGCGAGCAGTTCGCCCGTCTTTCCATCCTAGATATCCTCCTGTCCCAATTTGTGATCGGGCGCCGTGCACATACTTGTGCCCGGTCTTGAAAGCTTACTCTTGCTGCCCCGTCCCAGGATCCGCTCAGCACTCGCTTACCATCGCCACACTCAAACATGATTATATGACAGTTCCTAGCGTGGCCTAGACGTCAGATGGAAAGAAACTTTTTCCCGCGGGATATATTGGCCCGATCAGAATATACGAGACAACCACTTGAGAGCAGATCGTCATTCTGGAGGGTCACGCAGACCGAGTCGAAGCCATCACCTTGCTTCAGAACGACCGTCTCCTTGTGAGTGCATCATGGGATGGAATGGTACGTCGATGGAATCTGGACACCAACCTCCCAGTCGGTTCACCCCTCCAGCATGAAGTTCATTGAAACTATGCAGCCCTTTCCGCTGATGGAAAAGTGCTGGTCACTGGTTGCCGGGACAAAAACGCATATGTATGGGACATTCACGCCATCCTCATAGACGCTAGCCTTGAGGACCTACTATTCATTCCTCATGTGAGTCCAGGTCCCTCGTGCTTCTCGAACCACACTAATCTTTCACTTGCAGGTCCCAACTCAAAAGTCGTTAAAGGACGTACGTGCCACATTTCTTTACCCTGTTCAACCATTTTAAGATCGAATTCTAGACTGATGCTACCAGACGTCCACCCGTCGAATACCACCAGGTTTTTTCGACGACACCCAAGTGAGTCCTCTACCTTTTTGACCAGCTCTTTTTCTGATCTCTATCAGTCCTCCACAGCACGTGGTATCCATATCCTCTTTTCTGCGCACAATTCTCGCATTCATAACCCATCCTCCTTCTGCCATTCCACGTGCCATTCTCGAACACCTTTCGTCGTTCTTCCACCACTCTCATTCCGATGTCGATGGAGCAACTGAACTTCAGCAACACCCAAGGCGCTCCATCTTTTCTCGTGGACTTCGTATCGTCGAAGTTGCTGCAGTACAGGACAGAAAGGTATTTCTTTCTCCTCGTCCATTTCCTATTGCCCTGGTTCAACTATTTCTGTCTAGGCATTGTATGTTGCTCCACGGCCGCGGCCGCAGCAGCAAAGGCAGTTGCATGCCCAAGGCTCGTCGTCGCAATCTCAGCCTACTACCACACCTGCTCAAGGTACCAGGACTGCCGCACCAGGTGCAGCAACTGCGCAGTCACCGCCCATCCCATTATGGGCTCGTTTTGTTTTGTCTATCTGTTGCGCATCTCCCCGCACGTCAATGGTCATTGATACAGGAGCAGCACATGTACAATCATCTTACTCTTCACGTCTTCCGCTCTTCCAACAATCTTGTTTCCTTATCGGGACATTAGTCTAATCATGCTAACAGTCGCGACAAAAATGTCATACCTGTGTCCAAGCTTAGAGTCCTGACGTGCGACAGGTATGCATAGCAGCAGCACCTGAATACAAAATGAAGGATGGCGCTGCCACCTTTTGGGTGACCCTGTCGTTGCAAAACCATTTCCTCGGACTTGTTCTTCGCAACGATGTTTCATGTTTGAAAGGCATGAGTATCTTGTTCCAACATTTTTGTCAGTGGTAGAGAGCTAGCCACGGTTCCATTGAAGAGTCGTTTCGTTCTCTTTTTTTTGCCGTGCAACTCCCACACACATCAACGTCATAAACATAGACACAGAACTAGTTTCTGATTCTTCTGTACTCTTATCTCTTTCTTCATATCATTTCGCAACTACGTATATTAACATTGTTTCCTTGTCGTAAGACTCGAGTAATGCATCGAACTCGACACCAACCGTTGCGAGAAAAGCATTGTAAGATCAATTAGAAGGATGAAAGCCTGGAACTTAGCACAGATGATGGTTTGTTTTCGTACACAATCCATTCTCCGTCTAGATCTTCGTTTCGCAACTCAATCTCGTCACCTACTAGGAGAAATTAGAATATTCAACGCGATGAAGATCTTTCCGACCGAGACCCAGGGAAATTGGATAATGAACACCTGGCCACAGACCAGTTTACTACGCTCGGCGTATCGTCTGGAGAGTCAGGCAGCTCGAGGAGAGAACGATTCTACGAACGAACGAACAATTATGAATGTTCACCGAGTACGCCTTGTCCCCGAGAACTGAATCAATTTATCTTCCATAATGATCAGCAGATCGCGGAGCGAGACTGTCTTGTCGTCATATGTGAGATATATCTCCAGGTCTTTATCATACCACCGTGGACGGTCTGTTTCGATGACTGAGAATGTGGTGTAATGCAATTGTAGCCTGCGATGCGCAACGGGAACAGCGGCATTTTGCCACAAATTTTTGGTGGGTAGGATGCCAAAGACGCCAGACGGTGGATAGGCAATGTTTTCTTGCAACGTGGTGACACGGGTCCCGGTCAATCTCCAGTTGGGGGGCTTGTCAGCAATGTCTCCAGTTCATCGTCTGGTGATTGAGTAGTGTCAGGGTGTTTAAGTAGCCCGTATATCATCGAAGACTCAGACAAATGAACTCTCGAAGGCCGTGTGGCAGCATGACTTCGCTTTGCTGTTGAACGTTGAGAATCCGTAGATGCTTCTGATGCGGCACAGGTTCTTACTGGAAAACGCCATGACTTGGAAAGATTTGGCTCAAATTTGGACACCAAGGTGGCGCACATGTGCACTTGAGCTATTGATAAACCAATGTGTACGGTGCACTAGTTCACGCATTACTATGTGCTTTTGCTGAAAACTCGTTCAATAACAGTGCTACGGCATGGTCAACGTGGTAAGGGTACCCAAAGCGCTAAGATTGGATACTACTATCTCTTGGTAGTGACAGAAGAACAGACTCAGTTAGTCGTTTGGAAATGCTTATGAACGTCTCACTGCCTAGATGAACCACGATATGAACATGATAACAACCACACACCCACCAATATTCGTCGTAAGCTTTAGCACGTTGTACAGAAGTTCGATTGTGAAGCGGATCATCCTGGTGAAGGGCACATTAATCAATTGCCCCCAGCAGCCACATAAGCATTGCATATGGGAAACTGTGAACGATGGCAAGGGTTTTCACTCCAAAAAACGTGCCTAAGCAGATTGGTTAGCGTGGCAGAAATGGACGCAAGGGCAACAACTTGCCGCTTTGTTGGCTGATTCAAAACCGTATATCTGATTCTGACGCGCCAGAAGGATCGATCGAGGCGGTCAAGGAGCTGGTGATGATGATAATCGAGAGGCAGGAAGCAATGATTCCAATCGACCGTGACTGGCCAATGTTCATGTTCGACACTGAGGAAGCTGACGTTTACGGCTAACATGACGGTTGACTGGGAATGGGAGTCGAATTGTGTTCAAGGGATAACTAATAATATGCTATGAAACGCATATAAAGTGAACGCGATAAAGAGTCGAATGGCTGTGAAACAGGATATCAGAGAAAAGGGAGAGGCAGGTGAGTGCAAAGAATGTAGATCCAGGAGTGATCGATGGCTACTAGAACACCGGCCAGTGCCCTTGCGGAATCTCTAGCACCGAATCCTCAAGCATCGACATCTTCCTGAAGTCTTTCGCCACTCTCGGTGCGAAGAATGTAGAAGCATAAGTTTGAAAAATGGTGATAGAATGGTGAACCCAGAATCGCTACCAAATGACAAGTGGCAAGGAAAGCGAATGTTATGCTCAGATAAATTTGAACAGTTTCGGAGTGAGATGCGAATCCCGTGAGCACGATGGCTGATGAGGAACTGTGTAAGTCGCGATCACGTATTACGAGGTGAACTGCGCACATATGAGCAGAAGTACCACTGATATGGTAAAGATGATGATTGGCACTGCCAAACCCAGGAGGTGCCAGAATATTCTCCAGCGCCTCTCGATTATGATCTGTGGTGAGAGGTCAACTCTGACCTGCCACCCCGACAACGAACGACACGTACTTTTGCAGCACTACGTTGTTGAAAAATGATTCCGGAGGCAGATACCTTTAACTGGAACAATAGCCCAAACAACGAGAAGATAAGCGACTCCGCCAAACAGGCGTAAGATGAATTAGATATATAGTTGACATCTTTCGCAAGTGGCGGATTTGAGGAGATAAAGACCGCCGCAGTGGCAAGCACGAGTCCTTGCTGCGCAAGAACACATCAATACGATCAATTTGAATGAATGACTCCCATCATCGACTTACCACTGTGCTCACTTGATTGAGCTGGGTCAGATATCGACTATGCAGCTCTTCCCAGGAGTTTCCTTCTTTCAAGAGGTCGTGTAACCAGTGCAGATCGCTGCGCCAGGTGAATATGAAGCAGCATATTTGGAAGATATGCCGAGAAATAAAGGGTTTTGGAGCATTCCATTTGGGTGGAAATTCGTCGAAAAAATCATCTGGGGGAGTGTTCAGTTGTGATAACTGCGAGTACCCACTGGCAACTCGATTACTCTGATTTGGGCTGGGCATAAGTAGCGGTAAGGTGGCAGACGACATACCTGAGAGGAACACTTATGAGGTTATATAGGCAATGAAAAGGGTTTATGCATGCCTGTAAGCACAGGGAAGTATGTAATTGATACGTACCGGGGTTTAAGCAAGGCTATGTAGCACTGGACGTTACATAAAGAGTTAAAGTGGTGTCAATTGGGGGGTTAGCAGAAGCGCCAGCGCCATTTTCCTGGACAGAACTGAACTCGCGCGCTCAGCAGAACCTAGAATGTGATATTATAATGGACATACAATGAGTATAGGGGATGGAAGAAATATACACTGGAAAGGCACATATGCTGATGGCATGTACATTCCAAGGTGGTGATAAGATTCTCAAGGAAAGAAAATACGCGCGTACTGAGTGACATCAGCAAAAGTGGCGCAAGCTGACAAGGCCTCGGCAAATGCCGTAAGCCTTGCGTAGAGTTCCAAACATGGCTACAGGCCTTTACAGGCGTCGTGCCAGGCATTGTAAGGCTCCCAGATGCTCACAAAGTAATGTTATAACCACGTCACTCGCACATGTATGTATGCAAGAATTATCAACACAATAGTAATGTAATATGATATTTCTTCCCTCACACGGCTGAAAGACAAGTCCTTCCAATGCATTCTAATACTCGGCATAGTCACCATAATCCTCTTCGGTATCTGCGGCACCCTCTCCGTCCTCAGCACCAAGAACGGCATCATCTAGTTCATCCTGCGAGCCTTCCTCTTCTGAGCTGTCATCTGATAACAACTGCTCCTCTAGGTTACCATAACCAAACTCACTGTCATCAGGAAATCAACTCGGAATTGATATGACCAGGTAGAGCTGACAAATAAAACCCATCATGATACATCCAGATTTAGAATTATCTTTGCACAACAAGTTGATGAAAGATCATATGACTATGCCAAAGACATGTCATTTTGTCGCACATCTTATAATTATGCAACAAGTTCATGAAAAAATATATAACTATGCCAAGGACACATCACTTTGAAGGGCACCTTATAGGTACACAACAAGCTTATGACCAAATATATGACTATGCCAAGAACATGTAATTTTGATGCACATCTTACAAGTATGCAACAAGTTTATGAAGGAATATATGACTATGCCAGAGAAATGTCATGCTGAGGTCCACCTCACAAGTATCCAACAAGTTTTTGAAAAGAATATATAACTCTGCCAAGGATATATCATTTTGAAGGGCACCTTACAAATATACAACAAGTTTATGAAGGAATATATGACTATGCCAAGAACATGTAATTATGATACACATCTTACAAGTGGCCAACAAGTTTGTGAAAAAATATATAACTCTGCCAAGGATACATCATTTTGAAGGGCACCTTACAAATATACAACAAGTTTATGAAGGAATATATGACTATGCTAGAGATATGTCATGCTGAGTTACATCTTACAATTATGCAACAAGTTTGTGAAGGAAGATATGATTATGCCAGGGATATGTCATTCTGAGGTACATCTCACAAATATGCAACAAGTTTATGAAATAAATATATAACTTTGCCAAGGATACATCATTTTGAAGGGCACCTTACAAATATGCAACAAGTTTATGAATGAATATATGACTATGCTAGAGGTATGTCATGCTGAGTTACATCTTACAATTATGCAACAAGTTTGTGAAGGAATATATGACTATGCCAGAGATATGTCATTCTGAAGTACATCTTACAAATATGTGACAAGTTTATGAATGAATATATGACTATGCCAGGGATACATCATTTTGAAGGGCACTCTACAAATATGCAACAAGTTTATGAATGAATATATGACTATGCCAGAGATATGTCATTCTGAGGTATATCTTACAATTATGCAACAAGTTTGTGAAGGAATATATGACTATGCCAGGGATACATCATTTTGAAGGGCACTCTACAAATATGCAACAAGTTTATGAATGAACGTATGACTATGCCAGATATCACATTCTGAGGTACACCTTACATGTATGCAACAAATTTATGAAGGAATATATAACCATGCTGGGTATATCATTTTGATTGCATCTTAGAAATATGTGACAAATATATGAATCAATATGTACTAGCTATGCTGAAACTCATGGTGAGCGCGTCACTAAGAGCAGGACTCCCGAAGATTTGGAAAAAAAATTCGAACACACTGGTGAGTTTCCCATCCTCGTCGTGCACAATCAGCCCGTCCAAGTCACTGATGTCCTCTGGGAGAAGCACCATGAGCTGCAGCATGCAATTAAATACCCAGGGCTTTAAAGTTTCACTTCGGACCAGCATGGTGGGGGCCATCAGAAGCAAGAACGTCCACTACAAACGGATTGTCATTATCAATGTGAAAATGGAGTTGAACGAGTAAATATCGAAATGGAAGAGACACTATGTAAATTTGCAGACTCATCGCCGCTGCGACTCATATCGTCAGACGAGTACTATACTTCGTCTTCGTTTGGTCGAGAGGCAGAAAATATCGGACATGGGAGTGAATACGAGGGAGCTAGAGCCACGTGCATGTCGGTCTGTATACCATAGCCTGATACGGAAGTGCATGTGCGTGGCGAGGATCGCGAGGGTAATGAATTAGAAACAGTACATAGGTATGCAGGATAAAAAACGCACTCTTGGGATATGGCTTGATGATATCTACACTGTGGGTCACGGATGATTAATGACTCGGTGATAGAATAATTTGAAGGTTCACGCACATAAAAGACTTTGAGCAGCAGCGTGCAAACATGGGATATGGCTTGATGATATCTACACTGTAGGTTACGGATGATTAATGACTCGGTGATAGAATAATTTGAAGGTTCACGCACATGAAAGACTTTGAGCAGCAGCGTGCAAACATCTACCTCCGAGAGAACTTCCGTGATGAGAACCATCGTTGACTCGCGGATAAGCACATAGCAATGTGCCTGAAAACTTGTATGTCCTGACTCACAACCGCATGCGTAGTAGAGCTTCACCACTGGACGGCGTACTAGATATGGCTGTTGTTCAACTACCAGCTCTGTGATATTGCATATGAGCGTGAAGGACGAGACCTAGAAAGCGACAGTTAGCGTGCGTCTGGCACATACTAGTTGTAGATTGCACCCGGCCTCGTCATTACCTGTCGAGACATACACATTCAACAAGATAGATAGCATTGGTTATCAAGAAATAGAATAGGAGTAGCATACATAACGTAGTTTGACTTACAATCAACTTGAGCGACATGGGAACGGCTACAAGGGGGGAAAGGGGGGTACAACTACAAGTAAGAGTATCACATGAGTGACGATATGTCAGAAGAGGTATATGAAGTCGACAGCCAATCATCGAACGAGCCCACGTCGTTTTCAGGCAGACGTGACGCACACGCCATTGAACTTCCGGAAGATACACCTACAGTGACGTTAGTGTCGAAAGAAAGAAGTACAGCTGCATGCCTACCGTCGTCGGTGTGCTCGAACTCAGACATACGGGCTATAGCTTCAGAAAGCATCTCCACCTCGACCTGCGCACGCTGCTTCTTCAGGCCCAGGATATGAATATCGGATTTGAGGACGACCAGACTCTTGCAATCCTTTGTTTTGAAGCCATCGTTATTGCACGAGGGCTTGAATTCTGCCAAGGATGCACTTATGTACGCACGATATGTGGTGTTATCGACCCATGTTTTCAACAAGCGAGGTAGGGAGAGAAATTGATCGTCAGGCTGCAAAGCGTCGCGTTAGAACCCCTCCCCCTCTTAGCATGAATAGCACTCACACCTGTAAGGTATTCGTGGAAATGAACAGCTTCTGGACGTGGAGAACCGAATGGTATTCGGCTTGCGTCAGAATCATCCAGACCATTGCTTTGCAACACAAGAAGCCATGCGTTGCATTTGTCTCGTACATCGCATTTGGGCATGACCTGTATAGGTCGGACATCGTCGAAATTGACCGGGATGGGCGTTGCGTATTGAAAAGGTCGGACATCGTCGAAATTGACCGGGCTGGGCAATACATATGTTATACACGTAACATCACCCACTGTGGGTGGCTTCTTTGGACATTCTGAGAACAAATATTGAGCGACATAAAAATTTGTAAGGTGTTGCTCACCTGGAGAACTTCTACGTTCCAACTCTTCGCACAAGTTAGCAATAGCAGTACTAAACAATGAGATTTCAGTTTGAGCCCGGTGCATCCGGTCCTCCAACCAACATCTCCCTTGCGAACAGGATATGATACAACAGTCATGTTCTCGCTCGAGCTGCATTGCCACCTCCCTGAGGCTCACGTCAAGGAGAGCTATGAGATCGTGGGAGTCAATCCATCCAAACAGCACGGAAGCTGTGACAAAGAGGGACTCTGGAAGCTGGAAGTAAAGTTAGAATACTACAATAATCATATGGCCAACGCTCACAGTGTCACGCCCCTGTTTCTGGAGCCAACGTATCATGGCTGTCTCAGTCTGTTCAGTCCCCAGAAAATGAGAGTAGGAAGACGTTTCGAATGTAAAAGGAACGGGGGAATTGGTGTTCACCATGTTGAAGTTAGAGAGTAGTAAGAGAGAGGCTAGAGGGATGTTCTCGCGAGCGTTAGATGCCTACAACCTATTCAGTCGTTTAAGAAGCGATAGTGATCAAACGATACGATGGCGATCAAACGGTACGATGGCGATCAAACGATCAAACTCTAAAAAACGGCAAAGGCACATAATCAGTACGTATCCTGAATGACTAATCGGGAAATACTTCGCAAATATTTGGAATCAGCAGCGCGGGCAATGACTTCACGATCACAAAAATGTTTGTCCGACTGAAAACAAAGTACATTTCAGAACGCTCATTGGAGCAGATGTTACATATACAACACGGATCTATATAGGACTCGTTTTCAACTGTGTGAGGTCGAAGGTCCCCTGGGCCGGCTGATGCGGAACACATCGGTCTCACTGCATATTGCATTCCCGTTAGCCACAGTAATGATAGAAATCATATCATGTCAACTTACGTGAGAGTGCACAAAGCTCTCATTTGAGTCCTGAACGTGGCAATGTCAGGGTCTTGATCTTGCTGGAGGAGCATCACAGCAGTCTCGCGGAGTTCACTGTGCACTTGGCTCACAGGCGGATAGTGTGGCATGGCCTCTGCGGTACCCCAAATGCTCAAGAGCTTTGTAAGAAACGATTGGTAGCACTAGTGTGACGATAAACGCAAGTGAAACATATATAATAGGGAGTACTTACACACGACCCCACCAAAGCCAAAAAATCTACTGGCAAGTGAGCAGCGTGTCTAAAAATTGCTGGCTCCAGATCGGCGAGAGTGAGACGAATACGATTTGTTGTGGTCGTCCTGTATGCGATATGATAAACCATCTCTTTTGCTGCTTGATGAACCAAGAAGACGTAAAACCCATTAATCTGTAGGATACAATCAGAGTATGATAATGAAAGAAAATTTGGAGAACTCACTCGGATTGGGAGCAAATGTGCATGCGGCCGCGTGAACATCTGCAGGAGGTTCAAGATGCTGTGCTTTAGAGTCAAGCCAAAGAAGTTGCCGAGCCCAAAGATGCGAGCGTCGTTCATAGCGTAGCTGATCACCCGACGGTTATCATAGAGAAACTGCGTGATCCACGGACTCGCCTATTTGAAATAAGACAACGAAATGAAAACAGGAGTTACACGTACGAGTGCCAATACTTCGTTGTGTGTCATCGGAAGCTTGCAGTCTTTGCTTAGCACTAGAAAAGATTCAGTCTATATAAAAAGGGATAAAAAGTAAGTCACCCACCCGTTTCCAAATCATGGGAAGCGATGTTTGCACGATCTAAGCACCCAGGCCAGAGACTGCGAATGAGCTCAAGTCTGCGTTCGCCATAATCGGCATTAGTGAGAAGGTGAGGATTGTCGGAGTGACCGCAGGATATAAAGATCCTCATAAAGATACGCAGGTATGCGAGGGACCTGCACCAGTTTGGACAGGCCGCCATGATTCTGTGGAGGCTGTGTTCAGCCTTAACCTTCTTGGCACGGACCTGACGCTCAACTCCTGGTGCTGAGGTCATGGCTGACGACTCGACCCAGGTAGTCTGGAGGACGGACTCTAATTCGTCGATTGCCTCTTCCTCCGGAAGGTGTTGGTACCCGAAAGGAAATTGCGCGAGATGGATGATGGTCAAAGGTAGGTCGACCTGGCCCACACCAACCTACAATATTATAGGATGAGGATAGGATACATTAGATGATTGCAGGCGGAGTCAGACGTACATAGTTATAGACGCCCTGCATCATCTCATCATTGCCTGTCTTACCTTTCAGCCACGGCAAGTTCAAGAACGGCGCAGCGAGCTCTTGCAGCTGCACAGCAAGTCAGTGGGAAGGCGTGGTGCAGTAGAGGTGGAACTTACCGCTAAAACATACACCGGGACCTCGATGCTTGGTAGTAACTCGTATGCCGTACTATGCACCATCGGGGTTTGCAGATATGCGAACAGACACAACTCTTGCTTGAGCTGGGAGCAGGTACTAAGTACATAGCACGTATAAAGATAAAATCCACCTACAAGGTCAAGACCGACAGGCGGACACTGAACCATAACATAGATGAGGATTGCGGTGTAAAGCAAATCGAATAGTACTTACGTAGAGAGGCAAAACAATGGGTTGATGGCCCAGTGCCAAGTACCCTACAAGCTCAACAGTGGCTAAAGGGACACCCTGAAGCAACCAGTGAGTAAAGTTATCCAGCGTTGCAAGATAAGAAAACTTGCAGAGAACGAGAAGAACCCAGAGAGCATGGGGTCGAAATAACAAGCATCGGTGTTCATCGTATTCTCTGAGTGATTACCGAAGGTAGACATTGCGGTGGAATAAAAAAACACATCAGTATGATGCATTTTTAAGGCTTATTGAGAAGGAATACTTGCGCACGGCCCCAGCGGAAGTTTTACACGATCATCTGTATTTTGAGAATGCTGATTGTATATTGCCGTCGAATAGTTCCTGCTGAATTCAGTATGAATTAGGCTGTTAGAGCGACAACATAGGCATACCTTAATTTAGCCGACCTTATTACACTTAGCACTTCAATTGGTCGGCGCGGTGTCATGGAAGTAGTAGGGCTTATTAGGTGTTACATTGGATTAAGTTAGATTGTTGACACGAGGCCCCGAACGAGGACTGGTCATGACAGTGCCATCGAGAAGTCGCCGCCCTTATTACGTGCGCCATTGGGGCGGTACAATACTACCTTGTTCAAGTTGGCTGCGCCAGGGAGTTGGCCTAAGTTCACGCCAACGTAATGTGACTCTTGAGATATTAGTTCTCGTAATCTAATTCTAAGTCACTATCGTACATCTCGTGAAACTCGGATGACAGCGATTCGCTGCTGGAGCCGAACTCTTGCTCAGGGAGCTCGTCCCGATCACAATTGGAATTATCCTCCTCTTCGTCTTCATCGTGACTTTCAACTTCCTCGTCATCTCCTAAATCTTGAACATTATGCTCAAACCCCGCAAGGCATTCATCGTGAGATTCAGCTTGTAAGGTACGGTGGTGCGAGTAAGTATGCCCCACTCCAAGACCGAAGTGGAACCGCATTAGCATATCGCGGTCCACGAACCTAAAATTACGAACTAAATACAAGTCATGCGTGAAGCGGTAGCATTACTCACCGGTTAACGTAGTATGCGCACCAATCATCCTTATCTCCTGCGCATGCTGAAAGACCTGATCCATCAGGCCGTCGCCTTTTGCGAGCAAAAGAAGGAATGATATGACAGCCCCTAAGGACGTCGGTCGGATCCAGAAAGTCAAACGAGTGTTCATCGGCCATAGGCGGAAATCGAACACGATCCATGGTTGAGGTGTCCCAGGTAGAAATCCGATCTATGGGCTCGTACCACCGAACCCATAGAAACTCCATTCGAATCGGTGTATAGTCGATCATACCGACTCCAATGAAAATTACATTAGTATGATAAATACCTAGTACCTTGCCATAAATAAATCTGTGACCTCGGGGTCCCATATCGTTTTCGGCGCGGAGGACCATAATGTTGCAGTGGGAAGTTCGCGGGTTGATGACGTCTTGGGCTCGACGAACATCGTAAGGGCGTCGTCCGCTAACGTTCGTGACGTAACCGGAAGGGTCCGGTGTAGCGACTGAGACTGGCGACGTCGAGTCGACAGATATCAGAGACGCGCGTGTCACGTGACTTCTAAGACGGATGTCTTCAAAGTCACTGACAATCTCAAAGTAAGGACAGTCTTGTCCGAACGATGAGTAGTCGATCGAGGTGGACTTAGGCGCGATGAGCACCTAAGAAAAGATACTAGAGACTGAAGCTGAGGGGGCTTCAGAGGGAAGTATGTTCGAGGGAAGATTGAGTAGATTCAAGTTAGGGAATCTAGTACAGAGTGACCGACTACTTATACTAAGTGGAAAGGGTCAAGGGCAAGGCTACCGTACTGTGGGTAAGGGCAAAGGGGAAACGGAAAGGGTATAGGTACGATGGTGGCAGAGCCTGATTAGTGATGTAAGGTTGAATGCGGAATGAGACCGAGAAACGTTGGAACGAGCCAACGGTAAATGATACAATGTGCAGCATGCACGAGTCAAGTGGTATAGTTAAACCTGGCAGTATTGTGATGATACATTCGCTCGTCTTTGATGATGATTGAATTGGTGTTATCTGGCTCTGCAACATTCCTTGACATCGTTATTCGACGTAGTAAGTGAAGCTTGAGTTTCGACATGAAATTCTGCAAGAGCAGGTGTCAAGGATATTTGCGTGGTCATAATGAGACTGACCTTAATAGCAGGATCGCCTTCATGAAGGCGCAAGTAGGATCCTATATGTATAGGATGCTTTTGCGTCAGGCCTATATGGTGATGAACGTCCGGGCTTCTCGCTAACTCCGTGATTTCGATATGAGGGCGATGGACAATCCTGTCACCCACGCGACGAATACGAGTCTGGCGGCGTTCAATCCGAGTCAACTGTCTCACAAAGAACTTGCGATCTGTGCGGCGATAACTGGCCTTAGGGGACCGGTGTTCAAGTTCACCCTGAGTGCTGAATAGTTAGTTATGTTCATACACAAGGAGCAGGGACTGACTGGTTCACTGCTGTACGAGTCGGACGTGCCATACCGCCGAATTGTAGATACATAATCGCCTAGAGCGTGGAATTTATATGTTTGAAAGTTGAAAACCTTCGTGCGCTGCCCATGATTCAGAGCGCCTTGCTTGCCCTTGCGCGCACCATTTTGTTTGGATGCTTGTCTTGCATGGCGTCGCGTGCGAGACTCGACTTCCCGATTAAGTTCGCGGGTGGTGTAAGCGGCGCAAACCTTGGCTTTGAATTCACGGAACTGTTGCCCAACTGCTGAAGTGACGAGGTCCATAATGTCAAGGGTTAGATCGGAATGCATCCGAAGTTTGGCTAGCCCGTGCCAATGCGCCATCGTAAATAGCAGCTTGAGGACGATCGTGTTGTGCGGTTCCGGAAGAAGGCAGTCAAAGACTGGGATAGAACACTGCACATCGCGTCAGATACTGATCTGCACCAACGAAGATGAATTAATACCTGGAGTAAGTCTTCGAAATTGCGAGCCGCCATCCGCTTCATCTCTGAGGAGTTGGCAGAGAATTTTCGAATGGTCGCCTGGCCAAACGTTGGAATTTGTCTGTATCTAGTAGTAGAAATCAGATAAATGAAGCACCGCTATGATGATACACACACCTCCGGTCTAATTCATGGATAAGAGATTTATCATGCGCCAAAATGATGCGCAGCAAGTGAGTAAAAAGGGACTTCCAGACGCCGATCTCGAACTCATGTAAGAGATCGACAACAAGCGCCCGGAAAATATTGAACCCCAAGGGACCAAGGCGATCCGAGAATGCGTTCTAAAAAATGATTAGCCATGGTCTGTTACAAATGATTCCAGCCTCACCGAAGTAGGCACCCATGAATGTGGTTTAAGGATACGTTCAACTGGCGCACTGCCGACCGCTAAGTTCTTGTCGTAAATCAGTTCACGTGCAGTGCCCACGATATTTCGTCTTCTTTCATCATCGCGAGCCAGAGTCTCGCGCTGTCGACGATCTTGAGGCTTACCCATATTCTGAATCCGATGTTTAGGTATCAGACATCGAGGGCACGGACACCCTCCTAAGTTCCGAACTGTCGCTATAAGCACCCTGGAGAAATCATATCAATAGTGTTCAATATCAAATAGGAGTTTGCGTACTTCTCTGGATAGTCCGCAGAGTAAGTGAAAATCCTCGGGTAGAATCTGCGCTTGATGCCATCACAGCAACAAATTACGATACCGTGCTCGTATGCCTCGAGAAACTCGTCGTCCAGTAGAATCTTCCACTGCGCGTGAAAAAATTCTCTGTGGCAGTGAGTTGCGCAT